TGCTTGACTGAACCCTTTTTCAGACCATCAGGCATAGAGGGCATATAGTGCTTGACTGAACCCTTTTTCAGACCATCAGGCATAGAGGGCATATAATGCTTGACTGAACCCTTTTTCAGACCATCAGGCATAGAGGGCATATAGTGCTTGACTGAACCCTTTTTCAGACCATCAGGCATAGAGGGCATATAGTGCTTGACTGTACCCTTTTTCAGACCATCAGGCATAGAGGGCATATAGTGCTTGACCTATATTTGATAGACCAACTGACATTTGGTGAATGATATGGTCAATATCATGGCAGTCACCTTTACTTCCCAAGACTTTACATGGTACCCCCAAAGGTTGGGTCAAGCTGGGAGCTGAGGTCATTTGTGAAAAAAAGTCTGGTTCCATTCAGATTCGAACCCAACACCTTTGGATGTGCAGGCCGAGCTTCTAGTCATTACATCACAACAGCTCTTAATGTAATACTGACTCAATATGATATAAAATAATGTAAATTCAAATGAAACATGCAATGAGGTGACTTACTTCCTAGCATAATTCTGCTGAGCTCCCGTTAGAAAAGCTTGTGTGAAAAAGAAACCGGAAACCCAAAAAACTGGAGGCGGTCCACTCTCATACCAGTCTTGTAGAAATTTGAGTCTTGCAATGAAATCGTTGATGTAACTTCCAAGAGGTTTGAGGGATGGGTATGACTTCTTCATCCACATGCCTGGGATCTTGCCCTTGAGAATGCTCAGTGCAACCTCTTCAAGATCAGCAGACATCACAACAAGACCCTGGATAGAGACATGTAAGTTCAGTTATATTTTAGCCATGACTTATATTACATGCCATCATCATCATCCAACTGGCAATCTGCGATCTGCAACTGTGCATATCAGTTCGTTAGTTGATACCCCTCCTTGCCATGACAAAAGCTGTCAAGAATTTTCTTGTCCTCTGTCTCTCTTTTCACAGATCTTTCCAGTGGTCACAACATAATCCATTTTCCTTCTTCTCACAGCGTGATCAACAAATGATGACGGTCTCTTTCAGATGTTTGGGATAAATTGCCTTCCAGTCCTTACCTCTTTCATAACATCTGTTTGTTTTTTTTGGCTGTCCAATGAATTCTAAGGATTCTTCTGTAAAACCATATCACTGAGGCCCCAAGAACTCTTTGGCTTGTTTATTATTTATCCAGGCTTCACCGTCGTATGTTAAAACTTGCTCTATATAGTATGCGATAATTCTCTTCCTAACCTCCAATGACATGGATTTTGTGCAAAAAATGTTTATTTTATAAAATGCAGTTTGAGCCTATCCTTTTCAGTTCTTTATTTATTTGTGATACATTTTCCGTCTGATATTATTCATGTGCCTAGACATTTAAATTTCTGTATTTGTCCTAAAATAATGCATCGGACTGTTATTATACTACTCTTTTCTTGGGGGGGGGGGGGGGGGGGGGGGGGGGGTGGGGGGGGGGAGGGGGGGGGGGGATATTACATCTTCACATATATAAATTTAAAAAAAAAACCTAATGTGCCATCTCCCCACTGAAGGTTGTCCTAGTCGTTAACTGAGTTCCTCAAGGTCTAGACCAGTGATTCCCAAAGTGGGCGCTAAAGCTCTCTGGGTGGCACTGAAAAGGTCCGGGGAGGGGGGTTTGGCTGGGACACTCCAGGGAGGTGGTAGCAGTCCCAGGTGCAGCTGGTAAGCATTGAATGAAACTAACACAGCAGTAGAGAGAAAGTGATGGAGAGAAAGAGAAAGAGATATAAGGAGAGAGAGAGAGAGAGAAAGAGTGAGAGAGACCATTTTGATAAACCGTTTGAACCTTTCTCAATATAGTGTAACATATATTTGCATTGATCATTTGGTTTTTCAAAAATGAACTAGGAAATTATGTTAAAAAGAATCAGTTTCATCATTTTCATTAAAGATTATATTATTCTTTAGTTTCGCCAGTATATCCTTTTTTTGTTTGTTTTTGTTCAATTACAGAAAGTAAATTTAAAGGCAAGGAACAGACTTGAGAATTTGATGACAACTAGCAAGATTAAAAGAAAGAGGACAGAAGGATAGCAAAAAGATAAATACCGTGATTGCCTGGGCACATGCATAGGGCGGGAGAAGAGCACCACATTATCAGTAATTCTGCTAAGTGTTTAGGATGATGAATGATGACCGCTTCTGCTTTTCAGTGTGATACATGAAGGTGATGATAATTCCAGAAGAGGGAGGCACCAGGCAACTTTTTTTCACTGGAAATGGGGCGGTGGGACAAAATGTTTGGGAAACACTGGTCTAGACCAATGTAGGAAAATGTTTTCCTGTCTGAGACAGATTTAAATTAACCCATTCTATCCTTGTCGTTAACTCAACTATTCATGGTCTAGGCAATTGTTACCAATCTCCAGACAATTATAACATTGGCCTTTTCTATCTGAGTCGGCAACTCAGTTTATCATGATCAGGACCATTGTTAGCAATGTGCCCTAGCTGTTATATTACCCTATCTTACTCTGTCCTTTATCACTAACTATACCAGAGCTATTTAGCTAGCACCCATGGGCTGAATCTGGTCTGTGAACATTGCAGTTGTATTAATAACCTTTGTATACTCTGGCTCAAGCCTCTGGCCCGTGACTATCTCCATTTTAAAAATACCTGCCCCTGCGTAAACTCAGTTAAATAGCCCTGGTCCCAAAACCCATGTGGGGGAAAGAAAATTGTAACTACAGTACATGAATGGTAGGAAAACTAATGATAGTAAACCTTGATTGCTTTCTTGATATTCGATAAACTGCTTCTGATGGTGATCAGCAGCCTGTTGAACCTCACCATCTCCTGCACCAGAACTGTGTTCATGCTCTGTCTGTTGGCGAGGGAAACAAAGTTGATTACACACAGACATTATTCTTATCTATAGTAAATTTAGGTCTTATTTAGCATAAAAAACAAGTAACATGGTTCTTTGGCTGAGGTGGTCTGAAGTACAAGAACTTGTTATCTCCTTTATCATCTTAGGTGGTAAAGCGTAAAAGAAGAAGCGAAGGAAGGAAAAAGTGTCATGATTTGAGCCAAACATGTGATTTATCTCTGTTTCATGTCTGCCATCAGTTTCTTGTTCTTTCCCAGCTCCTCGTTTACTTTTATTTCCATTAAAAAAGTTACCTCTTCAAAATTCGTCCAGTCCCAAGGAACACACTGTTAGTTCATAGATTTCTACCTGAAAGTTCAATGAATGCAAGGTGCACTGATTATACATTTCTCTTTATGACTTCTTGGACCTCTGATGCTAAACCACCCGGGACTGAAAGAGTTAACAAAACAGCTGAGCAAAGGTTGCAAGCCACGGCAACACATCACAAGTCTAAAGTAATGGCTGTTGAGATGAGAAGGCTTGAAAGTATTATGTTTCTTCTTCTTAATTTGCATTCACATTTAAAATAAAGGTTACAAACTGTGTTGTGGTTTACAGCAAGACTGCAAAATGGGCGCCTTTTGAAAACACTTGAAAACACTCCATATTTCAGCAAACCCCTACTTAGTCACTTTTTACAAGTCTTTTCAGGGTACAGTGGAAAACCCAGAACCCACACAGAAGCATTCAGTAGAACAGATTGCCTCTGAGTAACAAATGTAAAGATTCCAAAGAGTCAAAGTGTTGGTCTGTGAACAGATTGTCTCTGAGTAACAAATGTAAAGATTCCAAAGAGTCCAAGTGTTGGTCTGTGAACAGATTGCCTCTGAGTAACAAATGTAAAGATTCCAAAGAGTCCAAGTGTTGGTCTGTGAACAGATTGCCTCTGAGTAACAAATGTAAAGATTCCAAAGAGTCAAAGTGTTGGTCTGTGAACAGATTGTCTCTGAGTAACAAATGTAAAGATTCCAAAGAGTCAAAGTGTTGGTCTGTGAACAGATTGTCTCTGAGTAACAAATGTAAAGATTCCAAAGAGTCAAAGTGTTGGTCTGTGAACAGATTGTCTCTGAGTAACAAATGTAAAGATTCCAAAGAGTCAAAGTGTTGGTCTGTGAACAGATTGTCTCTGAGTAACAAATGTAAAGATTCCAAAGAGTCAAAGTGTTGGTCTGTGAAAAGATTGCCTCTGAGTAACAAATGTAAAGATTCCAAAGAGTCAAAGTGTTGGTCTGTGAACAGATTGCCTCTGAGTAACAAATGTAAAGATTCCAAAGAGTCAAAGTGTTGGTCTGTGAACAGATTGCCTCTGAATAACAAATGTAAAGATTCCAAAGGGTCCAAGTGTTGGTCTGTGAACAGATTGCCTCTGAAGTGAACACAGTTTTACTATACAAACGAACTCTTAGTGACTATAAGTAAAAAAATGTAAAGATTCCAAAGAGTCCAAGTGTTGATTTGAAAGTGGTGGCTTAATTGAAAAGCTGACAGCCCGGCTATGTAAAGCATAATAATATTCTGAGACCAAGCGAGTTTACATAATAACTGTCACAGAACGGTGGGGGCTGAGGGTGGGAAAGGGGGGGGGGGTGGGGTTAGTAACCACTGGCTGCATAGGTGGTACTTTTATAACTAGAAGTGAGTGGGTTAATTTATATGCTGTGTTAAGAAACATCAGTGGCATATCAAGACACAAATAAACATGCAGACTACAAATTGAGTTTACAGTTCAGAAAGCCACAGGAGACTGAATTAACAATAATAGACAGGTAACGATCCAACTATTACATATAATAAACAAATAAACATGTATTGATCAGCACTTATAGAAAGAAGTCAAAAGATATAATGCACACTAGACAACATTAACATTGAAAGATATAGCTAACATGCCAGGAATAAAACCTGTAATGGTAACTACAGCTTTAGATTTTTATGTTGTCTAGTGTGTCCTTCTATCCTTCTAATTGTTTCTATAAGGGCTGATTATTACATGAATATTTGTTTATTATTTACAATGTTTCTGTGGCCTCAAGGGTTCCCCATCTGTTTATTACTCTCTATAACAATTCAACCAGTTGCTTACCTGTATGATATTGGATATTTGCGAAGGGCAGCTTCAGTGTCAAAATTTGCTGGCAGTTTGCTAAGGATATCTGTGGACACTTCATCCACAATGTCATCTGTGGATCTGCCTCCCTCAGTTGGTGCTTTAGCCTGATGTGGTAATCAAGTGTGGCAATGATTGTCAGTGAGAGAGAAGTCAATAAAACAACATAACTACAGATTCTATAACAGAATCACTAAGACACCATAACTAGTTTCTGTAACAGAATCACTAAGACAACATAACTACAGTTTCTATAACAGAATCACTAAGACAACATAACTACAGTTTCTATAACAGAATCACTAAGACAACATAACTACAGTTTCTATAACAGAATCACTAAGACAACATAACTACAGTTTCTATAACAGAATCACTAAGACAACATAACTACAGTTTCTATAACAGAATCACTAAGACAAACATAACTACAAGTTTCTATAACAGAATCACTAAGACAACATAACTACAGTTTCTATAACAGAATCACTAAGACAACATAACTACAGTTTCTATAACAGAATCACTAAGACAACATAACTACACAGTTTCTATAACAGAATCACTAAGACAACATAACTACAGTTTCTATAACAGAATCACTAAGACAACATAACTACAGTTTCTATAACAGAATCACTAAGACAACATAACTACAGTTTCTATAACAGAATCACTAAGACAACATAACTAGTTTCTATAACAGAAAATCATGCCAGGTTATTCAGTCTGAAGTCTGGTTTGAAGCTTCTTTAACACATCTCTCCACAAAAAATATAGATCTGACTGTTCATAAACATATTCTGGAGACACATATCTTGCGGTTTTCCCCTATAATTCCCCATCCAATTAGAGATTTATATTGCTGTAAAAATTATAGTGTGGACATTTTTCTAGATTTGTTAACCTATTACAAGTTTTGGTGGCCATAATATCTTATGCTGGAACTGGTTGTAACAGTACAGTGTGTAGACACGGTCGATATGACGATATATATCCAAACAATTGTTTTTGAGATAGTAGGAGTGAAAACATAATTTAAAAACAATGTGTGACATCATCGTTCATCATCATCATAAACCACTTCTGCCATTAAGCATTGTGGGGAGGAATAATTTGAGATCCAGCTCACGTTGGCTGCCACTATTGTCATGCCGTGAAGGTGTAAAGTGTCTTTATTTTTGTCGATCCATATTTTCTGTGGCTGTCCTCTTGCTCTTGTAGCTGATCTTCTGAGATGTAGTGCTTGTGATGGTATTTGATTATCTGATAATAATGAATGTAGAATTCTTGATTTCATTAGTAAAACTTTTGGTTCTCCTTTAAACTAGGGCCGGTTAGATGGCCGGTTAGTCGGAGTTCAGTCCCCTGGCTACAGTGCAATTACGGAGTGGAGAAGGCGCGTATCACAAAACAAAGCTATTGCCTTCATATTTAGCAGAATTCAATGGCGCCACTGCCACAAGCAGCACATTTTCGGCTGTTATGCTGAAAACAGGGACACCCCACAAGTATTTTCAGCTGAAAACGGGACATCCTAGGCAAGTCAATTCATCCTCCCTCCTCACCAAAATTATTTCATAATTTATTATTATTATTATTATTATTAATCATTAAAAAGCTAATATATTTTTAAAAAACTCATTGTTAGATCTTTTTTATTTTTTTAATGGGACAATGGGAGAAGCGGACGAACGGCCAGGGCACCCCTAAAAAGGTACTGCCCAGTGAAAACAGGCTCTATTACCGGTGCAAGATGGTTATTGCACAATTTTTATTAGATCAAAGGGTTTTGAAGTGCACACAACATTCACACGAGACCTCATAATATATCACACTTGACCAGGAAAACATGTGGATCATTTGGCATATGCTTGGCTGATATACAATTCTGAAATCTGAAGTTTTATTTACATATCTCCAAATAAAGTTTTCTGCTTATATTCCATTGCTGTGGGTCAGTTTTGTGTGTGTAAAGAGATGACTAGCTGACTGTGTGTGTACCAAAGTACAACTGTTCTTTCAGCAAGTTTTTTTTATTATCTGAAGGCAGGAAGATAATTGTACCCCACCAGGACATCACAAAAGCGATAAACACCCGGTGACACAAAGTGCCACCATGCAGATGAGTATCACCAATGGAGAGGCCCCAGAAACCCTATTTAGCTGTTAGGCAATATTCAGGGCCAGGGTGGGGCTTCAAATAATAAAAAATTGCATCCCACATGGGGACAACTTATAATGATATTATCTGAAGGATGGATGACCAAAGAAGAAAATAGGATCTTTTGAACTGAAGTGCGACAGAAAGATTTTTAGAACAGAACAGCAAGGACAAAGAAGAAAACAATGCTGACATCCTGTATGACCTGAACATCAAGAAGAACTGGCTCATAAACAGTATCCTTGCTCAAAAGCTGAGATATTTTGGACATGTCAAGCGCCGTGCTGGTCTAGAGAGAATGGTGATGGAGAGTGCAGTTTCTGGAAAGCAATGCAAAGGCTATCTCCGAGAAGGTGCATACAGGACACTGAAGATACAATGACTATAAAAGCACACAGGGCTGGAGAACTGGATAGAGAAAGAGAGACTTTCAGGTGTGCTTTGAAGAGAGGCATGTTCTGTAAAGGACATGCTGCTTGACTGACTTATTGATTGATTGACTGATTGATTGACTGAGTGAATTTATTTCTTGGGAATACTATACAAGCAGTGGAAATCAAGGTATTCATTATATTGTTAAATCAACACCATAATTATTATCACCTCCATTATCACCACCACCATCATCATCATCATTATCACTCTGTTTTGATACATGTCTCGCAGTCTAGTCCTACATTCTGGTCTATCCTGTGCAATCCCTCTGATATCATGGACTAGCACCCTTGGCCTCTCTCAACACTGACCATCTTAGGGTTCATCTCAGACATCCTTTTTTCCTCAATTCATTTGATTCCCATTTCAGTTCCTGTTTAGAGATTCTCTGTCCATTTTTTTTTTCTTTTTTTTGGAACAGGCCAATATACTGTCAGATTTTTTATCTAACTCTTCTTCTTCTTTTTCTTTGCGTTCACCAACTGTAAACTATGGCGAAAAGTTCTCATTGTTCATCCACTTTTGGACTGCAGTCCGGTTCCAGAACCTGAGTGTTGCAAGTGCATTTGTTTTACAGATCTGACTCATTTGTATGCAGATTGCTGGTTCCCTGCCTCTCAGGCAGACGCATTCCGACTTCAAAAGAAGCTCCCAGTTAGTCGACTCTTACGACATGTTTTTGGGTAGGCAGTGGGTCTATTCTTTTTTCCCTCATTTTCTAACAATTGATGACACAGGCAGTTGTCTAGAAATGTATCTTATTTTTTCACCTTTCATGAATTGACCCTATTCAATGTTCACCAATTTCCTTAGAATGTGTTTTTTTAATGCATTTTTAAAATATAGAACTTTCATTTAATTTTAAACATACAATTCTAAAATGAGATATTTCAGTGATAGTTCAAGTAAACAGTAACATACAAAATTAATCACAAATTTCTAACAGGTATTGAAGTGAACACAGTTTGACTATACAAACGAACTCTTAGTGACTATAAGTATCCGACCATCTTACCCTTTTCTGTAGATCAAAGCAGATTTGGTTGCAAATGTCCATTGTTGTTTAGTGCAGTTGGTGATATCACATGCAAGACAGTGATGGAACCATAGTGTCAACACAACACAGGCAAATGCAGATTGTGCAATTACATGCAGTGAAAGTAAAAAAACAAAAAAGCACACAATATTGAAATTAATTATAAATGTGCAATGCTGACTGCAGATAATATTCATGAAGACCAACACAGACTACAAGTAATTTTAAAGATAAATGGTATGTGCCTTGCCAGCTGGTGCAGGCAATTGTCCATCACTAACTGCTTCAATTATCTAGCAGAAATCTATTAACTCTTATGGTATATAATTGCTATGTTTTCAAGCAAGGCTGACAAATATGTCTAGTATGGATTGGGTATGGATGTACTGTATACATTGTGTCTTTACAAGGTTTTATATACACTCACACAGAGCAACCATGTGTATATCATGCAAACACATACAGTATAAAAATATATGAAATACACTAACATTGACTTATAAAGGATGTGCATGATTGTCCCTAGTTTTTATGCAGGGCATTTCTTTCTCGTTGTGTTTCTTTGCTGTTAGTCAGTTAGTTAAATGCATTTCCAACTTCATGGCAAATGGGTCAGCCGCCCCCCCCCCCTCTCCCCCTCATAGCTGCTGCAGTCCTCTGCTAGCAATACACATGCATTACATACATAAGGCAGCCACTCCACCCCCCACCCACCCCTTTTTTCCTTCAAAAGTCCGCTACTAAAATTTCAGTTCATCGTTGACACAAGCAGCATTACAACAAATCAGCAGTTGCCCAAGCAATATTGCATAAGGCACTGCTAGTTCTGTGGCAACAGACCACTTGTAATTTTTTTAAAGTCTGTAATTCAATACCACTTTAGGTCCAGTTGAAAATCATTCTAAATGAAATCCACAGCTCCTAGTTTGAGCCCATCTGCCATATTGGACGAGATGGCTGTTAAAGTTGAGAAAAACTTATATCCATTTGTTATATACAGATGGTTACAAAAGAGATGTTCAAAAATATAATCAGGACAATTTCCACAAACAATTTTGAAACAGCAACAGTTGATGATTTCTCTGATCTGCTGATTAATTTGAAAATATCAGCCTCAGAGACAGAGTTCTATCTTTAGTACACTGTGTAAAATACACTACTGACTGTGACACTGCAAACATTTGGTGAGACATCAACATGTGAGCTTATTTAATTGATCACTTTACCTGTGTCAGCAAAATATTGTCAAACAAACGTTGTGTAGCTTTCTGATCCTTTGTGATGTCTGCATTGGCATGCATGCCGAATATCTCTGGGGAAGGATTGAGTGGCAGATTGCGTGTGTACTCCAGGTAGCTCTCATACTGTGGGCAATGTAGGAAATAAAACACAATAAGCTAAACACTGTCAATTACTGTTTGTATTTATCACTTTTGCAGTGTATACAGGCTGGTCTTTGAGCCCAAGGATTTAATGCAGCATGGGTAGTGCATACACCATGGGCTTGCAGGTTATAACTTGTGTGTGTAAATCTGACAGAAACAAAAATGTATGACCTTCTCCAGGATTCGAAGCTGGGTGACCCGCATGACAGCCCTGCATTCTTAACAATTTGGTAGCCACTCTAAAATGAGCACAGGACATTAATACGAAACCTCATGAAAGGATAACCTTAAGAGATAGGACTAATAGCAGCACAACCAGGATGAGCGACATTTAGTTGCAACCAACCATTATTATGGAGACAACATCTAATCGGTTGGTCATGGGTATTGCTGCTTGCATGGAAGTTTACAAATAAACTAGTCTGGGCAATATATCAGATTCCACTTTGCCTAAAACTAAGGTAACTTTAGACATAGTACTAGAGGGAGACTAAGATTCACAGTGATTAAATTATATCAAAAATATACTACACACACAAACTCATAATGAAAGTGATATATTTGACTACAATCAAGAATCTTCAGCTTTCCTTCTATGCTTAGCATTAAACACAAACCAAAAGCCACTGTCTGCCTGGGGATAGATAACTGGTAAACAGATTACTACTTCTACTATTACTGACAAAAAGTCACTGTCTGTCTGGGGATAGATAACTGGCAGACATATTTCTTCTTCTACTACTACAAACAAAAAATCACTGTCTCCCTGGGGATAGATAATTGGTAGACATATTTCTTCTTTTTTCTACTACTACAAATCAAGAGTCACTGTTTCCCTGGGAATAGATAATTGGTAGACATATCTCTTCTTCTTCTTCAATGTACTGTACAGAACAGCCAAATGCAGAGTGCACTTATGAGGAAAACAGAACCCAAATCAAGGCAACCATTAGAACCTTGAACACTTCCCATTCAGAATGCAATTCTGAAGACCCAATCAAAATCCTCATACAAAAGATACAGACCACTACATTTAGATGCAAGCTGGATACCAGAAATTCAAGAACTGGGATTCAGAACTTTGCCCATTGTGCATAGGCACCCAAGAATAATGAACATGTGTTTCAGATATACTCTTTACATTCAGCAGAAAGATCCTACATATGGCCATTTATCATTCTGGTGGAAACCAAGGATCAGCCTAAGATATGCACTACACCACAGTCTTCACAGAGGCCCGTGGCAACCTCATCTTAAAACTACTGGCTGGGAGAATAAGATGAAAAATAAGAAGACAAAAACAATATGTAAACGTGAATTCTAATGATAGATAAACATGAATTCTTACAACAAATAATTCTTACATCGCCATCAGGTGGGCTGTAGTACAGTTTACTTTCATCAAAATAGTAGTCATCTCTTGAAACGATGTCCTCACAAAGGAACTGATTGAGAATGGTGAGCAGCGTACGTCGATCCCAGTCATCCGTGACTCGTCCACCATAGTTACATTCACCAGTCAGGTAACGCAGGGCAACGAACTGAACATCCTGTTGAGTGGATGACATCTGACATTTACATAATGCTCAGCTACACCTCTGTGGTACTAAATACAGAAGCTGTCACTAGAAAGCCCAATGGAGGCAATGAAAAATATGCCCACAAAGTCTTTATCAATCAAGTATTAAACAACACAAACTGTGACTAAAATTAAACTAAAATTCTCAATGGACAAGACAACAGAGCTAATAATCAGCCACGCTTATTGACAGAAAAGGCTATATTATGGAACAACCAAAAATGTAGGTTATGAAAATGGAGGAGACATTTTAACAAGTTAGATAAATACGTTAAAAAAAATTAAATAAAGGTGTGTTGAATGCATGCATGACTGAGAATGCCAAAACTGTGAACGAAGTAATTTACCAAGAAGAGGTGGCTGGTTTGATCACCAGAGTAAGACTGGCACTCGATGGTCAATATCATGTGTGTTGCTTTTACTTTCCAGAAATGTCCCCATAGCCATTTTAGACAGGTGTCAATGTGACAGTCGAAGACAAAAGAAAACAAAAAAAACTGTTTAAATGGGGAATGAGATCTATAGCCACCAGGCAAGTGAGATATGTCCATGACCACTAAACCTCCTATTTTCTTGTTCATCTTTGTCATCTTCACATATAGCATTTGTAAACATTGGTGGACAATTATGGTTGTTTGTCCACTCCTGGACTTTAGTCTTGTTCCATAACTTGAGTTTTGCATGCACAGACTTGTTTTTACAGACCTGGCTTATTTGTATGCAGACTGTTGGTTCCTTGCCTCTCAGGCAGATGCACTGTTCCAAAAAAACACTCTTAATTAGTTAAATCTTATGACAAGCTTATTAGAGGGCAGTGGGTGTATTCTTCCTCCTTCTCTCCCCTACAATGGGGCCCCAGAACTGACACAGACAGTCTCCCATCTGTCTTGTACAAAGTATATTATTCGATTATTTGTGAAACAAGTGCCCTACAACTGAGGCCCTTTACTCTTTGAGTCCTAAGGAACGCATCATACGTTCATAGGTTCCTACCTAGAAGCCCAATGGACGCATGATGCGCTGATTTTATGACTCTGTTACTACACCCTGGGCCTGAATTCAAAGAGTTATCAAATAAATATAAGCATCCCTCATTGCATCAAAGTGTGGGTGGTAAATCCATCTGAGGCCCCAACATTATTTTACCCAGAACAGAGAATCCTCCATCGCAGACTGACAGCTCTAACACAATGTCTTTAGCTACTTACATCGTACTCATTGAGAAACATATGCAGCTGCTGGCAACTGATTCGTAAATCTGTTTCGTTGAACTCGTACGGGATGTTCCAGCCAAGGGGTCCAAATTTTCTCCTCTCTTGGACAAGGGCATGGAAGAAACACAAACCATAGAGCAGCTTCTTGAACTTAGGCTGTTAGAAACAAGAAGCAGAGTCAGCATAACCAGCTACAATCAATCATCATCACAATTATTGTCGTGTCAGCAAAAGTATTCCCTACATCTAACCAAAAAAATTATCCTGTCAACTTATATAGTCCCTAAATCAATAAGTACAGATAAAAAGAGTAATGAAGATGTCTTGAAAGAAACTATTTCACGAAAAGAACTGATCGCCCACATCAGAAAAAGACAATCTACATTCTTTGGTCATGTGATGATAAAGAAAAAAACTAGAGTACATCATGACTGTAGGAAAGTTGGAGGGAAGAAGATGACAGTGACAACAGATGCTGGAAGGTTTGACATCATGACATGGAAGATCATCAGTGTTAGAATTGATTAAAAATACACGAGACAGAAGGTTGTGGATAGACATGACTACGAACGCCACACGGCATGGACTTTAAGAAGAAGAAATCTACAAGTAATCACTGTCATGTCAGCTAAAGTTTTTACTACACCTACAAGCAATCATATATATATATATATGTGTGTGTGTGTATATATATATATATGTCCAACATATCTCAAATCATGTAAAAGGGTTCTTTACACTTACAACTAATTTTTGCTACTAATTTTTTTTAAATTAGCCAGTTATTACCTTGTTATTTAATTAATATTAACTAATTAACAAAATTTAAAGAGCTGTTAACTAAACAGTTTCAAACCAGGCTGTGATCTGTTAAATTTTAGAAAAGTTGTCCTGGCCTGGAGTTTCTAAAACTCAGCAGAGTGTGTGCAGAAAGAACAGAATGCAACATCCAGAATATGACTGCAGATGGTTTTTGGTTGCATAAAGACATGACTGTAGCATAAATTCATGTTGAACATGTCTACTATTGGGTCTCTCTCTCTCTCTCTCTCTCTCTCTCTCTCTCTCTCTCTCTCTCTCTCTCTCTCTCTCTCTCTCTCTCTCTCTCTCTCTCTCTCTCTCTGTGTGTGTGTGCGTTTATTTATATATAGCATCTAATCCAGTACCATGCTTGTTAAAATGGTAGTAGATCTATTCTCTCCTCCAACTGGGAAATGTAAGATCACACCCACACTTCTTCTTCTTCTTCTTCTTCAGCATTTCGAACCTTTAAGGTTCATTGCTGCAGATATCACTCGCCTCCATTCATCTCTCTGGTTGGCCTTCTCTTTCCAGTTGGTGACACTAAGTGCTTGCAGGTCTGACTAGACATTATCTTTCCATCCCCTTCTTGGTCTGCCTCGTGGTCTATGACCCTCCATCTCCCTTGTGAATACAGTTTTTGCTTCTCTGTCATATGATACTGTTTCAATAAGCCCCAACCATTTTAGTTTATTAACACCCATACACACACAAAAATCTAAGCTGGCTAAAGAGAAACAAAAACACAGTTAGTATAATTAGTCTCTAAATAGGCAGATTAAATGATTAAAGAAATCAAATCAAAGCATACACAAAAGCACTGATAGAGCTGCAGAAACAATGGAAATGGCATATACGTCAAACTGATGAGATCTGACTAAGATTATCTAATGCAAGTTTCTATTAGTAACAAGCATGGTTACAACATAAATACAGGAATTCAACACAAGACATAATGCTGGAATCTATTAACCCCACGATGCTGAGAAGGGAATCTGATGGAATCTTGCTATACAGTTATATATAGTTCACTGGCTTATTAAAACAAATATGGCAGACAGCTAAACATAAACAACTCTGAACACAGGTAAAATCTCACAGCAGGCTGGTTAGGATCAGATTACAGTCAATGACGGATATTTCACATGTAGAGAAGACAACAGTCCCATATTCCACATTTGCATCATTCAGTTTAAAATCTGTCACACATCAACATGTATTTCTACCAGAATTCTATAAACATGACAGGTTTGTATTTATTTCCACAGACAAGACAAGACTACTAAAATAAACTTCTTCATGAATCAGTGCATTTTGCACTTGTCTTTTTCAAATCAGAAGAAAGAGCGCATTAGGGAGGATACCAGCCTTATCCTAGGATCAGGTACTGCAACATGAAAACATTAGGTAATGGCAGGGCAGACCAGCCCTTGTCCTTGGTGGCAGCTGGTCTTGAAAAGACGCCCTGACAGGTGGACAGACAGAGACAACTCTGCTGTTCTGAACTGACAGCTTCTGCTTAATGCTTTTTTAATTCCCAACTATTGGTAATACCTTTCATTTTGTGTGTCAGCATACGAACTGATACATGCTGCAGGTGATCACAGATTGTGAAGAGGCATGATCGCCCACGCCAGTCGGCAAGGCACCTGATGATGATCATCATCATTTGGAGTAAACAAGCAGGTCAAATGAGGGATCATGTTGAATAAGTCTACAATACTGCCCAGAAACCTCTCCTTTTATTATTATTTTTTTTTTAAATCTTTTTTTTTTTTTAAACAAATATTTTTCCTATTTTTTAAAATATATACCAAATGTTTGTTCTGAATGCAACAGTAATTCTGACATACAATGCTTTCCATACAGTAATCTGAATACACAGTGGAGGTAATTGACCACTCAAAGGAGAACAATCATAACTAGGGGCAAGCATATATGGTATCACACTTGATGCTGTGTGGGTTCCCAGGTCCAATTTTTATTTTGGGGGGGGGGGGGGGGGGGGGGGGAATAGACCCACCCTCCCTCTTCCTGTGTTAATTTTGTTCCCTTTCAGAGTGAGATTGTTTTAAAAATAACAGAACACAAATGATTTACTCACAGCTTAAACTATGCATATGATACTAAAAGCTTCAACATAAGATGAAGATGTGTCAAGACTCGAGTTGGGTAGGGGAAAGCCATTACAGGACCACATGAGGGTATCAAGCATGTATATACTGCATGCTACACAATGCCAAAGAAGTCAAAGAAACTTCCTAACAAATGATATAACTTTATTTTACTGTTTAACTTTTTCAGTACCAAACAAAGAATCACACATGTCTTGATCACATCTAAGATATTAAGATGTTTCTGTGCCTTTTTACAACAGACATGTGTCATATCAACAATATGAATGTTTAGTTTACCTTCTCCTGACCCATAGTGTCTCCGAGAAACTCCCTCAGACTAAACTACCTTATTTGTCAGTGCATGACACATTTTTTATGTTCTAAAAATAGGTCTTTAAATTATGCTGCGCCTTATTCAACAAAGGCAGGCCAACCTTGTGAATGGGTTAAAATATCCTGGTCCAAGGTCAGTGAGAACAATGTTTTCAAGAGTTCTTTTGGTGGGGGGGGGGGGGGGGGGGGGGGGGGGGGGGGGGGGGTGCTGTATCAGCAACACCCTAGATGAAAGTGAGCATCATTTTCTATACGAATCTGAATGTAAAGATACCTGTTCTGAAGACAAGTTCAACAGATACAGAGAAGAAGACACTTCCTATGACAGCAACAGGGGCAAATTTAAGGCTTCTGAAGGTCAGTGAATAAATTTTTTTTTTGGCCTGGACAATTTCTTTAAATTTGTGGGTGCATCTTATACAGGAGCGCCTCATCCAATGACAACTACAGTATTAATTGATTTGAAGCTCAGCTGTTTGCAAATAAAGAGTTAAAGAAAAAATTACTTGGTACTGAAAAGGTTAATCAATAAACAGTTACTGTTGCCACTGAATACAAAAACTATTAGACCAAAAAATGTGGATCACAAATGTACATCAAGAAGTTTATATATATATATATATATATATATATATATATATATATATATATATATATATATATATATATATATATATATATATATATATATATATATATATATATATATATATATATATATATATATATGTATGTATATATATATGTATGTATATATATGTATGTATGTATATATATATGTATATATATATATATATATATATATATATATATATATATATATATATATATATATATATATATATATATATATATATATATATATATATATATATATATATATAAAGTTGAAAATAAACAAACTATCAACATGTTTTGTCTTGTTATAACTGAAAAGGTCTACATAATTTACGCATCTTGGTAACTGTTTATTTTTTTGTTTTAATTCAAGAAGCACACTGTGCTATCAGCATTATGAATAAGCAAGAACCTTAAAAAGAAATTGTTAGAAACTTTTAGTAGCAAGTAGATATGAACTAAACTGAATTTCTACCCCACCAGGACATCACACAAGCGATAAACACCCGATGACACAAAGTGCTACCATGTGGATGAGGATCGCCGTGGAGAGGTCCCAGAAACCGCGTTCAGACATTTGGCCATATATATGGCCTGCCTATATTGCGGCCCCTGGCAAAAGCCAGAGTAGGGCTTCAAATGACAAAAAATTTCGTCCTAAAAAGGACGAAATTGGATATATATGAGCAAGCAGATATTTCAAACATCACAACAACACAAGAAAATACTGGTGAAAAAATACATTACCAAATTCTGTGAATAAATTAAACAAAATCAACATTTATTTGGAATGTGTGGAACAAAACACATATTAAATTCAGAACATGTGAAAAAACTTAATTCATACCAAAATAGTATTTAAAATGTGCCATGTGATCAAACGAATACACAAATTATTTTTATATTAAGAACATAAACACAAACATAATGACTGTGAAATACACAAATGAAAGAATGGTGTATATTCAAATTGTTAAACAGCAAAAAATCCCAATCATGATGGCTGATGAATAAAGCAAACCTTAGATACTCTGATCAACCTCCAAAGAAGTTATAATTAGCACACAAGCCTGGCATAGCCTGCAGTCATGACAACTAACCACAGAGTGAATTGAAAAATTAGTCGTCGACAGCTAAGATTTCTTCGGACATGTTAGGTAGTGAAACAAACTTGAAAACTTGATGGGAAAAGAGAGCAAGGGGAAGACAAAAAGATAAATACTGATTGACTTAGCCAGCTGGCATGCACTGGACAAGATTACAGACCTGATCCCCTTTGTGGTGATTGTGTGAGATTGCAAAACATGACCATCTATACTTATAGGCATGTCACAGAATGATGATGATGACTACATTCCCTACTATTTACTCAGTTCTGTTTAAATCCACAAGACTGCATCCTTACAGAAGGACTGATGACACATACAGTTTTTCTGTTTTTGTCGAGACATTTCTACTTTTGATGATCTTGCCTATTCTAGTTTAAGAATTTTGGATGCGGCAATTGTTTTTCTGTATCTCTTGTGTTATATCTTTCATTGGATGTCATAGTAATGCTTAGATATTTTAAATAATTGACATGTCTTTTTATTTCTACTAAACCTGCAATATTGAATTAGCGCAGGGGATAGGAGACTCGTTTTCAAATCTAGCTGCGACTCGCTGAAGCCTACGGCCGGTGTTCGAAACCTGACGGTTCCCGGGGTTCACCCAGCCTCTAGGAAATGGGTACCAGAGTTAACACTCGGGGATAAATGGAGGAACGTCACTGTAGCTACAGAGTTTCGTAAGGACAGTGATATAGACGGACAGTTTCTTATCAGCTGTTCGTACTGGTGGCAGAGCACCTATTGTTTATAACCGTGTGCAATTACGCTGGTTCACATCTCCCAACTTTACCTTTTATCTGATAATTAATCAGTATTACTGAATGAAGTAGAAACATGGAGAATAATAAATATAATTACAAAAAACTATACACATCTGGTCTTGGTCACAGCTGGCTGAACTACCATATCACAGCAGTCAGTACTATCTGTACTCTGTTAATGCAAAGTGCTAGGCAGCATCTAGTGAACCTGACATTCAACTTGTGTTAACGACTTTGGGTAGAGAAGCTCACTGGGGATTCTAACCTTATCCTAGGAACAATGTTTAGCATGGCAGATTTAGCCTATAGCCTAAGTTGGCATCTGGTCTAGGAAGGAAGCTCTGACAAGCAGACAAGGCACTGCTCTTCTAATCCAGTAGCTTCTGTGCCATGCTTTGTTGCAAATGTATTGGTGTTACCTTTCTTCTGGAGTCAACAAAGCATTAGGAACGTTTTCTTCTCACGACATGACCAAAAATAATGACTGTCTTTTTATGATGTTTGTGATAAGTTGTCTTTAGGACCTCACCGCTTAAAAAAAACATCTAAGTAGCTATTTTTGGCTGTCCAAGGAATTTTAATGATATTTTTGTAAAACCACATCTGTTAGGCCTCAAGAAAATGTCTGGCTGGTTTATTAATTGTCAAGAATTCACAGCCATCTAGTTCTACATAGCAAGCAAGAACTTTTTTCTAACCTCCAATGGGTTTTTTGTATAAGATGTTCTTTATTTTATAAAATGTAGTTTGTGCCTGTCAATATATTTTTTGTTTGCGGTGGGTGGTTGGGGGGTTGTGGTACATCTTCCCTCTGAGGTTATCCATGTGCCTAGATACTTACATTTCTGTACATGTCCTAAAAAATACCACTGACTTTTTCATATACATTTAGACACAATTCTTTTCTATGATATTACCAATAAACAGTCTTCCCAATATTCAAGCTGAGGGCCATTCTTTCACTTTCTGTATCTATCAATTCCTGTAGTTCTCTGACTTGTTTATATTGTGACCACCAACCACAATTCCTGTCTAATCCATTAAAGATCTCATTATAAATTTACTTTATTTTGAAAGTGAATCTTGTGATACTACACATCCTTGTTCTAACCACTCTTTGTGCTCTAAAATGCTCCTAAACAGTTGCTAATTCTTATAGCTTTTCTTACAGGACTAATTTTACTAAAGTGCTTAAAGTGGTGAAAGCAGAGGCGTTGCAAGGGGTGTGGGCCACACCTGGTGTCATTACCGCAGGGGGTGACAAAATGGCAAAAATGTGTGTGAGTGTATATATGTAGGGAGGTGATGGGACATTTTCTGTAGCAGGTACCACCTTGCCACGCCACTGTGCCAAGGACCCCTTTTATACAACATTGTAATATATCCACTTATATTTGTAAATCAATGGGGAAACCCAATAACTATTAGAAAATAAGTTTACTTTTGCATCCAGTCAGAACAAACCTCAGACAAAATCACAGTATTTGAATACTTACATCTTGTTTGCAACTATTAAAAAATGCCTGATCTGAAATGGGGTCACTCATGTAAGATTTCAAGATGTTGAACCTCAGACCACTAGGTGGTTCATTTGTCATCTTAACTCCATTTTGTAGAATGGAGACAGGAAATGTTTCAGAGGGATATGATGTCAGCCACAGGCGAAAATCTGGGTGTGTTGTTTCTGGGTTAAAGTCCTGGAATAAGTCAATAAACATAATATTACTGGGCTCTCTGTGTCAAAGCGGGCAAGCCATTTACATTGTGCCCTGAAGGTTATAGGTTCATTTCACGAATGCATCAATCAGTTCACAAGTGCAGTTTTTATGGACATCACTGGAGATCATTGCTGGAGCTAAGGAGTTTGTGCTTTGTGCAATTCTCTCTACAGGCAGTCAGCCACTCTTCTGTCAGAGACTGAGCTATATGGCCTGTGGGATAACCTGGTGCATGGAAGTTAATCCTCTGAACTTTAACTTAAGATTTGTTTGTTTGTTTTTAAATAGGTTCCATATCAAGACATAAATTACTAAACTGGGAGAACAGTTCTGGTTTTTAGGTGCAAAAATACAACAAATATAAGTTATTAGTTGGTTGCTTATCCTTTACAGGATGTTTCATCAACACAACAGTTTTGCATTTATTTTTGCACACAAGATAAGCCCACTATAATAATCTTCTTCAGGCATCAGTAACTGCACTCTGTACATCATCATCATCTAATCAGGAGAAGGGGTCCATTGGAAAGGGTACTAGCCTTCTCCAACAATGAGAAAATGCAATCTGAAAACATAATCTTATGGCAGGGCAACAGTGCAATAAAAATGATGGAAAAAATCTTAGATTTGTAAAGAGTACTGAAAACAACATGCTGCCATATAAACATGCTAACAAAGTCGGCCAGCAACAGCAAATAAATATCTTGTATTTGTTCATCTAAAACTGGAAAACAATTTAGTCTTGCCTTGTTTCATCTGAACATGTCTGGTCTTGTGTCATCTGGTCATATATGGTCCTATCTTGTTTCATCAGGCCATTTCTGATCTTATCTTGTATTGGCTGGCCATGTCTAGTCTTGCCTAACGGCTTGCAGACTGGAGCTAGCTACTTTGGTTACCCTCTGCTCCTCATCTTCCATTAAGCTTTGAAACTTACCAAACAAAGTAGAAGAACTTCTACAAACAACAATGAATCAACAGCACAATAAACTGCTAAATAATGAAAACATTCATAAACTTCACACATTTCTAGGGTAACATACCTCACAGATTCTCTCAAGGGTGGGCATCCAAGATGAGGCCAGGTGACAGTTCTGCAGGGTGACCCAAGTTCCATCTTTGACACCTTTCTCAATCATTTTCGTAGCAATTGGACCTTGGCCCTGACCTAGTGACAGTGAGTCAAATTTTCCACCGCCGAAGCCCTGTGGATAGTAATAGTCTTACTGATGCTTTTTGCCAGTGGTCAACCTTTATTGTTTTTTTCTCTCACTTCTCTAGAACTATTTTCTGTCTTCTCAGATTTAGTAATTTTGTTTCTACTCTAGGAAATAGGGTATCTGACTTATTATCATCTTACGTCTTTTACTCCTCAGTTAAACTAGGGCTTTCAGCCATATCTTGCCAACCCTATATTTTGTTACCTCTTGAGGTTCCCACCATGTCTTTCCATTATATATTTTGTCACAACCATGATCCATTTTCACTTCTGCTGTTAAGCGTTGTGGGGAGGAACAGTTTGCAATCCATTGATTGATGGGTAGCATTGCCTACTGTCATTCTGAGTTGATATAGAAGCTTTTTAATGTCATCAATCCATCTTCTTCTATAGCGGCCTTTTGCTTTCATTTCAAATCTTTTCATGTGTTGCGCCTGCGTTGGTAGTTGTTCTGGCTGCATTTTTATTAAACAATCAAACTATTTGATCTTCTGTTTCTCAATGAATTTGCTGCCTGGTGTTGTTCACTCAAAGAGAGTGATACATTCTCAACTGCAAATGGCAAACATCTGTTATTTTTTTTTAACTAACGCTTAAAAAAATATATTTCACTCATTTTAAATGCTCTGGGAGTCCCCGTGGCGGAACGGCTAGACGCCCACCGTGGATAGAAATGTTGTGGGTTCGCTCCCTGGCGAAGCCGGACTTTTTTCAAAAATGACCTTGGCTCCCAGGTTAACCCAGCCTTGAGTGGGTACCGGGTGCAGTCCCGGGAAGTAGAGGTGGCCGGTGTGATGCTGACCACATAACCCATCTTGTGCCGATTGGTCTGTACAAATATAGGTCTAGACCTATATGCCTGAAAGGCGTGGGAAAGGGTCCTTTACTTTACTTTTTTTACTTAATGCTTTTCATCAGCAGATTAGAATGACTGTACAAGGTAGGGTATTTGTGTAGGCTGTTGGATGTGTTTATAATGAATCACTAGAACCACCAATCCACTGTAGTTTGCTGACAGTGATCAGTGTACTAAATAAATGTAGGGCTCTTTGAGGGGTGTTGTTTTGTTCCCATCATCTTTTGACTTACAAAATAAACAAAAGTGTGATAATGGTTTTTGGCTAATATAACAGTTTCTGGCAATGAATCTTTGAAATAACAGCTTCCATGCTCTATCCTGACTAATCCCATGACTTAATTCCATGACTTAATCCCATTACTTACAAAACAAATGTTTTTCATACCTGATCATCAGCAAACTTGAGCAGGGCAGCCATAGGATCAGCACCAGGGGAGAGAACAAACAGCAGGGGAGCACAGGAGTTGCTGTCCCCAAAAGCTTTTGGAAGGTCAAATGGTGGAGGTTCAATAAACTTCTTGCCAATTTTCTCTATGACAAACTCTTGTATGGCAGGGATTACCTGAGAACACATTTTGTAGATTTATTGTAAAGAAGTCAATATGATGTTGTGACAAACTTAATTTATTAGCAGCGGTGGCTTCATTAAATCTCCATTGTCTAAAACCATGTACACTCTCATGTAATTTCTCCCATCATAATGTTAATAGATCTATATTTGTCACCACATGGTGAATTGATGCCTGATATGGCAAGCTAGTTTGGTTTGGTCATGTGGTGAGACATGACCTGATTGCATAGACTATACTTCAAAGAACGCTGGGGGATAGAGAGGGGCAAAGTAGAATCAGGAATGACAAGAAATGGATAGGGCTAAATTATTATACACTTGTTCAAAAGCCAAAGACAGAGAAAGATGGTGGGTTTTGTGTGCCTGTGCTTCCTTCAATACACCTCCATGATCCTAACAGATCAAGGGTTATATTATATCTATGGCAGATGTGGTCAAGGCATTTTGGAAGCATGTGAACAACATGAAGGAGAAAACTGAAACAAATGAAGTAGTGATGGGTAGTAATCAGAAGTCTGACTGACACTCAATGCTCAGAGAAAAGGATGACAAGCCTAAGATCAAACTGCAACTGCCACAGTTAGTTCTGAAATTCTGAGCTGGTGATGGAAAACTTATTAGTTCACCAGAAGTGTAATCGTGTCAAAAATAAACTCGACTCATTTTGACATCTCTGTTTATTATTATCTCATTTTCTTTCCACTTTCTTGAAGCTCTGGAAATTCTAAAGCATCTATTTAAGAATGTGCCTACCAACTCAGTGATTGTTTCTTCAGTTCCTCATAAAGACATATTTCTGGGTTTTTTTCAAACTGATCTGGGTCACCAGTTTGATCAAGCCTAAAATGACCAGGACATGATCTGGGAAGTGATGGCAGTGTGTGTGTGTGTGTGTGTGACGTTAATCATACCACCAGCTGAATCACTCACTGTCTGCTGACTTGTCTATACAAATGGGGATAACCCCATATACTTAACTACATCATTCTCATAAGATGTCCAAGCCAGGTTACCTGTCCCCCCCCCCCCCCCCCCCCCCCAGACATTTGTTTTGAATATTTCTTATTCCTTCACTGAAAATTCTGTCTCTTCTAAGAGCATTTCTCTGACATTTAATTTTACTTGTAATGATGGAAATGTCAGTTCACCGTGGTGGTAAGAAATTTTAAATTGGAGAGAGAGAGAGAGAGATTCTTTATTAATGCCCATAGGATGTTCATGGGAATGGTTCACTGACGTCCTGCCAATGTACACAATATTACATCATTTGCAGATCTTCTTCTTCATCATCAGCATTCCAAGCTCTTCAGGTTCATAGCAGCAGACATCACCAATTAATCTCTGTGATTGGCCTTCTCTTTCCAGTTTGTGACTCCAAGTGCTTTTTTAGGTCTGCCTGTATATTATCTCTCCACTGTCTCCTTGGTCTACCTCGTGGTCCACTCCCATTCATCTCTTCTCAGTATACAATTTTTGTCTTTGTTATCTGTCGATTCTCTCTATATGCCCCAACCATTGCAGTCTATTATTCTTTTGATGACAATGTCAGGTTAAGGCTCCTCTACGAAGCCACTCTAAAGCCAGTCTGGGGCTGAAAGATAACAACATAGTCTGCTGTGGTAATGATGGTCAATCAACTCACCTGTGAGGTGACAGACTCAACACTGAAGAGCTTACCTTGTCAGGTCTAAAACAGCGTAGAACTAGCAATTTTTGGAAGGAACCCAGTTTTTCATTCCAGTCTCCAGGTAGTTTTTCATGGTGTGGTTCCTGAAAGATAAAAATACTTAATATAACTTATTCAGGACCAGTCTAGAGACAATGTATGTACAGGTTACATATTAATGGTTATTTCTAGCTTAATTTGGTTTATAACTCCTTAACCCTCTTAGCACGGACGGGCCGATTATCGGCCGTCGGCAGTCTGGCCAAAAACACGGAACAGCCGATCATCAGCCCGATCGTGTTTCGCCTTGACACCGTAAGAAATCTCCTATTTCGAAACACTGAAAGTGATTATTTTTTATATTCACTGCTGTATTAGCTTTACACATGGCGACTTTCTAGTGTTTGGTATCGAAGTAAAAATTATTGTTGAATTTTTTAGATAGTGACCTGAACCGCTAAAAGTATGTCTGACTCGTATGTTTCTGCCCCTTAACATGATGTTGATGAAACATTTGAATCAAGTGATGACACTAATTCTATTGATACGGATGCAGAATCTAGTGTTAGTAATAGTGGGAAATCAGATGGGGACGCTGATCAGACCAAAGCCCAACCATGGCTCAGGGTATATCCACCTGAAGATGTTGACACTCTGGCACATCCATTTCTTGAGCTGACTGGTCCAAAACACATGCCACCTAAAGATGTTATTGCTGTTTCATATATATACCTGTTTTTGACTACTGAATTACTTACAACATTTGTAAAAGAAATCAACAGATATGCAACTCAGTTTATTGCAAAAAGTGCAAATATCCTGAAGCGTAGATCTATTGTTCAGAAGTGGAAGCCAGCCACGATCGAAATGAAGGCAATTATTGCAATTATTTTGAACATGAGGCTGAACAGAAAACCTACCCTGTTCCTCTTGTGGAAAGGGTATTCACCACTATTGTTTTGAAAAACATTTTAAAAAGGCCAAAGATCAATAAAAACATTTCAAATAAAATGTATTTTTGTTTTTAGTTAGGTTTTTCATGCATTGAAGTTGAAAATTCATATTCTAATTTTCTATTTTTAGATATGCAAATGAGATAATTTGCATATACATCAATTTATTTTAACGATATTGTGAAAATTATGAACTTCAATCTATATCATTCTAATAATTATATTATTTCATGGTGGTCAGAATAACAGAAATGTGTCCAAAAAAATTTTTTTTAAGTAAAAACCAAAAAATGCTCGGTGTTTTTGGCTAGACATCCGAAAAACTTCCCTTGCTAAAAGGGTTAAAGTATATCCAGTTGTCACACTGACCCACTCTATTGTTACTTCAAATAGTTAGTCCTTCCTCTTAGGCTTAGGGCAGCCCATAGAACAGAGCTCATAGCTCTCCATGTCTGGGAAATCATTGCCACCTGCTTTAGGTCTTGGTTGTTCCTAAGGCCCATGGTCGAACCTTTCCTGAGGATGGTTCTTCATAGATAGTCTCTCTTGGTCTTCCCTATTTTCCTTTTCCTTCTGGTGTGCAAATTAGGGCTTGATGGAGAAGTCTTTTCTTATCCATTCTGAGCATATGGCCGATGTAGTTCCAGCGACACTTTCTTATAAAATATACATTCATTGTCTTGCTTGATCTCTTGGGCTTGTTACGTCAATCCCATAAAGTTATTTTTCAACAGCACCCATGCAAACATTTATTATTTTGAAAGCTGCAATGTATGCTTTCCTACTGTGAATGTAAATAATGACACACATGGTGGAAATAATAGAAATAATAAAATCAATGGTGATACAAGCAATAGTAGGAATACAAAATCTAATGATCCATTAAAAAAAACCCAGATGGTATAAAATGAAATAAAAACAAGAAAATGAAAGAAATAACAGTGATAATACTTTAATATATTCTTACAATCTCATTAATAAGGGTATAACAAAAGTATGCCCGTTACACCAATGGCTTTTGTTGTCTGCCCATTGTGCCAGTAAGTTTCACATACACATGACTCACCAGACTGTCATAGACAACTTTCCACTGATCCTTTTGTGTGATCAACTTTTTGCGAATATCTTTAAAAACAGGAAAATCATCCAATCTGCACAATTCATCCCATGACTTGGGTGGCAGCCATGTTGTCGGGTTGGAGTGTGGGTTGTCCAACCCGATACCTCCAGTCAGCAGGAACCTCCACTCATCTTCATTCACCTCCTTGTTATGTTTTTGGATGTTGACACACAGCAGAAATGAGAACAGCAGCTGCCGAAAAGAGATGTTATAGGGTTAAACAACAGTAATATTTCAGTTTAGTTATCAAAACTAACAGAAAAAAAATCTTGTAGCAGCCACTTTAATACTACCATGTAGCAGCCACTCTAATACTACCATGTAGCAGCCACTCTAATGCTACCATGCAGCAGCCATTCTAATACTACCATGTAGCAGGCACTCTAATGCTACCATGCAGCAGCCACTCTAATGCTACCATGCAGCAGCCACTCTAATGTTACCATGCAGCAGCCACTCTAATGCTACCATGCAGCAGGCACTCTAATGCTACCATGCAGCAGGCACTCTAATGCTACCATGTAGCAGCCACTCTAATACTACCATGTAGCAGCAACTCTAATACTACCATGTAGCAGCCACTCTAATGCTACCATGTAGCAGCCACTCTAATGCTACCATGTAGCAGCCACTCTAATGCTGCCATGTAGCAGCCACTCTAATAATACCTTGTAGCAGCCACTCTAATGCTACTATGTAGCAGCCACTCTAATACTACCATGTAGCAGCCACTCTAATGCTACCATGTAACATCCACTCTAATGCCACCATGTAGCAGCCACTCTAATACTACTATGTAGCAGCCATTTTAATACTATTATGTAGAAGCTTCTTTAAAGCAATCATGTAGCAGTCATTTGATTACAATCTTGTGGCAATAACTTTAATACAGTCTTGTAGCAATCACTTTAATAGAATCATATTTAAATCACTTTATAACATATTTTGTAGCAATCACTTTAATACAATCTTGTGGCAATCACATTAATACAATCTTGTGGCAAAAACTGTAATATAATCTTGTGTCAATCACTTGCATACAATCTTGTGGCAGCCAAACAAATGCAGTCTTGTAACACTCATGTTAACACAATCACACAAGTAAAGTAAAGTAAGCTGCAGTCTTGTAACACTCCTGTCAACACAATCACATAATTAAAGTCAGTAAGGACCTCTTTTCATACCAGTAATGCATCAGAAATACAATGCAAGACTCATGTTGTCATAGACCAATAAGCCCTTGACATAAGGCTGGACTGGACAATCACATTTGTTTATATTTACATTAATCAACGGGTCAACAACATGGCACACAGGTAATCTCAGCGCAGTGCACGAACTCTGTTGCACCGGCAAGGATCCTGACATACTCTGGGTAGACTTTAACTCCAAATTTTGCCCAAACAGTGCCGTTAGGCTTCTCTTTTCAATTTCCAACTTTCGTGCGCAACAATTCACACGAGCGCCCAGTCTTACTACCCAGAGACCAGGGGGAAATTAGTAGAAATCTACGTGAAAAAGTCTCAGTGGACAATCACACCTTAAATATAGTCTTGTTAACAGTCACTTATAAAATACAAGTCAGATTAAATGTTCTTTGTGTTTTAATTGTTTATATCATGCTCACTATCTATCTACTAATTATATTTACCTTATCCTTCTCAAACAGTGAGCGGCAGACATTGCTGTACAAAGAATAAGTGAAGTGATCGTACAAGAACTGCAGGCGTTCGTTGAGATTGTCAGATTTCTCAGCATTTTCAATGGAAAGGACAAATAGGTTGATGAACCAGGTCAGAGAATACTGGTACATTGGTTCAATGTTTGCCAGATCAGCAATGGAGAAAAACAAGATTGTACTGTGAATAGCAATGGGCTTATATTCCATTCGGGCTGCATCAATTTTCTTCTCAGTTTCTTCTGCAATGGCCTGGGCAAATAAAAATGTTTAAAAATATAAATACAAAATTTACCTTCACTCTTGCACAAAGCAATGAAAATAAAATAAAATAGAAATAAAACTTGTGTCACAATGGAGGTTGGCTGAATGTATTACTGGAATTATGGAAATATTAACCCAATCTCTTCCACGGTACAACTCTTGCACCATTTATTTGAAAGCTATGAGAATGGTTCTTTTCTAAACCACCCACTGTGGGAAAAATCCCTGTTAAACATTGGGGACTGCATTATAAAACCATCTGACTAACCTCTGAAACACAGTGAAGATTACAGAAACGATGTTCACATACTAAAGATTGCACCCAGATCTTGTCAGTTGTATCGTATTTAACTATCTTTCTATACTGGGGCAAGCGTAGTATACAGAAATGCATGGGAGTAAAGCAGAGTGAAGCACGTCTATGCCACCTTTGAGGCCGAGATAGTAGACCTTACAACCAACCTCTCGTGGAAATAATTAGTAGAAGTACCTTGGAGTGGCTGCTGCATTGGAGGACTGAGCATGCATGGAAATGCAAAATATGCAGTGACGTCAATTGTGATAACATAACATGAAAGGCAGTATAATGTTTCAGTTTATTGTTGGCTGACTGTGTACATAAGACCTAAATAAGCATGTATAACATTGGTACAGCTGTACAATCACTGACCCTTAAACTTCAACAGAATATGATAAGAGACAGATGAGGGAGAGAAAGAGGAAGAAAGGAAAGAGGAATAGGAACATGGAAACCCCATTTTACACTAAAATAGTTAAACAGGTTTTACTTCCTGTGTTGAAGCAAATTATTTCATGTCCAACAAGCTGCCCCTACAACTCAATTACACAAAATGCTATGAATATCCCTATTAAAAATATAAAAAAAACACACACACACACACACACATAATGCTGACCTGTTTTTCTGAAATCTCATTGGCCAGTTTTTTTGATGAGGACAAGACTTTAATAGCTGTCTCATCCTCTAAAATGTTGCCTTCAGAGGTAGACAGCACTTCTAGAATCTTGTCTTCTATGTCCTTCAACTGTCTGTAGAAATATTATGAGCAGCATGTCACATTTATACTACTAACTCCTTTCATTATGATTATTTTGTATGCATTAATTCCACCATAACACTTGCTTACCACATTTGTTCACAGGATTAAATCCTTATCAAGGTGGAGTTTTAAAACTGACCACGTCTTCCAGGTCAACCCTGCCTTAAATGGGTAGAATGAGATATCCTGGGAAGTAAAGGCACTCAGTATCTTCTTTTTCATCTTGTCATTATCACTGCCAGTAGTTTTCAGATGAGAAGGCCAAAGGTCTCTATGAAGGTTATGTCCTCCACTCATCCATACAACTTGCTTTTTGCTGGAATACCTGATCCCTACAACTTGCTTTGCACCAGAATACCAACTGGCCAGATCTAGGACCTCTTTACTGAATGAAGTTAGCATCTCTGATGCACAAGTTCAGTGTTTTGTGGCGACTGTCTACATAGACAATGTCCTTAATATCCATTTTTGAATTTCTTGTACAAGTCTGCAAGTCTGTTGTGTCCAGTTCGGTGTCTAAAAACAATGGTCTGTTGATTTCATGTGATGAGGTTGATTGGGTCTTTAGGATTGTGTTCTGGATGAGAAGTGTTTCAATGAGTTCTAATAGCTGCCTTGCACTCAGAATGTTAATGACCACAGCACACAAGTGCATCAAATGGTCTGTAACAAAACAGATCTAGCACCATATCTTCTTCTTTTCATTTGTCCGAGCGATGTGACTGTGTTGTGACTGTTTACAGAGCTGTGATATTTGCGCATTTTGGCTCACACAATTGACTTCATCGAGCATTTACTGACCAGATTACCTTCCTGGATAGTTTCAGGTGACATGACGTGGCCTTATTTGTCTGGTGTTCTCTTTGACCCCGTATCTAAAGATGTTGCTCCTGGAGGTCCCATCCAGGTCAACTGGATGTAGGCATGTCATTCCTCAAGGAAAGCCAGGGATAAATCAAAGGAAATCCTGCTCACCAAGGAGGCTTCCATAAATGAAGAGCAGACAAATGACACTCCATCCACCAGTTGGGAATGAAACCAAACTACACAATAAGAAAGTACAACAGATACCTACATCCTTATAAACCAATACCGACACGTTACAAGAATGCCACACAAGGAAGAATCACCAGCAATTAAAACATCTGATGACAACAAGATCTAATGGAACCACAAGAAACCTCATCTGAACAAGTACTGCACAATAAAGATCACAATTATAAGCAGTTGCTCTAAGGAGCTGAAATGCTTGAACATAATTGAATTATTATTTTCGTTCTACAAATGGACTGGACTGGATGACACTCTGGTCCGGTGCTCACCTAAGGAACTGAGAGGTTGTACACATGACTGCTTAACCTCATATCGGTATGTTGAGCTTCCCACTCTTCATGCGCTATGCCTTCCGAAGATCAGCACAGAGCAGACCGCAGGTCTGAGTTTTTGATGACCACACAAATAGGCATGTTCTTCTTCAAAACTTTAGACACCTTTAACGTTGTTTCATCAGAATGCTTAACATGACAGTTTGGAAAAAGCAGGATCTGTAAGGCTTCTCCTCTTTAGTCCCACCACTCTGGCAAGTGGGGCCAATGATAATGAACATATGAACCTTTCAGTAGGACTTTTGATGATCGGACATTGAACACTTTGCTGCTTTGCCATGGGACAGGTACCTGATGAACATTTCAGCCTAATCAGCAAGCAGACTGACAGTGGCTGCCGGGGTATATGCCTCAACATGGTGACAATGACAGTAACGGTCGACAAAGGGTGTTAGGAGACAGTATCGTACCTCGAGAAACCGCCCATAGGAGATGTTGCTCTTCTAAGCTGCAAGCAAATTTCTTGGTTTAGAACTGAGTCTGAGCAGTTTTTTTTTTCTGAACAAGTGTTTCAACTGACAGTTGTCATTTAATGGTATATTGGGCAAGCAGGCATTTCTTATGTTCCAAATGAGTTTAGATAGACGTTTTCACGCATGCACTGGGAGTGGGCTGATGAGAGCCAGACTGGACACTACATCTCTGGGAGCCACCAACTATGAGATCCCTTGCTAGCTGTTCAGGTCGCAAAGGTGAGCCTTTATCCATAGCACACAACATGGATGTGTGGCAGGAGTCTTGCATGGGAATCCGTAAAACCAGCACAGAGCCTGCTGGCACCTGAGGTACAAAGCATCTCCTTACGTACATCACAGCTGCCTTACCTTTGCCTCACGCCTGTGACCAAAATCACTGTGCCATCATCTAGCACCACATGCCTTAAGGTGTAGAACGACGACCTATAAATATTTATACTTTCTGCCATCAGATGAGGGCATTCAGTTGAATATGTCTTTTCTTCTTCTTCTGCACTCACCCTCAAAAGTGTGCCTGGCATGTTGTATGGTAATTGTTTACAGCTAGTCTGTGATATCTGCACTTTTGGAAAGCTTCTAAGGCTCAAAGACAGTTTATCACAAATAGAAAGATATAGCTGTAATTTCTTTGCAAAATTATGGGAAAAGAAACACTGAAACATATGAAAGCTGGAAAGATTTATGGTTAAAAAAAAAAGCAAGACAATGAGATCAGATTCCTGACAGCCTTCTGTTATAGCATGGAATATACAGTTAGAGAAAATACAATAGATGTAAGCTGTCGGAGACAGCCAACAATTGTCCATGCGAGTTAGATATTTGATAATATTAGACCAAACCTTCTAAAAAAAATAGGGGCTGCGTTAGCACAGTCGATAGGAGACTTGATTTCAAATCCAGCGCTGGAAGCCACCGGCCGGTGTTTGAAACTGGGTGGTTCCCGGAGTTCACCCAGTCTCTAGGAAATGGGTACCAGAGTTGACACTCTGGGGTAATAGAGGAATGTCGCTGTAGCTACGGAGTTGCGTGCGGACGGTAACACAGGGGAACAGTTTCTTATCAGTTGTCTGTACTGGTGGCAGAGCACTTATGGTTTATAATCGTGTGACGCAATGACGCAGGTTCACATCTCCCGACTTCACCTTTTTTACCTTTTAAAACAAAAACTGATTAAATGCTAACTTTTTGTTTGCTGCCCCCTGTAGAATGAGTTGATTTTTCTCCTCTTCTAATTCAGGTCTCTCTTTGGCTACCACAATTCCCAGCAGCTGGTCTGCAAAACCATCAGGGGTGATCATAAAGTTGAGCAATGTCACCTTGAAATACAGGGAAAATAAGGAGACATTATAGAAAAGATCAGGGAGATTTTCACTAGACATTACATACATAAGTAGTAAATGTAAATAATAATTCATCATTTGTTTCTGCTGCTTGAATAGGTAAATGAGGATTAAACTAGTTTCAGTGACAGGTCGTTGGCTCTGTGGCTAAGTTGATGTGAACGCTCCGGGATGCCGGGTTCGATCCCAGCTGCGGGCCATGTGCCTTGCATTGGTTTCGACAGTGGTATCAAGAAAGCTGACTGTCCAGAAAGCAATGGCAAACTACTGGACATAAATATGCCTAGAAAAACCAACGTTCTGCAACATCCTGTAAAGGATACGCAACTAACCAACCAGTGACAGGTCAAAGTTTCCTGTTGCCTTGATTCTTTAAACTGAGCAGACATGTGGCGAAGTGGTCAAACCATTTGCCTCTTTCTCTGAAGGTTGTGGGTTCATTTCACGGCTGCATTGTTCAGTTCACAAGTGTTTTTTTTTTTTAAAGGAGATCCCTGGGGATTGTCGCTGGAGCTACGGAGTTCATGCTCTGTATAATGATGTCAGCAGGCGGCTAGCTGTTCTGAGGAGAGAGACCGAGCCATTTGGGATAAAATCTGGTGCAATGAAGCTGGTCATCTTGGTTTTAATCTTTAACCCCTTCTTCTTCTTTTTTTTCTTTATCTTCTTCTTTTTCTTCTTATCTTTCTTCTTCTTCTTTTTTTTCTTCTTCCTTTTTCATCCTTAAAAGGGTAGTGGCACCGTTTTTGTGGTTCACACTTTGGCTGTGATGTTTATGCTTTCTAGCATATCACATTTGATTTCAGCAAACCCCTTAATTGGTCACTTTTTTCTGACATACTTGTTAAGGAATTATGGGTCTGTTCTATTTTCCCTCCAAAATGGAGCCTTGTGACCCATACAGGAATGATGGTGATAAACATAAAGATATGTTCCCTAAAAAAAATTTAAAGAAAGACATAAACTAAATTGTGAAAATTATTAGTTTTTAAAAATCTAGTAACAAAAAGTTGGAGAAAAAAAAACCAAAACAATTACACTCAATCAAGCTAGAATACCTTAACTGCAGTTTCTGGCAGGTAATGTGGGTTTCTGAGCTTTGTAGTGATGTAGAACTTAAACTCCAGGGAGTACTCAATGGTAGAATCTCCCAGCTTGATGCACAAACTGCCACCTTGTTTGAACGTTTGCTTCAACAGCAGTGACTCCAGAATTGGGTCCAGGTCTTCTGCAATATTCTCCAGTAATACCTGCCAATCAAATCAGTTTAGGTAAAGGTCATGTGAGTTTCTTTCTGGAAAAGATATCTTTAGATTCAACTCATCTTCTATCATAAGCCACAGACAGTTCCAAACTTCAAGCAGCTAGGACATAAACCATAATTTTTTCAATTTATATCAAATGTAAATAACATCATCGTCATCAGGTGCCTTGCTGACTGGCCTGGGTGATCATGCCTCTCCACAATCCCCGATCTCCTGCATGTATTAGTTCGTGTGCTGACACATTTTCATGCCATGCGACAAGACTGTCAAGAATCTTCTCTTGTTGTCTTCCTCTATCCCTCCTTTCACAGATCTTTCCAGTGGTCACAAAATGTTCAATTTTCCCTCTTCTCATAACATGGCCGGAAAATGATGACTGTCTCCTTCTGATGTCTGTGATTAGTTGTCTTCAGGCTCCTTTCCCTTTCAAAACTTCTTGGTTGCTCTTTTTGGCTGTCCAAGGTATTCTAAGCCTTCTTCTACAAAACTACATCTCTGAGGCCTCAAGAAATTGTTTGGCCTGCCTACGGATTTTCCAGGACTTACAACCATAAGTGAAACTGGATGTATGTGGCAAGCAAGAATTCTTTTTCTAACTTTCAATGACAGAGATGTGCAAAAGATGTTCTTTATTTTATCAAATGTAGTTTTTGCCTGTTCTATCCTGTTTCTTATCTCAGTAATGCATCTTCCATCTGATGTTATCCATGTGCCCAGATACCTAAATTTCCGCACTTGTCCTAAAATAACACCATTGACAATTATTACACACTTAGGAATAATTCTTTTCTTCGATACCACAATTACTTCTGTCTTTTCTTTATTCAAACTGAGGCCCACTTTCTACCACCACAATGTCTATCATTTCCTGCAGTTCTTTCTAACTTGTTGCTAGCAAGACTGTGTAATCAGCATAACGTAAATTGTTTATATTATGCCCACCAAACACAATTCCGGGCATATCAGTTAAAGATCTCATTATATGTTCACTGTAAAAAAAAAAAAAAATTTAAATAACATACATCATTAAATATGTATACATACATAAAAATTGAAAACAATTAATGATGGCAAGAATATTCAGCAGATAAGAAAGAATCTATCATATGTATTTTCATGAAATGGCAAATATTTAATTAACTGTTAACAAATTCACAAAAATATGTGATATTTTTGACATTCTGATTCTTGGATCAAGGGATAAAAAAGGGGAGAAAGGTCAGAACAGCTGTGTGTGTGTGTGTGGGTGTGCGCATGCACGTGCGAGTGTGTATGTTTTTTTTTTTCAAGCTTGCTATGTCCACTTAACATTAAATTATTTAAGATTTTGTGTGATACTGATCACAGATCTTTTTATAGTGTGTAAGAAAAAGACATTAAGACTACTTACTGGAGTTCCAAATTGGATGCAGTTTTCCAGGGTCCTAACAAAGTCGGCATCAGTCAGCTTAATCACATGAAGATTGTTGGCTTTCTCCATATTTTTGACCCATTTGTTAGCCTGACCTTGAGGATCAATCAGAAGTGGCCAGCGACGAGCATTGCTGAATGCAGAAGCAGAAACAATTGCTAGTTATTATTACTATTACATTCACGAAAGAGAGAAGTTTCACTTTATTAGTAAAGTTAGTTGCCTATCCATTACAGGACAGTGCAGAACCAACCCCAGATTTTTTTGGGCTGTTGTGGTTTTTCTAGGCAAATGTTACGGTCAGTAGTTTTCCACTGCTTTATGAATGGTTAGCTCTCGGTACCACTGTCAAAACCAATGCAAAACAAACCATCCGCAGATGGTCAGCACCCTGGCATTACCAAGCACGTTCGCAACACCTAAGCCACAGACGCTGACTTTATTAGTAAGCAAATGTGAAATTTAATTTTATTCCCCGTTGAAGCATATGCTATCAGTCAACTTAATGGTTTAACAAAACAGATGTTTTGTAATCATCATCATCATGTGCCCTGCCAACTGGCATAGGTGCACATACATTTCTACAGATCACAATCTCTGCTTGCTTGGAACAGCTCTCTTGACAATATCCCTCCATGCCATTGTTTCAGCCCATTCAGCATCACCTCTCTTGGTCTGCATCTACCCCTTTTACCACTGATCTTTCCAGTTGTCACAATGTTCTCCAAAGTCTCTCTTCTCATTACATGGCCAAAGAACAGTGTTTGTGTTGCAATGTAGAAGTTCAAAAATGTATAAAATATATACGGAGCAACTAATAAATGTATGTTGAGCTGTCTGATCCTGAAACAAAGAAATACATTTTCAACAAGTCCTTGACAAACCTGATAATAATGCCATTCTCAAGAGAGAAATTGTCAGTTGGCAGTCCTGCAATGTTCCACTCCCTGATCTTGACAGGATCCCCAAGAGTGTTGATGAGGCTGTAGTCACTGGAACAAGGCAGGCCTTTCTCCTGGACTGTCTTCAGCCATTGTGCAGCAGTGTCCTAGTAAGTGAATTAACAGCCATGTAAAATGGCTTACATGACAACATCCACATATGTGTCAGTTTGTAACTCATTAGCTATGTCTCTGTGTGTGTGTGCTGAGGCCCCATTGTTGGGAAAGGGGGGGGGGAGAAGACACCACTGGCACCCCTAATATGCATGTGGTATACGAAAGACAGTGCATTTGCCTCAGAGGAAAGGAACCAACAGTCTGCACACAAATAAGTGAGATCTATAGTACAAATGTGCATACGAAATTCAAGATCTGGATCATGACAGAAATCTAGAAGTGGAAAAACAACCAGAACTTTCTGCTGGAGTTTACAGCTGGTATATGCAAAAAAAAAAAAAAAAAGATTAATTACCAAAGCTACTTTGCCAAACTTCAAATTGTTGGAAACAATAAAAAATATACTGTAATGCACACAATTCCAGCATCAAAAAAATATTTAAAACAAAGTAAAGGACCCTTTACCACGCTTTTATGCGTATAGGGCATATAGGGCATGACCTAAATTTTTAAAGACCAATCGGCACAAGATTGATGATGTGGTCAGCATCATGCCAGCCACCTCTACTTGCCAGGACTGCACCCAGTAGCCACTCAAAGCTCAGTCGACCTGGTGATTCCAGCATACAAAACACATTATGTCAAAGAATAATGAATTAACAGCTTCCATCTTCAAATTTTCCTCTTCAGGTTGCTTCCTGAACGTTTGAGACCCTGAGATAAAATCTCAGTACAGATGGCAATCCAACAAGGCAAACCCGTTATACCATGTTCAACCTCCAAAGAAGTATTAATTAGGGCACTGGTAATAATTACACAAGCCTAGTGTAAGCTGCAGTTTTGTGTGGGTAAGGAATAGTCAACTAAATTCAGCTGACATTATAGAAATACAGAAAGAACATTTTAGTAAAATCATTCTGGCATAGAAAGTTTCAATAGCTCATAGACCACTTTGAAGGCAATCCCCAGCAAAAGCTGGATTATTGTTCCCTGGAGCTGACCCAACCAAATTAAATAGGTACTATGTCTTCTTCTTCTTCTTTATCTGTGTTTGCACTTAAATAGGCAGCTGGCACATTGTATTGTGGTTTATTCTTCTTCTTCTTTATCTGTGTTTGCACTTAAATAGGCAGCTGGCACATTGTATTGTGGTTTACAAAGCTGCAATATCTGCACATTTTAACCCAACACTTTCAATTTTTGCATACTTTGGCAAACTCCTAATTAGTTACCATTTATGACATGCTTGTTAAGAAGGCTAGGTCTGATTCCCCCCCCCCCCCCCCCCCCCCCAATCCAATCACATGAGGGTGGTAATAGATAATTTTCACACATTTAAGAGAATTTCCTTGCAAGTGAAGGAAGTAATGGCTGTGAGCAAGAGAGCTGTGGAGCAAGTGAGCAAGGGAGCAAGGGAACAAGGAAGCTGGCCTTAACCTTTATGCTGTGGGAGAATAACTGACTTTCTCTTTACTTCTCCTTTGTGACGGCCATTTAACAGCTTGGTCAATAATAAATGAAGTAACAACGTTCTCTCTAAAAACCAAAACCTACCATTCTGAAAGCTGACGTGAAGGCTCCCAGGTAGGCAACTATTCCTGAGGATACCAAAACATCACCTGTCAGATTGACATACTTTTTACCCAGGTCTCGGGCAGCTTGACTCCATCTGGAAATATTCACATGCGACTGAGTTAGCAAGATGTCTGTCAGTTTACATCACCTGTGTGTTACTGGGGTATGTTTACAGAAGTAACTAATCAGAATACTGCGTCCGACTATAAAAACTGCCATTACTGTGTGTATCTACCACTTTTGTGGTGAAGGCGGGAGAAGCGGGGGGAAATATGTGGGAGAGTGTGTGTGGGAGTGGGGGGGGGGGGGGGGGGGGGGGGGGGCTTTGAATCCAAGGATTTAAGGCTGCATGGCTAGAGCTGTCACCAGACTGTGCTGACTATGATTTTGTTTTGGTCACCAACAAAAACAATCAATCATCCCCAACTTGTACCAAGGATTCAGAAATGTGTCTCCTGTATGAGTCTTGCATTCTTAACCATTCGGAATCCCACTACAAAAGTTGACTTACAAACTCTTGGCTGAAATATTCACCTGCCCATGGAAAAAGTCTACAGAGATGGAAAGAAAATTATCTCTGCCAGCCAAGATGAAAAAAAGGACTCTTCTCCTAGAAAAAAAGGGACTTTATTACGGGAAAAACTCAGCTACATTAATCTAGCACTTGGAATACTTAAACTATGTTTTAATTAGGCAGAAGTACAAGCGTTTGCGGAAATTACATATAAGATTAGCACTTTAAGCTAATACAAATCAAAATGGAGTAAAATATATTTTTTCTTTAAACAAAAAAAAAAAAAACACACAGGTAAAACGGCACTGCTTGCTGATGATATAAAAAAAAAAAGTGTCGCTCAATATGAAGGAGTGGCTCTAATACTATTTAAACATGCACAGACAGCACTAAAAGAGTGGAAAACGGTGAGTTCTAAAATAACATAAGTAAATTGAAAACTTCAGAAAGTAGAACCGGTCAAAAATACAACCATGAGTGACAGAATGAACTTGGCAGCTAAAAAACTTTTGTCAGCACAGAAAAACGGGTAACTGCTTATGTGCCATAAGTTGGTCATGATGTATTTGCATCATATAAATCTGTCAATGTGGCAATTTCCTTCTAAATCAGTCAGTATTGAGACATCCTATTTAGAATAAATGGCTATGGAGTTTCCTGTGGCAATATGTATGTAAACATGCATTCCCACGTGGGCATGCAGACATTGTATGTTTTATATATATATAAAATTGTACATGCATGTTTATATGTGTGTCGGTGTGTATATTGCATACTAGCCCCCTCACCAACAACCCTCACTAGGTACTAGAGTACCGGTCAAAGCCACTAGTTTTGGTGCAATTATTATTTCTTAGCCAATATAAATGGCCCAAATAAATCAGACCACAATTACAGTCGATACTACTCGCAGTAGGTTGAATGTGGTAGATTTTTTGTTTTGGTTTTCATAAATGGATTGATGAATGGATGTGGCAGATGTGAACCAGTCGAGGTCTTTATTCTGGTTCTATGAAAAATAAGTATCAAGATGCCTCTTTATTCCTGTGAGTTATTTTATTTGATAGATGTGTGAATATTCATCAAAAGAATGCAACAGAAGAAATACTAAACAGGCATAAGATTCTCACAAAGGAATTTATAGGCACACATCCTGTTATGAACAAATGCTAATACAGGATACAATGTTAGAGGAAAACAACCTGCATAACATTGCATGAATTTCAAAATTAAGTGTGGCTGGAGCAAGGAGGGATGTATGTGAGGAAAAGTATGACATGTGTATGAGAGGAAAAGTATGAAATGTGTATGAGAGGAAAAGTATGACATGTGTATGAGAGGAAAAGTATGACATGTGTATGAGAGGAAAAGTATGACATGTGTATAAGAGGAAAAGTATGACATGTGTATGAGAGGAAAAGTATGACATGTGTATGAGAGGAAAAGTATGACATGTCTATAAGAGGAAAATTATGATGTGTACAACCAGTATGCTACTAGAAAAGTCAGCATCTATACCTTAACTCTTTAAGGCCCAAACAACGGTGTGAGCGTAGTTTGAGAAGTTCCGTTCTGCCCAAACAACAGTGTCATCGTTAATCGTGTATCTCTTACATTTTGCTTCGCATGCGCGTTCGTACTAGTTTCTAATGTTTGGAGGTACGAATAACCTATTCAGGGAAAGTCACTCTACCGAAATCCTTTTAGTTTCACTTCTTGGACTAAAACACACGTGGATAATTTGAGAGAAAAAAAAAACATCAATTTTTTTTTTACAGTTTATTTTCTAAGTTCGTTTTTGAGTGCACTGAATACCAATGTTCTAACCACAAGAACAGGTCGCAGAATGCGTCTTTCTGCGGCCGAAGCTCTGAAATTGTTTCAGTCAGATGTTTTTAATTGTGAAAATGATAATAAAAATTTAGATTTTTCGGAAAGTGATTCAGACTGTGAATTTTCACCAGTGAAGCTGAGCGATCAGCTGTTCGGAATCTAGCGATTCTGACGAGTTTATTACACAGACAATGTCCCATACTACCGTATTTATGGTGTAAGAGAAGGAAAGTGCTCTAAACAAAGAGATAGTACTATACTATGGCTAAGCTACATTGAAATCATCGCAGCTACAGTCTGTAAATAACTGTACAAAGTGAATAGTAAATAGTGTGTGTGTTATGGCTCATTTTTCTGCCATTTTTTTCTCTGAAATTTTGCTTAGCACTCGGTGGGAACTAAGAGCCCCTGAGTGATAAACTAACCCAGAAAGTTATCATAACTTTAGAATATGTTAGGACATTGAACAAACTTTGAAGTTTTGTTCTCAAATTTGGATATTTACTATTCTTGTGGCTGCAAAACCATGGTAAGTGAAGAATTTTTGTGTGAAATGTTGTCCTTGTGAAATTACCACCTGCTGAATTCTTCTTTTCCACTAACTATAACAAAATTAAACAAACACTTATCATCAGATTCAGAATGTACACTCATTTCTCGTTTAAAAAATATATACTGTTATAGGGATTAGAAGTATATTACAGTCTCTACAGCCTTTCTTGTACACCCACCCCTCTGCCATTTTTGTAAAGGGAAATTAATGTGGGCCAAGTCTGTCAAAATTTATGGGCCTGAAAGAGTTAAGACATTTACGTTATCACAATCGACATAACTGCACACTGGACATTCCCATGGGTACTCAGTCATCTGATGCAGCAGCCACTCCAAGGTACCTATACTGAATTTCCCCACGAAAGGTTGGTTATAGTGTCTCCTGTCTTGACCTCGAAGACAGCATAGACGTGCTTTATCAATCTTTACTCTCAGGTCATGTAATCAAGTTAGCAAAACAGATTCAACATTATTCCCCGCAACCTTGCTTGTACAGCATTGATGATATCATCTCTTTCCATGCTTCTTCCTGTTTTCATTGGTGCATTACTTACCAGCCAGTCAGCTATTTTATTACTTTTTCCTCCTGCATATCCTGGTGTGTAGATCCAGACGATGGAGATTATCTGTGACTTCTTTAGTCTTTTTTACCCATTTAGAGTGTAAGCTACCTAGTGCAATCTTCTGAAGCATGTTTAAGGAGCTGACTTGTTCTGCTACCCATGCTCTTGAAGCAGCAGTTATCTCCATGGTTAAGAGACACTTGCTGTGGGAGAAGAAGAATTACTGCCCGGTGTGCTATAGTATTGACACTTACATTAGAAATCAGTATCCTACCAGTCTGTGGCACTCACCTGTCTCTTTCACCTCCAAGTCCCCCAATCAGCTGCTCAGCCCTGGCCAATTTTTTAGTACAAAGATCAACTTCATTCTCCAGTTCAGCTTTTTTAGCTTTGTTAGTCTCCAGTTTTTCTTCCAGTTTGTGCAGCTTTTCCTATAATTATATAAGAGCATTACACTTCTAACAACCTGGAAAAATAGGGTATGACATACAGAAAAATGACATTCAATGAGGCAAAACAACAGCAGTATGATGATGTTAATAAGTTAAAGTGACAATGTATGTATGTATGAACTAATGGTATGCAACACTTGATAAAAGAAAGGTCTATGGCACAGGCTTTAGTGAATACATTTCACAATTCTGAGGTACCAGTTTGGTTCCAGCTGCAGGCAGTTTGACTGCAGAGTGCTTTGCATTGATTCTGGCAATAGTGATTAAGTGCCGACCTTTCAGAGGGCAATGGCAAAATCAATGTAAATTTGCCTTGCAATAGCAAACTGCCAAAACAATGTTGATTCTGCAATGCCCTGTAAAGGATAAAAAGCAATTTTTTTTAAGCACCACAAAAAATGCATGCCTCTGACTAGTTAGAATAGGTATTATAAAACTTTACACCTTACAGCACAATATGAAACTATCGTTTGGAAAAACAGAAAAGTGCCAACAAACAATAAAAAGATTATGATTAATAATAATTAATTATAATTAATGCAGATGCTTTCACCTAGTGGCTAGCTGCACTGCTTAGACACACAAATGTTTCCCTTCCAGTGAAACAGCAAATGATTAATAGCATCTTCATCTCTACTTTATTTGAGAAGTGCCAGACACAGACATTGAACAGGGCGCTTGAAGAGAAAATAACTACCCGTGAAATGGGGTCTCTAACACCATAAGTAGGGACAAGGTTCTGAATACCAGCATTCAAGAAAAAGTTGGAATAAGATTGTCTGTAAATTATATTGACAGACAAAGAATGAAATGGTTTCAGCCCATCTAGCGAGAATGTAACCAGACCAAACTGCATATGAGAACTTTTACAGCAGAACATCTGGAGTGGGAGAGGTGGGGTGGGGGGGGGGGGGAGAAGGAGGAAACAAGGGGAAGACCAAGAAAGAGACAGATAAATGGTGAAGCTGAAACCTGCAAGAAAAAAAAGAACAAATCCATCACCCCAGCCAAACAAGAAGTGCAAAACTAATAGAGACAAATTACAACATTAGGCTACACAACCTGGTATCAGTCAGACAAAATGATAGTAAGGCAAATAGAATCAGGGACACAAATGTTCTAGAATTATTTACCTGAACTTCCCTCAGAGAAGCTCTTTTCTTCTCCAATGATGCCATAGCTACTGCTAGCTCCCCTTCAGCAGTTCTCAAGGACTCCTTCTTTGGTGCAACAACTTTTGCCACTCTAAAATAATATTTTTAAACACTGTAGCTGCTTAAACAATATCACTTCAAATATGTTATCAGTGTCTAATTACAAATTAACATGATAATTTTTCAAATTTTTGTCAGTTAAATAGCATTTAAGCATTCATTAGTCGGCCACCATCTCACACATTTTAATAAAACTTTTTTTTTTTGTATTTTTTTTTTTTTTCAAATTAAATTGCATGGCTAAGTAGCTAAGCCATTTGCCTTATGCACTAAAAGTTATAGATTCATTTCATGGAATAAAGTATACAGGTTACAAGTGCAAATGTTTTTTTTTAAACTAAGATCAATGGAGATAATTCCTAGAGATATAGAGTTTGTGCTTTCTGCAATCATTCTCAGCAGGCTGCTAACCATTCTCTTTCTGCAATCATTCTCAGCAGGCTGCTAACCATTCTCTTTCTGCAATCATTCTCAGCAGGCTGCTAACCATTCTCTTTCTGCAATCATTCTCAGCAGGCTGCTAACCATTCTCTTTCTGCAATCATTCTCAGCAGGCTGCTAACCATTCTATCGACAGAGTTTTGTGATAAAAAACCGAATGCACTGAAGCCGATTATTTTAAAATTAAACCATTTAAGCCTTTAATTTTCTATGTATGTTGCCATATAAATATTGCAACTGGTTCTCATCAATGATTCATAATTCTTTATATTAATACTCACTAATAAAAACTGTCAAACTGTCTATTTTATCAATTTTTTAGGGTGGTGTAGACAGCGGGGTAATGAGCATAAGAATTTAGACCTGCATGGCTAGTGCTGTCACCACGGACTATGCAGGTGAGGATGTTTAATTTTGCCCCCAACAAAAAAACTCCATCACCTTAAACAGAGGTCAAACCTGGGTCTCCCACTTACTAACAATTATGTGAATATACAAATTTTGTGATATTCCTTCTGCCTGCTTATTAATTTACCATTTTCAAATTCTCTTAATGTTAAAATCTGTATATTTACAATCTCTAAAAGGTTGTCAAAATAGACCAAATTACAGACGGTGTCGCTGCGATCTCATCTATAGAAATAAACCAGCCACCACAAATGATAAACAGCATCTGCTTACTTGTCATAGACATCCATAGCTCTCACCCACTTGCAGAGACCCTCGCAGGCTGTAGAAGCAAGTTTGATCTTGTCTGGATCAAAGTCAGGATTGGGAATGAATTTAGTTCTGATAATCTTCATATATGCTGCTGGAATGTTATCCTGGTGGCGAGATCAATGAAAATGAATAAAAATACAATATATCAATATTGATCAGGAAAACAAACAGGCAATTACAAAATCAAGCTGAATCTCTGGAGATGTGAATATACAGAAGAAGTGGTTGTATTTCATGGAAACAAAAACAATTAAAAACAGAGGTTCTGAAGAGACTTACAATGTAAAGAAAGTTGTTGAAGGAAACAAAAAAAGAGTGAAATGTTTCGACCATTTTAAAAGACATAACACTCTTTAAAAAATCATACTGGAGGGAAAGCTTGAAGAGAAGCAGGCAAGAAGCAGACAATGGTACAAGTAGGAGGTTAACATCAAGAGCTAGACAAAAAGCAGTGCTCCCATCTAAGGTGTCATGTTAGTGTTAGTAACTGGTGTTGCTGCATGTTAGCAAAAAGTCCTTTACTGACTTCATATAGGTTCAACCTCTAATGCACCCCCCCCCCCCCCTCCCTAGAAGGTTCATCCAGAGCAGAAAGTAGAGCACGCTGGAGATATGTTGCAGTCAACCTTTACTGTGAAGATGACACCTTGCTGACTGACGCCAATTCCAAATAATATGTTTTACTTTATAAACTACTTGATTACCACAGTACTATCATCATCAAGTGCATGGCTGACCAGCGTCGGCAATCATGCCTCTCTATAATCCACAATCCGCAACTGCATGTATCAGTTCATTTGCTGAAACCCTTCCATGCCATGATAAAAATCTGTCAAGAATCTTTTCATGTTGTCTTTCTCTGTCTCTCTTTCCACAGCTCTTTCCACTGGTCATAACATGTTCCCTGTTTTCCTCATCTCATTAAAAAAAAAAAAAAAGTATAGATCCCTTTTCACACCTTTAGGCGCATCGGGCATATGGGAAGAGCACCCATATTTTTACAGACCAATCGGCACTCGGTGGGTAATGTGGTCAGCATTACGCCGGCCGTCTTTACTTTCCCAGGACAGCCCATCCTAGTACCCTAGTTCATAAAAATGTTGACTGTCTTTCTGATGTTTATGATAAGGTGTCTACGAGCACTCGCCTTTTTCAAAACATATGGATTGCTCTTCTTAGCTGTTCTAAAGATTCTTCTTAAAAACCACATCTCCGAGGCCTCAAGACTGTATTCGACATGTTTATTTTTTCCATTTAGAATCCAGATTTGTTATCGTTGGAATAAATGCTGTTACTAATATAGCTTAATAGGGTTTACGCATGGGAATGCCCTGAGTGCTGTGATGTCAATTCTTGACTCAACTCAACTATATCACATGCAATAATTCTTTTCCTTACCTCCAATGACATGAAGTTATTGCACAAAATGTTCTTGATTTTTCGAAAGCCAGTTTTGGCCTATCCCCTATTCTGTCAAAAGATAAACAATTCCTCTGCAAAAACGTCCTAGTTATTAGATTCTTTTTTTCCTTTTTTTACTCTTTCAATGTTCCTCTTATCTCTTTAAAAGTCAGAATAAAAGTGTACTTTCTGGATAGAGCTTTTTTTATGCGCTTTCATGTGGTTTTACATGGTTTCACGTGGTTTCATGTGCTTTCATGTGGTTTCATGTAGACAGGGGGAAGCATTCCTAGATTTAGCCTTTCTGTTAATCTATCACTTGGAAAGCATGCTGCCTGCTACGTTTACAGTACAGTGTTTGTGAGCAGTCTTAATACCTGACCGCATCATCTGACCTTTGATAAAATGTATTGCTAACACAGTGCGAACTAATCATCATGACATCATTTTCAACTGTATCTTTTATCCTGACATGAAATTAGTTAGTTAGTTAGTTAGTTAGTCTATCCTCTTGTGTCGAGTGCGGCACATAGGGCAGAGGTCATGACTCTCCATGCATGGCGGTTCGTTGCAATCCGTTGTAGGTCTTGGATGTTTGAGTGGCCCATGAGCGAGCCTTCCCTGATGATAGTTCTACGTAGGGTTTCCCTTGGTCTTCCACGAGATCTTTTCCCCTGTGGTGTCCAAATGAGGGCTTGGTAAAGAAGTCTTGATTTATCCATTCTAAGGGCGTGGCCGACATAGTTCCAGCGGCGTTTTCGTATAAAATTAGACACATACTCTTGCCCGGATTCTTGCCTTATTTGTGTATTTGTTCGGACCATTTGAAATTTAGTATTCTTCTAAGGAATTTATTTTCAAAACTGTCTAATTTTGTGTCTAGAGTTTTCGTTGATTTCCAGCTCTCGCATCCATAGGTTACTACTGGAATCACACAAGAATTGAAGATCTTGAGTTTTGTGTGTTTGCTAAGTGTCTTTGATTTCCAGATGTTAGATGTCATGATGACATGAAATGCTTCATCACTAAAACCTCAAAGACACCCCTGCCTACACAGCAAAAGTGGTATAAGTGGTGGTGATTGGCAGATGATAGATTGGCAGATCAACAATGGACTGAATACCAGCCCATGGGTATTAAATGGGTATTATTTTAGGAGTCTCAAGTTCTTAAATGCAGCAGCTATGCTAACGATGACACCTTTTATATTTAGGAGTCTCCAGTTGGTTGTGTATCTTAGCACACTTATTCATGCAGCAAGGTGCTGTCATCAGTTGGAGGTGACAAGTTCAATTAATGGCATGGTAATTATAGATTTTTATGTTGTCTAGTGTGTCCTTTTATCTCTCTACTTCTTTCTTTGAATGCCAATTGATATCTCTCAATGTGTTTATCATACTTAAATACAACACAACATCCAAAAACCCCAAAAAATTGTTTAGGAGAAATTACTTAAACAACAGCAAACATGAAAAAGAAGAAGTGGCTTATTTAACTATAGCAGAAGACACCTGTTCTGCACATCAGGTGCATAATGATATATCTACTGCAAGAAATATGAAATCCAAAAGACTCCCCTAAAGAATATATGATCCACTGCAATAAGTTAAGGCAAGTGAAAATTTGCTGGGAGTAGATGGCTATAGAAAACTATACAGAAGGATTAAACAGTAAATCACAAGAATGGAGGTTAGCATATGAAATGTTAATATACCTTAAAACAGAATAATGGTACCCCAGATCACTTTAGAGATAACCTACACAACATAACCTGCAAAGATAACCTACACAACATAACCTGCAAAGATAACCTACACAACATAACCTGCAAAGATAACCTACACAACATAATTACTATAACTGTTTAAAAATATTTTTAAAATATACTAAACATGACAGTCTATAGTCCTACAATCTTCTTCAATTAATACATAAGCTATGCAATACTAAATAACAAAACATAATTGGTAGGCATAAATAACCATTGCTGAAATAGAAGCTGCTGACCACATCACCCATCTTGTGCCGATTGATCTATAAACATATAGGTCTAGCCCTATATGCCCTATACACCTGAAGGCGTGGAAAAGGGTCCTTTGCTTTTTTTTTTTTTTTTTTTTAACTGAAATACAAAAAGGAAAAACACTATAAGATATTGAACAGGACATTGTTATTTAAGTTTCTACTACAGAGGAAAAGATGACAATAGGCATTCTGCACAAGCAACTAATCTCTGTCCAAGCTTACCCTTGTTTATTCTAGTTCTCTTAAAACAATGTTGGCTACAGATTTACTAATTCAAAGACATGTGCCTCTGAGCAGACACAACAACAGATGTACCTTGTCATAATTGTGAAGGTTTTCCAGGAACTTCATGTCACTGAGTAGTTTCTTGGATGGGCCCCAAAAGTCTTCAATTTTTTTGCCTGAGCCTGAGGGGTCGGGAATACGATCTGGTTTGACGCCTCTAAGCACACAGATGGACTCCATGACCAGCCGGACACCATATGGTGGAGATTTCATGGATTTGACAATAGTCACATCCTGCACAATATCAACATATATGCAGATGTCAGCCATGATAAACATAACCAACCAATTTGCCAACCACTCTTTGAAGGATGAATGAACAAAAAAAAAAAGATAATTTCTAGGCATATTTGAAACCTGATTAGGCTTTTTTACATGTATTTTTGAAACACATGAATAAAATACTGCTATGACAACACGTCAATTTCACATTCATTAAGGAAGAAAATAAGGGGCAATTGAACTGACATGTTACAGAATGATTTTCAGAATACCATAGACTAAGAAGAAAAGAAATACTGACATCCTAAAAGATCTGAAGATCAGGGAAGATTAGCCAGTAAACAGAATTTTGTCTTAGAAACTGAAACATTTCGCCATATCAAGCATCACAGTGGATTGGAAAAATTGTAGCAGAAGGCATGATAAAAGGCAATTGGCTGTCCTGTATGAATATAGGCAACACCTTGGGTAGGAAAGTACACAGGGCAAGAGATCTGGTGAGATACCCAGTTTCTTTCAGGCAGGCTGTGATAAGAGCAATCTGCAAAGGATGATGGTGATTGCACACCATGGTTTAAACAGCAGGAATCTATCTATTCTATAAGGTGTGGAGAAACATGACCACACTACCCTCATTGAAACAAATGAAATAACTAGAAAACAAGCTATCAAGAACTGAAAGGCGACTGGAGATGGTCATTCCAGAAGAACAAATTAAGCTCAGCAGTCACCTTAGCAGACATGCTAGTTACAATTACATGAAGATCTGGCAGACATGTGAATGTTTGATCAAATGGAGGTTGTGATGACAGATGAATGTTTGATCACATGAAGGCTGTGATGACATGTGAATGGTTGATCAAATGGAGGCTATGATGACATGTGAATTGTTGATCAAATGGAGTCTGTTATGACATGTGAATGGTTGATCAAATGGAGTCTGTAATGACATGTTAATGGTTGATCAAATGGAGGCTGTGATGACATGTGAATGGTTGATCAAATGGAGGCTATGATGACATGTGAATTGTTAATCAAATGGAGGCTGCAATGTCATGTGAATTGTTGATCAAATGGAGGCTGTGATGACATGTGAATGGATGATCAAATGGAGGTAGTGATGACATGTGATTGGTTGATCAAATGGAAGCTGTGATGACATGTGATTGGTTGATCAAATGGAGGCTGTGATCCTGCATGCTAAGATATGCACACTTTTTGAGATAGGATGTGTGGCTATGACATGTACATTACAGAGTTAATGAATCTGTAACTGACCTGTGGTGTGAGAGTGTCTAGAGCTGAGAGGGCTGCATTCAGTGCAGGCAGTGCCTCTGCCAGATCAGAATCACACTCATTTTTGATGGCCTGTGCTGCTCGAGCCTGCTCATTGGCCACAGCTTCATCTGCTTTCACAACCTATGTGTGGCATAAAAATACTTTTATAACTGAGACTCTATGTAGGGCATATAAATACATTTATTACTGAGACCCTATGTAGGGCATATAAATACATTTATCACTGAGACACTATGTAGGGCATATAAATACATTTATTACTGAGATCCTATATCGGGTATAAGAATACATTTATTACTCAGACCCTATATTGGGCATACGAATACATTTATTACTCAGACCCTATATTGGGCATAAAAATACATTTATTACTAAGACCAAATAGGGCACAGGAATACATTTATTACTAAGACCAAATAGGGCACAAGAATACATTTATCACTGAGACCCTATATTGGGCTTTGCCGCTACCATTAGATTCAGTAAATTCCAGCTTTATGTTTCCAATTATTTTACTTCATTGTGATTTGCAAATAACAGACTGAATTAGAATACCTGTTCTTTTTTAAAAATTCTGTGCATGCATGCGTGCAAGTGTGTTTGCGTGCAAGTGTGTTTGTGTGTGTGTGTGTGTGTGCATGCACACCAACTCATCTTATCAATCAGTGCCCTAATCTCTGCATCTATAGTGGCAGGTATCTGACTCCTGCAGTACTGCCCCAGTGTTATGACAAACTTAGACAGGTCATACAAGTCTACTGGTGTATCAAATCCATTCTTTTCAGTGACTGATCTCGTCTAGGTGATTAACTTGCTGGATTCGATTTTCTGTGTCGGCCATCCAGGAAAAGCCTCTTTTGTGATGCATCCCTTTTAAATCACTGATAGCGTTGTGTAGTGGGTTGTTGATGTCTGCTGATATCCTTATGTATGCTTTGCCCTGAGCCATTTTATGTCTGGTGGCTATTGTCAGTAAACCCAGAACATACCACATAGCGTGGCACAAGGTTTATTTTGTGTTGCTGAGTATGAGTCATGTCCTCATTTTGTACCTGTGTCCTGCTGACTGTGTGGAGGCCCAGAACGTAGTCTATAATGCTTAGCACAAGTCCATGATAGAGCAGGAAACATAGGTGATGTCAATGTATGCTATCGACTTCAGCGACGTCATACCTTTCCTGGCTCTAACTATGTCACTGTCTGTGTGATTCTTGTATGACAAGCATCTGTCAAAAGTTATGACAAGGTATCTCATTGTGTTTGTTCTATCAATGTCTATACCACACATGCTCACGACTGGGTAGGTGTACTGACAATGTGGGTATTCAAGGAGAACCATGTTAAGGAAGCCTTCGCTGGGTTTACCTTTGCGCTTGATTCCTGGAACCACTCACTTAGTCGGTCTAATTCATGCTCTCCCATTCTAATTTTATCCCTGTTGTTTTCTTGTCAATATACAAGGATTTCATCTGCGAATTACATTTTTCTGTCCAGACCTGCTGTCTGTGCATTGGTGACTAATGATTTGAACACATAAAGAAAGGAGACAATGGTAAGCTCTTTCAGATGCTGTGAGGTTTTGATGCCCATGTACAGTATCTCATCGACAATGTTCTTTCAAACAGCGCTGCTGTGATTCAGTTGATCCATTTCATCTCTATGTGCATATCCAACATCAATCTGATGAGTATGTATGGAATGCTGCTGTATACGTCTTCCAGGTCAATAGCAGCTGTGGCAGTTTCCATTCCTGCCTGAAGCTCTCATATGCGTCATAAGCTAAAACTGCAGCATTGCACCAGGTATCTCTGCCCGGTCGGTACGCACCTAATGTAGGTGCCAAAAGACCACTACACTCTAATTTTGGAGTCAACTTCCTGGCCACGATTTTTTACATGAGTTTTCCTACCATGTTCTGAAGTGTGATGATCCTCTAGCCATTTTCTTTTTCATAATCTTTCCAAGGCTTAGGAACGGGTCTGAGGTAGCTGTCGAGCTGTTGAGAACAATGCCGCTTTTGATGCTCTTGTTAAATGCCTTGGATAATTCCATTGTGTCTATGTTTCCTCAAGGCATATTAAGTCACTATATTTTATGCCATCTGGGCTGTATAGGGACACGTCTTTAACCTTCTGATGTTTGCAATAGAGATGTACACTGTGTCATCTTCTTCATCCATTTCAGTGATGTGAATGTCGTGGACTGTTTGTTTCATCTGCTTCCTCTCATACAAATATACAGACCATTACTGGTGCCATCGGAATTAGAACTCTGAGTGTGCTGTTGAACATGGGGACGGAATGCTTCTGGAAAAGTCCGGATTGTGGTGATGTTGATTCTTAAGTACTCAACATTCAATAACCCCTGAGGGATCCGCAGATGGGAGAGACTGGCATACAGCTTACCCTCTCAACTTTGGCCACTTCGGCAGATTCTTTCTCAATGACGGCCATGATCTCGGAGACCTCGTTGGAGGCAATCACAAGCTGAGGCTGTAGGTCTGTCAATTCTTTCTGCATCACTGACACTTGGGAGGCAGCAGAATCCAGTTTTTCCAGACCAACTTCATATCTGCGTTTCTGTTTCATGACGTCGCTGGAAGTAAATGAAAAACAACGTAATAATAACTCAAGAATTACACATCCCTGGCTGTAACCACATACCTACTCCCCATCCCAGATCTGTGTGTCATTCTCTATCTAGCATTCATATCCTACAACAACGGGTGCATGCAGATATGTCTACTGTTCAAACTAGTTAGGAGATCTAGCAACAGATGAATGAATTTATGCAGTGTTGTTTGTAACCATATCGTTATCTGTTTGTGTTGTTTACTGATAAAGGCTTTCTAGCCACAATGTTCATTCTGTCATTTTAATATGCATAAGTAAGCAACAGGAAAAACCATGAGTGTATTGCTTTAAAATATGCTAAATATTGGAGGAGCCAGATTTGTTAGTATACTATGACCCCTATAAAAAGGACTAGAACATATTACAATCTGGGTGGGATTCACTGAAGTGCTAATTACACAGCACATGTTTGGGATTGAAAGAGTTAACACATGGGCCTGCTGGGCACTTGCGTTGGGGGCACCGCAAGCACAGGGGCCATATGCTAATCTGTGTATGTTAAGTGACTTGTCATAAATACAATTGAATGCCTCTGAATGGTTATCAGAGGAGCCCCAGCACACTGGTTTGTCCAGTGGCTCATAATGCTGTCAAGCTGGCTCTGGAAAAATGGTGAACTGTGTCTAGAATGAAGGAGTATTTATATACTAGGTACAAACTTTGACTGCTTCTCTATACATGATGTAAACTATAACTATTTCTTACTCTCTCTTCTTGTCCAACAAAGCTTTGAAGGTGCTAATCAGTTCCAGATAGGAAGTTGGTGTCACATAGTTGTGCCGGTCTAGCTCCAGCAGAAACCTCTCAGAGACCTAGACAAGATGTACACAACCAATAATAGAGATCTAGACAGTATACACAAACGATATATATATATATTGTGTGGGTAATCTTATAATTCCTATGTGATCATGTGCTTAATCTTATAGTTTTGTTAAGTTGTAGAGTGTAACAAGGAATACCAAGATTTGTGTATTTCAGTTGAAAGGATCTATGAAACGTGCTTCATTATATGTTGATGTAAACTCTGTAGTGGTGAACTTGATGACTTACAGTAAACTATCCCAGGCAACAAACTGTGCGCCTGGCATAGAATCAATACAACATACAAAATCTGCAAAATAAAATGGTATGCCCACTTAGAAAGAATGCCTCACAATACCATATCATACAAGGTATGAGGGACAAAGAGGAGAGGGACATGGTGCATTAGGATAGACCAAGAATAAAATATAACAACAGAGAAATTCTACAATAGTACAATGTGTCTATGGTTGGGAAGCCAGAAGAGCAACAACCAGAATCTTATATCTCCTATAATATCCAAAGTGGTAAAAAAAGAAGTGAAGACAAAGGAGAATAATTGTGTAATATATAGTTTGTGTTCTCATTATATAAATTAGAAGTTCTATTAAACTTCTATCAACTCATGTGGCAATTTGAAGTCAACACAAACACAACTATTGACTCACTTCTCTGGTGGAGGTGTGGAAATGTTTGCACATCCTGATGCAGCCCGCCCTCTCCTCTTCTCCCATCTCAGTGTCTTCTAAATAGCGAGAAGCTACAGCTTGTAAAGCATCCTCTGGCCAGCTCTGACAGAAGAAGCAAACATAAACAATGGTGTTTATAACCACAAATATTCTGAGCTGCGCGAGGATGCGCCGGGGGATGGGGAAGGTGGGGGGGGGGGGGGGGAGGCATGGTATTACTGTACAGCATTTTTTAAATGAAGTACATCTAATACAAATGTTAATTCCTTAACCCTCAAATACATGTCAGACCTACACTCCAATAAGCGATAAGGGGCAGAAAAAAAAAGATAACCCCATAAATATAACATAAATTCTAACATGAAAACCTAGATTAGGGCCAAATAACTGTAATCCCATTTATGCATCAGCTCTTTTTTGAAGTCAATGTCTTAACTCTTAATATACTAAACATTGACTAGGGAATTATAACAAAAAATGCAAAATAAAATAATACCAGATGGGTGCTGAAAGAGTCAAGATCAGAATAGTTTAAATTAGGAATGAGGTTGTAAGAGAAAACGTCGGCACAGAACCATTTCTAAATTAAATACAATGACAGCAAATCAAATGGTTTGACCACTTAGAAAGAATGCCTTATGATTCTATACCCTACAAGGCATAACCAAACAGGAGAAGGTCATAAAATAGGGGGCAGACCAACAACAATATGGAAAGATAGCATCACAGAAACTCTACAACAGCATGATGTGTCTATGATTGAGGTGGCCAGCAAAGCAAGAAGAAGTTTATATCCCAGACACCCAAAGCAGTTACAAAAGAAATGAAGAAGAATAAGAGAAAAATGAGAAAGGAACAGGCAGCTGTATAACACAAGCGAAGCTTACCTGAAACCAGTCAATGGTACAGCAATTTACAAGTGATGGAAACTTTCTCAGCCGGTTACGAAAGGCATCCCCAATGGGACTCATAGCCAGGACAATATGAAGCTGGTCTCTCACTCGGGATACAAACAAATTGAAAAGAGCGACCATGGATCCATCTGTTTGCTTCGCCTTATCTCTTTGTCTGAAAGTAAAAATGAACTAACTACTTTAATGGTCTGTTACGTCCTATGTTTGGAGAGAACAGTATTAGAGAGGACATGTTATGGAAGAAGTGGCAGGCGATAACAAGCATGGCAGTGGACACAGGCATACCACGAAGAGAACAGTGCTCTGCAAAGGACATGCTAGATCATAATGAAATCATAATTGTAACATTGTCTATTCATGCAATGTGCTGATGAAGGTTTTCTAGCAAGATCATTCACATGTTGTTTGTGATAATGTGAAGCTAACGAGTTCTGCTTTTTTGGGGGTGTTAATATCTTTTCATGATACATGATGATGATGATTATGAACAATATATGTCATTTTCAAAGACTGCTGTGAAGTTTTTGGAAATGCCACTCCTGGATTCTAGGTCTGTGACGTGTTTACAAACTTATTCTTAGGGTAAAGTGGTGGTCCCCCCCCCCCCCACTTTTCCCCCTTGATTGGGGTGGGGGGTGGGGGGGGGGGGGGGGGTGAAACAGAGTCGAATAATGTAAAAGCTGAATGAAACCGAAGGAGGTACAGATGTGAAACAGAGTAGTATACTGTAACAATTCTATGGGATAGGAGTTCCCAGTATGAAATAGAGTTAGATAATAACATAAGTTATAGGTGTGAAAAAGAGTAAGATGCTGTAACAATTACTTAAAATATTTACCTTTAAAATGAAATAAGTGCTGTTGTATACAGGTGAAACATGAAAACCAATGAGAATGATTACTAATAAACTACAAACATTCATTAGCTCAGATTACAGGAAATTAAATGAAACGACAAAATCAATGATGTAGAGGTTTGGGGGAGAATAAACAAATTCCAGTGAATCAAGAGGTGAGGAGAAGATGCTGGCCATTGGATAGAACCTTGATGGCAAAAGGATAAGGTGATTGGCTTAAGATGATTGAAAATATACAAATTCCATGGGGAGGGGGGGATGGGCGGGGGGTTGAAAATGTGAAATAAGTTCCAGTAGCAAAGAAATCTACCTGTCAATGGACCTCATCTTCTCACAGATCTCTGTTTTCTCATCTGTTGGGTACAGGTTGGGGACTTCACCCGCATTCAGCAAGTTGGTGATATCCTCCAGGTAGGCTTCTTGCTTGATCTGTATGTATGAACAACATTAAAAAATTGAAACAATTGTGTGTCATATTTTCAAAGAAGGTTGGATTCAAATCCAAGACCTTCAGGCCAGAAGGTGAGTGTCTAACCACTAAGCTCCTGTCTCTGGCATACAAATGTGGGGCCAATACCATATACCCAATATGCTATAGGTACAGAAACGGATTCCTTTTTTTTTTTTATAAACCTTATAGATGCTAACTTTTGTCTGTACAGTGTTGACTGGCAGGCCTGCCAGGTTGCACTTACTAAGCTGCTTTTCAGCCAACCGTGGAGAGTCTCCTCAAATGTGCGAACAAAGACTTGTGTACATAGAAAAACGTAACCTTCCCTGAATACTTTAATGGTAGTTCTAAACATTAGAAACAAATACGGAGCCGTATGCGAATCAATATATACGGGATACACAATCGAAGCAGACTGTGATTTGGGCAAATCAGAACTTCTCAATCAATACACAGCATTCTTCAGGCCTCAAAGAGTTGAAGTGTATTCATACAAAATTCCTTTGTCTACATCTCGATGTTTTCCATAAATTATATAATGTTGTCTTTCGCCTGCACTTTACCCTTTTATTTTCCATCTCAAATGTTCACAGTATTGTATGACTGTGGTAGATGTGATCCTTGTGGGTGAATTCATGAACAGTCTTGAAGCTTTCCTTACGTCATCTATGAGATTATTCAGAAGCACAGCTAGAGGTTCTGTGGTTGCTTTTGATGCAACTGTCTTATCTTTTGTATGGTCTTTCCTTGCTCTGGGTTTAGCCACTCTGTGGCAGTTGGTAGAACAGCTTTTAAATGAATTGTATGATTGGCTTCAATCCTATTTTTTTTTTCTATTTATTCTTAATAACATTTTTTCTTGTCACTGCTGCAGCTCTCCAAAAACATTGTGTCTCTGTTACGATTTCTTGCACCTGTTAGTTGCAGAAAGGTCCATGATTGGCACTGGTAGCATAAAGATGAAGCAAATAAAATTAACTTAGTCCACTACAAATAACAAGCCTCAAACTAATTTACATGATTTTTTTAAACTCTGTAGAACTGTGACAAGCATTAGTTGGTGGAAGCATCTTTTCATACATTTAAGTAAGTTTTTGCTTTACAGGCAATACAGTGAGTACAAGAAAACTGGCCAGAGTGAAACACAGCACACAGTTATGTCATACCAAGGTGAGATTCAGAACTTGAGTACAAAGTGAGAAACAGTGAGTTCACAGTATATACACAGTGAGTCATACCAAAATGATATACACAATGTTGAATGTTTAATAATTGACATCACATAACTCAGGACACTCCCATAAGCGATCTGTCCCTATCTTCAGCAGCAAGCAAAGAGTCCCAATTCCAATGGCACCAGTAACTGTTTGTTTATCCGTCTCACTTTTTTCTTTAGTGCTGAGCATTGGCCAGATCACCTGGTAACTCCTGGTAGCGCCATTCTCCTCAGACCATAATAGTCTATTTGTGCCCCCACACTGTTCACTCGCTCCCAAAGTGCCCTATCAACATCTTGCCACACATCAGTTCAGCACCAGGTGGTGCAGAATCGGCCAGTCAATCTGCCTGCTCCTTTAAGAACACACCAGCATATTCTGGAGAAAATACTGTGCTAACTACTCGGGACCTCTGAATCGATGCTTGCAACTCTGTACAGAGCAGGTCTGTTTCCATCTTTCTCAACGTGTTTTGTGAGTCATTTACAGTAACGACATGTATGTACAGCTGATTCTCAAACCAACAGAAGGCAGTAGTTTGACTGCCTCCACCTCCATTCTCAAACTAGATGATGTGATATCGTATGCCAGGCTTTGCTACACTAAGCGATTTACACAGTGTGAGTACACAGTAGGTACACACTACATGAGTACATAGTACACAGTACATTGTAAACAGTACAAGAATACATAGTAAACAGTGCCCATAGTGCATAGTACACAGTGTACATGCTAAACAGTACACAGTCACAATTATGTCCCAGCAAGATGAGATTCAGCTTGTGTACAGTCATGTGTGAGCATGTTGTTTAGAATAATAAAAATGATGTGAATAACTAAACATGTGATGCCCACATGTGATGAAGGTCAGTGATTTTACATGTTTACAATATGTGAATTATTGATGTCCCCATCCACAACCACAGCAGTGCAATGGCTAGACACTTTCTTGCTGGCCTAAAGGCTGTGGGGTCAAATCCACACCAAAGCAGATTTTTCACAAGTGACCAGGCTCCCAACTCGACTCAGCCTAACATGTGTACCAGGAAATATCATGGGAAGTGAAAGCGGCCACTAGGATGTTGACCACATCACCCATTAATTCTTTTTCTTTTTCCCCTTTGTAATGTATCCCCCAATGGAGCATAGAACCTCAAACAACTCAAGCAGTTGTTCTTTTCTTTGTTATTGTATGCAGCTCACCCCATATTCTTCCTGTATTGTTTTAGGTCTCCCTTTATTTCTATGCATCTGCAGCTTCCAGTGTAATGACATTCTAGCTACCACCCATTACCTGGTTTATAAAAAACAAAAAATATGGGTCTAGCATGATATGACCGATGTGCCAATGTCATGAAAATTGTATGAAAATTAAACAAAAATCGCATAAAAATGACATGAAAATGACATGAAAATAGCATGAAATGGCATGAATATGACTTGAAAATGACATGAAAATGGTATATACATGACTTGAAAATGACATGAAATGGCACTAAAATTACATGAAAATGACATGCAAATCACATAAAAATGGCAGGAAAATGGCACTAGAATTACATGAAATGGCAAGAAAATTACATGAAAATGAAAAACAAATTGCCAGAAAAATCACATAAAAATGGCAAGATATGTCCAATGTGTCAATGGTAGGCAAATCCCTCCTTAATAAACCTAAGCACAAATATATTTATGTCATAAAATTAACATTTAAATAAAGTCTTGATTTTAGAGCCAAAGTAGGAAGTCTTTCCTGCATTCTGTGAACACGGCACACAATATAAAGTGATAAACATCAGAAAATGGTGACCATGTGTAGCACTGTACCTCATTATCTTCAGCATTTGGATCACCAAATTCCTCTGTGAACATGAGATGTCGCAGCTTTGCAAACAAATGTATATTTCATGAATTGTACTTCTTGATACTGGAGACGTGTATATCTTAGATCCGTGTGAATAGCATGCAGTCAAACACAACTAGTAATCTTCTTTCAATGATTGTTGTTGTTTTAATAACTATGATTGTAAAGTCTAAGAGCACAATTAAACAGAACAGGCATAACACCACATGTGACTGCATGGCAGAAACACAGACTCTTCAACATTTGCTGCAGGGTTGCCTTATCTGCTCCTATCAGAGGTTGGGGATCTGGTCCAAGGGGCTACAGTACAAGCTATAAGGGGAATTACCAGCAATGTTAGACATACCATCATGTATCTGACTTAGACAGGACTGAGTGTGTAGCACAGCTGATGCTGAGCACAGAAGGAAACATTGTTAACGGTGCATGTCTTGGTGTTAACATTTGAATATACTACTGCAGCAGCCTTCCATCCATCGAACAAAACTACTTTTCTTTGACTGTACATTCCCCACATCTACGCTATTACTATCTGTCCATACAAACAGCAATGTGAACATGTCTAACCTCTTCGTTATGGTTCTAAACCCTGCCTCGAACTCTTACTGTTATTTCATTTAATGTTTGTCTATTTCAGTATGCATTCTTGCTTGTCTGAGCTTTACCTAAACTTTGAATAGTATCTATGTCTCCTGCTTGTCCTACTAAATAAATCAAAATATTTGTCTGCTGTGAATTTAAAAACTGAGGTCAAAAACAATATCTTATGTAGTATGCATCTAAAGACATACAACAAAATATGTCAGAAAATATGGTATGTAATTTATTCAGTGTGTCAATATTCAATAACGTCATATGTGGGTAGACAAGGTAGTAGTACCCATCTTCTGCAGATACATATTTTCTAGAATCTTTTCTTTTTCTTCTGCTTTCACCTACAATAGAGCAGCTGACACATTGTGGTTTACGGCTAAATTGCAGTATCTTCACTTTTTAGCTCGACACATCCAATTTCAGCAAACCTTCAGTTAGTGACTGTTTATGGCATGCTTGTTAGAGGGGCATTGGATTCTTTCTTTTTATATTCCCCATAAAACAGAACCCACAAGGGAATATCTTGTAGAATTAAATGTAAGTAAGGCAATGCTGTTGTCTGTTCATTATTTATGCTGTCAATGTTAGATTACAAAAGCCAGTAATTGTGCTTCAGTATATAAATTGATGTAAACTCTGAAGTTATGCCCCTGATATGTCACTCATGTCTTAATTGAAGCAAATTTTCTTAACATGGACGGATTTTGTAATGAAACAACAATGAAATAATTGATGGTCTAGAATATGCACAGGTTTAATCTAAGTATAGTTCACCACTGTGTCCATAAACTGCAGAATATGTCCTGCAAGAATGTCCCTTGTACAGCCTATTAGGAAGGGAATACTGACCCAGTGAGTCAAAACCCTACTCAAAGCTGTACGGAACTAAAAGGGAGCTCTTAAATATAATCAATGCTATCACAAGAATGTATCTGTCGGTGAAAGCAGACAGCGATCATGAAACGAAAAAAAAAAAAGAATTCTTGGTCTTTAGTTATGGAATGAAACTAAATTCATAATCTGTTTAAATCACCATCACTTGCATCATGAGAGCTAATAGTCTGAAATAGTTGGGGCATACTGAGAGAATGTCAGATGACGGAGAAGTAAAAACTGTATACACAACGGAGATGAATGGTTGTAGACCACAAGACAGACCAAGAAGACGATGGAGAGATAATGTCCAGTCAGACCTGCAAACACTTGGTGTCACCAACTGGTAAGAGAAGGCCAACCAGAGAGATGAATGGAGGCGGGTGATGTCTGCAGCAATGAACCTCAAGGGCTCAGAATACTGAAGAAGAAGAAGGAGAGGTTATGGAATGATATTGTGTGCATTTTTCATTCATGCCTTTGTATTTTTAATTTATATTTATACAAATACAATAAGGTGTGTCTGCATACGAACTGATACATGCTGCAGGAGATCGCAGATTATGGAGAGGCATGATCGCCCACACCAGTCAGCAAGGCACCTGATGATGATGATTTATACAATGAACATAATATGCTTGACATGTAAAATGTAAATGCTGTACGAAAAATGAATACTTGAAAAGGCCGAATGTAAGATGAATCTGCATGCACAATTTTTTACTCACTGGAAACAAAGTTTGTTCGTTTGTTTGTTCATTCATTCATTCAAATGATAAAATATCAAGCAATCCTAGATGTTATTCTCAATGTTACTGTTCTATTTGTTACTATAATTTTATTGCAAATAGTGCAAACATACCTGGGTGTCAGAAAACAAGAAGACAGCGTGGTTTTCTGTCTCTGTGGCTTTACGGAGGATTCGTTTGAGATCTTCTCGCCATTCACTGGAAGTGTAACTTTTCGTGATTTCCACCTTGATACACAACAAAAAATACTTATGGATAATACATTATTTACCAACTGTGATGTGGTGTTTATAAAGCTACACACAATTTCTGCTTCTTCTTTTTTCATCTCACTGATACCAGGTTGTAGTCCAGTGGTGTAGGTTTCTGTATTTGTCTTATGGGTGATGGATTTTTAAAATCTCTTTACAGGTTTCAGCCACAACATTTATCCATATTTTTTAAAATCTTTCTCTTGCCTTCCTCCCAGCTTTTCTGTTGTAAAAGATCTCATTTGCAGTTTCTTTCTTGAGCAGTCAGTAGATCTGACCTTAAAAGGGACGGTTAGCAAGTTGTGTTTTCCCTCACATGGAGGCTGCAATTTTTCATCTTTTGGCCCAGAGCACACGATTTCATCAAAACAATAATTAGTCTCCTTTTACAATACTACACCCCCCCCTCCCCCAACCCTTTTCCCAGAATAGGATGCTGGAACCAATACAGGAATGCCAAATTCCTTAAATAAAACCTCTAGATGATACACTGAACAACACAAAAGTATAAATGAAAGTTAAAAATTAAAAAAATAAAAAAAATTATGTAAAGCTTCATTTAGTTGTATATTAACTGCCTGGGTTTGGGCTCTTTAGCCCCACCCTACCCCCCCCCCCCCCCACCTCAACATGCATATTGTAAAAGACAGCTAATTACAGAGGCTGCCTCTGAAGTCAAAGACTGGAACCAACAGTCAGCATACAAAAAGCCAGATCTGTAAAATTAATGCGCCACAAAACTCAAATTCAGGAGCAAGACTAATATCCAGGAGCGAATAACCAACCAGAACTTTCTGCAACTGGTGACTGAATGAAGAGGAAGAAGAAAAATGTTTTTCTTTATATAAAATATCCTTATAAAACACACACAAATCATACAGTTAGACGTGAGGTCAGACTCAATGAAGTTGGCTCACCTGGGATATATCATAGTCTGCCATATGACAAGCCAGTCTGGTCAGTGACTGCCGACCTGACCCGCCAACACCAACAAGAAGAGCATGACTTCTTGGCTGCTTGATGATACGGGCAATTCTGCACACATGCTCAATAGCAAATCTGAAATCATGACACAGATGATTACATTCACACTGGAGAACAAGCCAAGTTTTTTTATTTATTTTTTATTTTCATTATATTTTTGCTCATTTGCTTTTTTCCAATTTTTTTTCCATTTGTTAACAGCCTACTTTTAGAGGAAAGAGATAAATGTGACAAACCTTTTGAAAAAAAAAAGAAATGAAGAAGTAGATTTCCTGCATAAAAGTTTTAAAAAGGTAGGAAATCTACTTTTTTTTACTGGGTTTGTCATGCTCTGTTATTTATCCCTTTAACAGAATGGCCAACACTGGCAGGCAAAGTGAAGTTTACTTCCCACAGACACCAACCACTGAAGTAAGCTCTCTTTAACTATAAGAATGTTTTTGCAGTTTTTTTTTGTTGCTGCACTAAACACACTGCAGGCTCTCTCTCTATCTCTTCCCCCCGTCCCTTCATTTCTCTGTCTCTCTCATCCACAAATACACATGTGGATCACACAAATTAGCAATCTTCTTCTACTGCTTCTTCTGCCTTTTTAGCCCCCAATGGAGCATAGGCCTTCAACCAACTTACGCCAAGTCGTTCTATCCTTTGTTATCGCAGCTCTTCCCATGTCCTCCCCATCTTTCTAACTTCATTCTCCAGCTTTCTTCTCAATGTGTTTTTTAGCCTTCCTTTATTCCTATGCTACTGTGGGTTCCAATACAAAGACATTCTAGTGATATAGTTCTCCAGTTTTCTTAATGTGTGTCCTATTTAATGCCAGCGTCTTTTCTTCACCTCTAGGTCCACTTGAGCTTGCTTAATTCTCTCCCAAAGCTCTACATTAGTGATTCTATCACACCATTCAATTCCCTTTATTCTGCACAGGCACCAGTTAATGGATGTCTGTAGTTTATCAGTAACTGCCTAAGTTGTTCTCCATGTTTCCGCCCCATACAAAAGTACTGATTTGACATTAGAATTAAAAATTTTAAGTTTAATATTTCTTTAACTTCCACAAATTTCCTAGTGCTATGAATGCTCCTCTTGCCTTTTGTATTCTTATTTTAATATCTCTATCAGTTCCCCCATCTTTATCTACATTACTGCCCAAATAGGTGTAAAACTCTTGGAGTGGGGTGTCATTAAGAGAAACCACATTACTATTTGCCTGATTTAGTCTCATTATCTTTGTCTTTCCTTTATGGGTTTTCAGAACTTGATTTTTGTGTGCGCATCCATTTTACAGATATGGCTTTTTTGTTTTGCAGACTGTTGGTTCCTCACTCTTTTGATAGATGCACTTTAACATTGAAGGAAACACCCCTAATTAGTTGCTTATACAGACTTCTTAGGGGCCAGGGAGTCTATCCATCCCCCCCCCCCCCAAATAGGGCCTCAGAACCACATAGGAAGGGGATATCAACATGTAGTTCATAGCCAATATCTTCACCATATGAAACAAAACAATACTGTGTGAGTGTCACATGCCCAGATGACCTGGGAATACCAACCTGAACAGCACCAGGTTCATGGGCTTCCTACTCATGTTGTTGAACTCCTCCAGGTAACCTTCGGTGATGTGCTGCAGGTTCTCTAGATCTCGCACTTCCACATAATTACGGGAGTCTGACTTGGGATCAGCAAAGTCACAGTACATCAAAGAACGGAGATCGTCTTCAGTCACCTGAATAAGTGATGCAGATGGGCTGTTTTTAATGTTAACAAAAGTTTAATTTCAGTCAAGTCAGACCTGCTAACTTGACCACAATCTATTGGAAAAAAATTTGTTTTCCTCATATGTGTAGAATTTAAAAACACACACACACAAAAAACAAGTAAGCAAAGGACATTTTTTTTAACACCAGGGGCAGGCTCTGCATGCAGCGTTTAACCTCTATTTTTTATGGACCAATCAGTACTGGATAAGTGATACTGTTAACATCAGGCTGGTTGCTTTTACTTCCAAGAACATGATCTGGTACTAATTTTAGACTGTGTCGACTCAAGAGCCCTAGATAAATTATCAACTGCTTTAATTCGGATCCAAGCCTAAGTGCGTAGCCTTTTTAGTAGTAGTACATTTTACCCCACTAGGACATTACACAAGCGATAAACACCTGATGACACAAAGTGCCACCATGTGGATGAGGAACACCCGTGGAGAGGTCCCATAAACCGCGGCCAGGCTATATATATTGCGGCCCCCGGCAAGAGCCAGGGTAGGGCTTCAAAATATCGAAAAATTGCATCCCACAGGGGGATGATTAGTTATGTTGCCTAGCCTTTGTTTTTCTGAAGTTCTCCTACATACATTTTATAACATTATTTATTCTCTAACAAGCATGACATACAATCAATCCACTAATCAAAGGTGTTTTCTTCAATGTCAGAGCACATCTGCCTAAAAAGTGAGGAACCCACAGTCTGAATACAAATAAGCCAGTAAAATGGATGTACATGCAAAACACAGGTTTTGTAACAAGACTCACGAGGAATTTCAAGCTTCATCATTTGGTCAAGGTGACTGAATGACAATATGTAAACAGGTGTTTAAAGCTGAGAAGGCTCAACTTCAGTTATATTCCATATGCTTAATCTCTCTCTGGTTATTTGTCCATCGCTGGACTGTAATATTGTTCCGAAACCTGAGTGTTGTGTGCATACCTGTTTCACAATTCTAATATATTTGTATGCAGACTGTTTGTTCCTCGCCTCTCAGGCAGATGCACTTCAACTTCTTGTTTTCCTCACCAAGAGGCCTCAGAAATTTCAAATGTGATCTTTTCTTTGTCTCCTCCTTCTTCCCCATTTTAATTTTCTGCTTTCACTCTTAAAAGCACAGTTGGCATGCTGTGTTGTAGTGTACAAGTAGGCTGCAGGATTTCCATCTTTCAGTCCAAAATATGCGATTTCATCAAAACCTGAATTAGTTCCCCTGTTCTAACATGCCTGTTTGGGACAATGGACCTCAGCCCATCCATGAGAATGTGACCTACATGACAAGATTTATTTCCCTTTTTACCCACACTAAGCATACAAAAAATAAATACACACAAAATCCAGACATACTTTCCCATCATTGTCAGAGTCCAGATGAATGAACATGTCATCAAAATCCTCCTTCATCTTGTCCTTAATAATGTCCCGAGTGACAACAAACAGCCAGTTGCGGTCTGCATCATCCACCAGACGATCGTAGAACACTCGGAATACCTTCATTCATCATTTCAGAATAGAAAAGGTGAAGAAAATGAATGTTCACTAGCTTTCTAAAGCTGCTTTACCAAAACACACTCACACATATATGCACGCCCTGTCCATAGAGACCACCCCCCTCCCTCCCAACTCCCCTCAATGATCACAAGCTGTTTAGAATCTGTCTTCCTCTCACTCTCTTTCCAGAAATCTTTCCAGTTGTAACAACATGATCCAGTTTTTGTTTCTTCTAATAATAATCCACAAAACCTTATTTTTGGGTCTTACCCTCTTTCAAATATCTGGATTACTCATGTACGCACTCCCCCCCCCCCCCCCCCACACACCCACCCATAGACACATGCATGCATAAACAAACACCCCTCCCCCCACCACCACCACCACTGTTTGCATAATTTGTATTCTACTTCTTCTTTGCATTCACCAGCTGTAAACTCTGGTGGAAAGTTTTGGTTGTTCGTCCACTTCTAGTCTGCAGTCCTGTTCCGGAATCTTGAGTGTTGCATGTGCATCCATTTGACAGATCTGACACATTTGTGTGCAGACTGTTGGTTTCTTGCCTCTCAGGCAGTTGCACTCCAACTTCGAAGGAAGCTCCAAATTAGTCGACTCTTACTACATGCTTTTAGGTAGGCAGAGAGTCTATTCTATAACAGGGCCCCAGATTTATATACGGAACCCACAGGTATATAATTTGTATTTATTTCACTTCATTACTTCTACAAGTTCTTTTCCACTTTTACATAATTTATATACATTGTCTAACTGGAATTGTGACACTAAAATGCTTAAGTGTCAGTTCCATGATCATCAACAATCACCAGCTCCTTTACAGAATGTCCCTCTCTTCATGGAATACCTCAAAGTCTCTCTTTCTCTAGCCAATTCTCCAGCCCCATGCACTTTCATAGCCAATGCATTTTCGATGTCTTGTATTCATTTTCACGGAGGTCAGCCTCTGCCTCATTCTCCAGCCCTGCCTCATTTTCCAGTAAACTGTACCCTACAGTACTGTTCCCTCCAGGCCACCATGATGCCTAACATGGCAAAAAATCCACTATCGTGTGTTCAAATTCCTCTTGAGGTGGCTTGAGCTGTACTGCATGTGTGTGTGTGTGTGCGTGTGTATATGTGTGTGCGTGTATAAACTGCTCTGGGGTTAAACGAGGCTTCAGGAATTTGCACCTGTTTGATTCTTTTTAACCCTCTAGGGCAGTGTTTTCCAAACTTTTCTTGGTCGCTGCGCCTTTTTTCAATTAAAATTTTTCGACAGCGCCCTCATCTAAGTCAAAGTATGTCTATTTGTGTCTTGGTTAAATTAATTAGGAACCTTTTAAAATTTTTTGCAGTGTCCCTGTGAAGAGGTTGCGGCTCCCCGGGGTGCCGTGGCGCACAGTTTGGGAATCACTGCTCTAGGGGTTAATCCGGCAGACAGCAATCCTGAAGGAGACAAACTACCAACCTACCTATCCTTATCATTGTATTTAAAAAACACATAACTATATCACAGGTATAAATGAGTGAAGAATACCTCATGCAACCACAGCTTCTTCATGGATGTCAGGTCTTCCATGGTTTCAGGAGTGGAGAGGAGTACTCCTTGGATGACCCTGGAGAAGTCTCGCAAGTTGAACAGATAATGGGATTTGGCTGGGGTGGGCAGAAGACTCTGAAGAGCTTGCTTGTAAACCTCCAGTGTCCCCAGGACAATCTGTTCTGCACAGGGTTTAAACTCATTGCTAAATCCTCTGTGGATCAGGGTAATAGATATGATTAATTAAACATATTATGTAAATTTAATCAGGCTACTGAAGAATGCATGTTGTAGGTAACTGCCATTATGATGATGATGATGCCAGGGTTCGAGAGGCATGAAACAACGTCAAAGTATTTGTGTATTAAGATCATTCGAGTTGCCATGACAAAGCTATATGAATCTACTTGCTCATACTCTCTCTATGTTTCTCTCAGACTCCAAGAGCTTGTCAGTTACAAACTTTTATGAGAGATGTGATATAATTAATTGTTGAAACACTTGAAGCTCATTAATACTGTTGTCCACGGTCAGGTGACAACGAGAACAAATTGTCAGATGTATCCACAGTTCACATGAAGAAGTCTGAAGTACAAACAAATTAGTTCTATCACAACTTTATTATCCTATCATTGCTGCAATAATATAAATAAAACAACTTATTTTCTGACTATCTAATACTTGCCTTGGGTTGGTTTCGACAGTGGTATCAAGAAAGCCGATCTTCCAGAAAACAATGGCAAACTACTGGACGTAAATTTGCCTAAAGAAACCACACAACAGCCAGGGGCTGTTAGGGTTGGTTCTGCAACTTCCTGTAAAAGGATACGCAACTTACCTATCTAATACTAAACCCAATCTATAAGCTGGATTATATCCACTATTAGATTTTATCTGCTATTTTATATCTATCAGCCGCTGGAAAAAAATCCTCTTCCTCTGTGATTCTTTCCTGAATAACACACAAGTCAGATTATTTTCAGGATAAATGCAGAAGACAAATATGTGTGAAAGGTCCCATATCTTTAATTATAATAATGATGATTACATAAGTGATATTGGAAGGAAGCATTTTTTTTTTAAAACTTATAAGGTTTTTATTGGTATATGCCCAAGTTTTTATTTCACTTGGTTGGCAGATACAAAGAATGGAACACACATCACAGTCAACAATACAAACCTTGCACTGATATGCCAGTCCATGATGCTCTTAAAGATGGTCACCATAGTGTCATCATCAAACTCATTAATAGTGACAGTGTTTAAATGTCGTACAAACCGGGGAGTGACGGGGTTGCGACCACCTCCTGAAAATAACATGTATTATAAGCTTGTCAAACAGAAATTCAATGATGTTCGATTGGTCTAGCTTATTTTCATTTCTAGCATTACAGATGATCACAGTAGCTCCTCGACACAAATGATGTTTCCACAAAATCTGTTTCAGATGTGTCAGTCTGACCTCTACTTCTTCTTCTTCTTCTTCACTTCCTCTTTTACCGCTGTGGGTGTCGAGGGAGATATAAGGTTCTGTTTCTAACTCTTCTGGCCGCCTCAACCATAGGCACATCGTGCTGTTGTAGAGTTTCTCTGATGTTATCCTTCCACATTGTTCTTGGTCTACCTCATGCTCTGCGTCCTTCTCTTTCCATGTATGCTTTGCATGGTATGGTGTCACAAGGCATTCTCTCTAAGTGGGCAAACCATTTCACTTGCTGTCTTTGAATGTAATTTATAATTGGTTCTGTGCCGACTTTTTCTCTTATGATCTCATTCCTGATCTTATCTCTTATGGTCACTCCTACAGCCCTCTGCTGCTATGGTGAAATCACAAAATGCTCTTTAGTTTACTTCCCTTTTCCTCTGATAAGCTCAAGTCCTGGCTACTTTGGGTAAATACCTTCTTCAGCTGAGTAAATGGCTAACCTATTTCTGCTTGTCTTCCCGCAGACATGCAGATCACTGTCCTGCAGACATGCAGATCACTGTCCCATAGACATGCAGATCACTGTCCCATAGACATGCAGATCCCTGTCCTGCAGGCATGCAGATCACTGTCCCATAGACATGCAGATCCCTGTCACGCAGACATGCAGATCACTGTCCTGCAGACATGCAGATCACTGTCCCATAGACATGCAGATCCCTGTCCCATAGACATGCAGATCCCTGTCCTGCAGACATGCAGATCACTGTCCTGCAGACATGCAGATCACTGTCCCATAGACATGCAGATCCCTGTCCTGCAGACATGCAGATCACTGTCCCATAGACATGCAGATCCCTGTCCTGCAGACATGCAGATCACTGTCCTGCAGACATGCAGATCCCTGTCCTGCAGACATGCAGACCCTTGTCCCATAGACAAGCAGACCCCTGTCCCATAGACATGCAGATCACTGTCCTGCAGACATGCAGATCACTGTCCTGCAGACATGCAGATCACTGTCCTGCAGACATGCAGATCACTGTCCCATAGACATGCAGATCATTGTCCCATAGACATGCAGATCACTGTCCTGCAGACACGCAGATCACTGTCCTGCAGACATGCAGATCACTGTCCCATAGACATGCAGATCACTGTCCCATAGACATGCAGATCACTGTCCCATAGACATGCAGATCACTGTCCCATAGACATACAGATCACTGTCCTGCAGAATGCAGATCCCTGTCCTGCAGGCATGCAGATCACTGTCCCATAGACATACAGATCACTGTCCTGCAGACATGCAGATCCCTGTCCTGCAGGCATGCAGATCACTGTCCTGCAGGCATGCAGATCACTGTCCCATAGACATACAGATCACTGTCCTGCAGACATGCAGATCACTGTCCTGCAGACATGCAGATCCCTGTCCCATAGACATGCAGATCCCTGTCCTGCAGACATGCAGATCACTGTCCCATAGACATGCAGATCACTGTCCTGCAGACATGCAGATCCCTGTCCTGCAGGCATGCAGATCACTGTCCCATAGACATACAGATCACTGTCCTGCAGACATGCAGATCCCTGTCCCATTGACATGCAGATCACTGTCCCATAGACATGCAGATCACTGTCCCATAGACATGCAGATCACTGTCCCATAGACATGCAGATCCCTGTCCTGCAGGCATGCAGATCACTGTCCTGCAGACATGCAGATCCCTGTCCTGCAGACATGTAGATCCTTGTCCCGTAGACACGCAGACACCTGTTATCTTTTCATGTGATAAAAATCAAACTGACTTGGTTTTTTTTTTTCTGACATTATTTTTTTTAAATCTATACTTAAAAAGGGAAGTGCTTAACCATGTAAATAAATTCAAGTATTTGGGGACAGTCATAACATCAGATGGACAATGTGTGACTGAAATTAACAGCAAAATTGGCCAGGCAAAGACAGCATTCCAGAAGATGAAAAGTATCTTATGTAATAAATCATTCTCATTAAACATCAGAAAAACGAGAACTGAAATGTTATATCAAGACTGTTCTGTTGTATGGTAGTGAATAACTAACAATGATTGCCTGGAAATGGCTAATGAAAGTAGAACATTATATACAACAATGAGAAGGAGACAAAGTTCTTTGGTCATGTGATGAGAAAAAGAGCACTGGAAAATATTGTGATGACTGGAAAGATCATTGGTAGAAGAGGCAGAGGCAGACCAAAGGAAATGATAGCGGATGGCTTAAGACAATGGCATGGAGAAATACCATCAGTAGAATTGATCCAGAACACCAAAGACCGAGATCTGTGGAGATGTATAACGCCTACACAAGCTGGCAAGGCACTTGATGATGATATTTAAGAGTGATAGCATGAGGTCCACATTTGCTATTAAGCATAGAAAAGCTTTGAAATCTTGAATTAAATATTGTAGGAACCAAATATACTTTGTTTTACTGGGCTAGTGTTCATTTTTAAATAATCTACTCATCTGACTCCTGGGCTTTCTCTAGCTTCTTTTCATGTAGGCAGAAATAAAGTTGTAGCTGAGTTCCATTCTCAAAAGACATCTCTTCTTCTTTGTCTTCTTTGTTTGTCCCTAAAAGTATGACTAGCAGGTTGTGTTGTGATTTACAAATAGTCTGCAATATCTGACTATTTTGATGTTATCACAATCAATATCACTGCATACTTATGATGTAATGATGGTCTAGTTTCTAGCATTTGTACATGAAGAGTTTTCTAGAACCATGAACACCTCCTGGGACACATCTAAACCACTTCTAGAACAAATAACTCTAGTCTAGAACTTTGGGAGCTAGACCTCAATATTCATTTGGTTGGCTAAATTACAGGCAACCTATAAGAAGTGACTAGCACAGTAATCTGGCTCATTAACAATACAATGTGATACTGGCACACTGATTAATACAAACACGAAGGGTGAGGCATGGGGCTGACCAAGGCAACAATGGACCTGGACACTGAAGATGACTATGACAATGAGAGGCAAGAGGTCTGGCTGGTCATGAAAGTCCTTCAGGTGGGAAGTTCTGAAAGCAACATGCTGAAGAGGAAGGGGGAAAGGAATGCTTTATGATGATGAATACATTTATAAAAGCGAACTATTGTCAAACCTGGAGGACCCATGGCTCCAACAAACTGAAGATCAATCAGCTTGATAGGGGATGTGTCTTTGAGATCATACCAATTCCAGTGATCCAGCCACTGTCTCAGCAGTTCTATGGGAGGTTGAGCTCCATAGGGTTCCCTCATGGGCATGTTCAGGTCATCAATAAACACAATCTTTAAAGTGGAAACAATCATGGTATTTACGCAACTGCTATGACAGGTGTTGACACTGTTACATCTGTAGAGGGAAAGATATTTACCCTAGGACAGGGAAATTCAATCTGAAAACTTAATGTTATTTTATAGTCTGACTGACTATCCCTTAGCCTTGGCTGGCAGCTGGTCTAGAAGGGAAGGTCTTGACATACTGGGCACTGCTCTTCTGATCCAGCAGCCTTTACAGCAGTGGTTCTCAACCTGTGGATCGTGACCTTTTTTTTTTTTTTTTTTAGGTCTAAGGACCTTTTTACAAGGGTCGCCAAGGACCATCAGAAAAAAACATATTTATTGAGGTTATGAAGTAGTAATAAAAATAACTATGTCTGGGGGTCGCCATAACATGAGAAACTGTATGAAAGGGTCGACACTGAATGAGGAACTGTATGAAAGGGTCGACACAGAATGAGGAACTGTAAGAAAGGGTCGACACAGAATGAGGAATTGTAAGAAGGGGTCGACACAGAATGAGGAACTGTAAGAAGGGGTCGACACAGAATGAGGAACTGTAAGAAAGGTTCACGGCATTAGGATGGTTGAGAACCACTGCTCTAGAGCCTGCTTTGTTACCAGTATATCAGTGTTACTTTTCTTTGGGAGTAAACAATGTCGAGAAAGGCACCATACTGCAAGGGTAACAAATGGTCTCTCCAACACTGCCCAGACTTTGTCCTGGAACTGCATGCATTTATTGTGGAAGATATCGTTTAGCACAAGCTAGCATTGCTGGTCAGATTCGCCATCACCATGGCATGTTGTCATTCCTATCAACTGCCGCCCTACAGCACAATGGAACAATCATCATCATCATCAATTTCCACTTCTGCCATTAAGTGTTGTGGGGAGGAATAGTTTGTGATCCATTGCTTGATGGGCAGCAGCAATCTGTTATTCTGTGTTGATTTAAAAGTTCTTTAATGTCAACAATCCATATTCTCCTAGGGTGGCTTCTTGCTTTCACTTCAGATCTTTTCATGTGTAGCGTCTGCACTGGTACTAGTTCTGGTTGCATTCTTTCTAAATGACCAAACCATTTGTGCTTCTGTTTCTCAATGAGTATGCATCTTGTTGTTCCTACAGTCTGTCTGATAATATCATTTCTAACTTTGTCTTACTTACTTACTTAGTCGCTCGTCTTCTACCTTGGGGTGTAGAGGTTTGCCAGAGAGATCGCCAGACGTCTCTATCCGCAGTTTTTTTTCTGGCTTTGTTCCATTCCAGTCCTCTGTCAGTTAGGGACTGTCGGATGTTGTCTTTCCAGTGCACCCTGGGTCGTCCCGAAGGTCTGGTTCCCTGGTTCTTAGCCTCCCATGCTTGCCATGGTGGCCGATTTTCTCCCATTCTGCATACATGTCCAAACCATCGTAACTGACTGATCTACTCGGGTTAGTAAGGGCTGGGTATCAAGATCTTGACGTATTGTCTGATTGCGGACTTTGTCCCTTCTTGTCACTTGGACCACCTTTCTCAGGTATCTCATTTCCGAGGCCTGCAGATGGCTTCTGTGAGCTGTTGTCATTGCCCATGACTCACACCCATAGGTCAGGACTGGTACATAGGTAGAGCGGTAAACAGCCATTTTCGTCCTCTTGCCAATTTCTCTTTTGCTAAGAAACCCTCGGTTTATGGCCTGGAAGAGTCTCCCAGCAGCTGCTTTTCGTGTAGCCAGCTCAGTCTTAATGCCTCCGTTTTGGTCAAGTACAACTCCAAGGTATTTGAAATGGTTAACCTGCTCCAATGCATACTGTCCCATCATGATCTGGTGTTTCTTCTCCTCTCTTGAGATCACCATGGTAACTTCTAACTTTGTCTCAGATGGTTATGTCGGCCGCTTTTCTCTGGCATCTCATTTCGCAGGTATTAATTTTACGTATGTTAGCTTTTGATAATGTCCAAGTCTGGCACTGTTAGCGCAGTGTTGGTATGAATATATATATATGTCTATAATGTGTTTCTTGTTTGGATGTCTCAAAAACGATGACAGTTGATACATAAGTGATAATGAAACAGGAAAAGACAAATGGACTTTCCTTTGAAAAAGGTAGAGATAACTCCATAGATGATAAAGGTATGTGAAAAAGTTAAATTATCACAATTCTAGGATATGGCATATGAAAGGGGATGTGTTGCTGGTGCCAGGGAGTTTGTGATTTGTGTGATACTCTTGGCAGGGAGCTAGCCAATCCATAGAGAGAGACACTGAGCCATATGCGATAAAACTAAATGCAATATAGTTGATCCTCTCATCTTTAACTTTTAGTTGGGTGCCCAGTTCCCTTCCTCAACATCTTTCATTCTCAGACAATGCCCAGAACAACTATCTGATGCCAAGCACTCCAGTGAAGATTTTTTAATGAGAAGTTTAATGTAAACTTAAATGTTCTATAAGTCGAGGTACCCAACCTTCCTTAGTCACCTCTTATGACATGACTGGTAGTAATAATGTTCTCTACTTCCCTTATATGTAACAAACAAACAGACAATGTTGACATTGTCTGTCTGCAACAATCTAAGGATCATTCAGCTTATTGACAAATTCACAGGACTAATCTGCATCAATCCTCTCAAATACTGGACAGAATGAGAAATACTTTTTTGGAATCAGCCAGATGACATCTTTGGGGAGAAGAGCACAGGCAACATATAAGTGTACACTGAAGCAAAATAGCTCATGGAATTGTATGTTCATTGCTCATTGTTAATTTTAAAGATCATCTACATCTCACATCAGACATGACCATAAGTGCTCTGATCTCTGCCTGAGTATTCTCCAAGTGTTTTTAGGCTAACAACTCCTATTCCGTTCTGGTTGATGTAATGACGGGTGGCCCTCACATGGTTTTCCTGTCTCGCAGCTCCAACTGGTACACCCAAGGCATGCAGTCTATTCAATGAAAAATCCTTTCACATGAAACTGAAAGCCTCACAGCATTTAGTCTCTCATATCGCATTGATGATTTCCCTCCTGTCCATAGATGGCCCATTCCTAATAAATGCCCTGCCAGCCAGAGCATCTGCTCTCTCATTGCCTTTCACAGGGCAATGCCTACTCTGGCGCAAAAATGAAGATGATTTTGTGAAATGCTGTGTGCTGTATCAGATGGAGCCACATATGTACCTCGCCTTGATCTTCTGTAGCATGCTTACTGAGTTGCTAAGCAAAAATGCTTTGGTTAATTCCTGATAACCACCACAAAGTACTGCTTGAAATCATTTGGTATGGGTAGCCATTCCTCTCCATGGTTTATATCTTGAAGAAAAATCACCCACTGAAGTACTGTCTCTGCCTGGCCCAACCAAGACTGGCCTCGTTTAAGTCTGTTGCCTTTACATGTATTCAGTTCACTGTGCAGTGGGTGCATAAAGACCTCAGTGATTTTGGGGCAGGCACACGCCTGGCAAATTTGAAGGCTGCTGTTTATATCTGGAAGATCTAGTAGGTATCTCATTACCCTACATGACGTGACTTTAGTGGTGTGGCCAAGTATTATGCGCATTGCTTTATTTTGTACCTTTTCCAGTCTGTGAATTTTTTATTATCCACCAGAACAGGTGCACACTTCTGCTCATGGGGCAATGCAAAGTACTTAACTGTCTTGACAATCAGAAATTACTCTCAAAGACAAAGTTCACAAATATCAATGTTAAAATTAAATCAAAAAGGAAACTACTACACAATGTATTCTATAATCAGTTAATGAGTAGATCACAAATCTGAAAAGGAGGTGTGATATATTAGATATTTGTGGTCTGAATAACCTGGCAAGATGGTCTGTACGGCAAACATTAAGAACAAGTGCTCAGCGATAATTTATCAGTGATAAGACAAGACAATAATCCCTGTGGGTTCCAAAGCATTATTTTGGGGATAAGGGGAAGGAGGGGGGGGGGGAATAGCCTCACTGTACCCCTAACAAGCATGTTGTAAAATGCAACAAATTAGGAATATTTCCTTTGAAGTAGGAGTACATCTGCCTGAGAGGCCAGGAACCTAAAGTCTGTATACAAATAAGCCAGATCTGTAAAACGGATCCTCATGCAAAACTCAAGTTCTGGAAAAAGACCACAGTACAGAAATGGATAAACAACTGGAACTTGTTGACGGAGTTTCCAGTCAATGAACACAAGGAAGAAGAGAATAAACAGAAAAATGAACATACTGCTTTCTTGCCAAGTGGAGGACCATAGACTCCTTTCCTTCTGCGGTCCAGTTTGGACATGATCATGTTCTGCGTCTGGCTGGCGGTGGTCTGGGCTGAGAAGTTGATGATGTTGGGTTTGTACATCTCCTTGTCCAGCTTGTTCAAAAGAAAATCCTGCAGACCAAACATTTCTAACAGTATTTGTATATATTTTTAGGGACATCAAGTTAGCAATCAAAAGTCATTTTGTTCTAATCTAACATTAAATTAGTAATAATTTATTTGTCACAATTTGTTTGTTAAACTGGCATCAATGACATAGAGATAAAAAGCCCCGGTATTCATTACTTAAGCTTCTAATTAGGTTTATCAGAATTTGTTCGAAATATATATATATCCACTAAGTAATACTTTATTTGAATTCATTCATAAAACTGAAGTAGGTTATCACAAGACAATAATCCCAGTGTGGGTTCCAAAGCCTTACTCTGGGGGGAAAAGGAGGGGGGGGGGGGGGGTGGGAAGAGAATAGCCACACTGTCCCTTCTAACAAGCATGTTGTACAGTGCAACTAATTTGGCATGTTTCCTTTGAAGTAATTTATTTCAACAACTGTAAAACTGATATAAATTTCTTCTTCTTCAGCATTTTGAACCTTTGAGGTTCATTGCTGTAGATATCACCTGCTTCCACATATAGGCTGTCAATTTAAAAAAACTTATCATAATTCAAGTGTCAAATGGCTGCCCCTCTTTTTATATGCACCAAAGAGAAGCAGCATTCTGTTTTCCAATTTCTGATCAGTGAAGGAGAGAAACCTATAGAAAATCATCAGTAAATGCTTATCAGTCCAACAAGTGTATAAGTTGAGTAAAGAGTTTCAAAATGGTATGGCAGACCTGGTCGTGAAGAGTTAGCCATAGATGTCAAACTATTTTAAAACTACCTACGCATAATTCAGGGCACTGAACATGATCATGTCATATTTATGTGAGAATTACTGACTAGTGAACAAAATGGCACATGTCTATTGTCCCATGATGCAAAGGTTTTGTTTCTGTATTTATAAAATGGCCAGGTTGATCCAAAAGTAATTCAAAGAAGCTCAAAGAGCTGTGATTTAGTTTCTTTCATGTGAAGGATGTTGGTCAGTGGACATTCAAAGGCAAAATTGGGTAATAAATGTGTCAAAGACAACAGTGAAAGACTGGGCACAAATGATTCAGAAGGATGTGAGTTCATGACAGATTTTCCAAAGCTGGGTCAAGTGCATATTGTTGCAACAAAATAAAACACTGCCAAAATGAATGCAGCCAAACAGGTCTACCATTGTCAAACCCTATGTTTGCTAATCAAAGAATCTGGTATGACAACTTGAACAGTTCAATAACTTATTGATAAGAAACTGAAAAATTGGTGGGTGTGTTCCCAGTGGGTACCATGTAATGAATGTTGTAAATACTTGGTTCAGTCAGCAGCCACAATCCTTTTTGTGTGTGTGTGTATGACGTCCACCACTTACCTGAGTTATGTAATTTTTGTCTAAATGCCTATGGTGGCTTTTTCTGAATATGGTACCTATTTCATTCAAAATAAATGCTTCTGTTAATTCTTCCACACCTATTGACATTTCTTTTATGCTTTTGTAATAAAGCCACTGAAACCAGTTTCAAGTGAACACTCCTTATATGATGTATTGCATGGTTCAGAAAGAGTCAATATTCAGTTTAACAAATGTGGTATCATGAGGGCATGCAATGTTTCAGCTCTAGACAGGTGAAGTCAACCATATATGCACTGAGACGTACAGTGATGTAGCAACTCTTGCCAGTGCCCGTGGGTCCAACAAACAGGCAGGGTACATTGTGCTGAATCATCATCTCCATCAGAGCTGTGTAGCGGACTGTATCCACTGTCGGGACAATGATCTCATTAAACAGAGATTCTCTCGGGATAGGTGGGGCATCTTTAAGATCTTCGGTCCATGGTATCCATTTTCCAGATCCCTGTGAAAGATCAAAGTAAAAGTTAAGGACCCCTCTTTATGACAGTGGCACATCAGGCATGCGATTCCAGAACAGACCAGTCAGCACTAGATGGGTGATGTTGTCAACATCATGCTGACTGCCTTTACTTCCCATGGCACTACCTTGTACACCCCCCCCCCTCCCCTTTTTTAGGCTGCGCTGACTTGGAGGTCAAGGTGAATTTTGAAGAAAATAAAAAATAATCTGAGTAAATGTCGATTAGAACCCAAGACCAAGTTCAACATGAGCTACATGAATCCATTTTATCCCAATTCTTACATAACATATGGATGAACAAAAATACCTCAAGGAAAATGCAGAAAAACTTTTGAATAAAGAGTAAGCATGTGGTGAATTGACTGGACTGGAGGAGTTAAACTTTGCTTCTTTTTCCTGCATTTTTACCTTCCATCTTTCCCTTCAATAAATTTCCTGGAAAGTAAACAGGTTTCAACAACAACAAAACAAAAACAAAATATTATCTGTCAGATGCTTAACTCTACCAGACCTGGGGCTGTAAATCTAACTGTCCCCTATACCTGAGCTCCTGGGCATTAACACGAAAAACCAACATGATAAACAAAAATATTAGTTACATGCAAACAAAAGGATAGAATAAGAGGAAACTTGGAGACACTGTAGAAATTAGGTTTACCTTTCATCTAGCACCAATATTCCACCCAGCAGGATCAGCCTCGATTCACAAAGTAAGCACCAGATGTTGCTGTTTGAGGGACACGCCACCTTCTCTCACTATCGATCTAGTTCTAGATCTATAAAGTTCAAGATTCTCCTAATCACTCAAACTCTCACTGTCTGTATCACCTGAACGTATTCTTGATGAAATTCTGACTCCTCAGAAATTTAATCAACCAAAGTATTGATCATCTCTTGAGCTGTGAAAAGCCTAGACCTACTTCATTTCCTGTCGAAGTGCTTGGTTCATCAGTCACTCTTTTCATTGTGAATTTTCAGAATTCTTTCACGTTTAACCACACAAAGTAAATCCAAATACGTGGGGGAAGCTATTTGTAATGACTAACCATGAGGTTTGACAACGACTGGTTGGTTATTTTTAGTTTGTGATGCATTTTTTTTACATAGTACGCAAAGTACCAAAAATTAGGTACAGCGGTTAAGAAACAAGATTTTGAAATTACTGGAAAAGTGGTACAGCATTCTGGTAGAGGTTACTCTTTGTTATAATACAGTATAAACCTCAAAACTATATGTCACATTATTACCTCTTTGTTAGAATAGAGTACATACCTCAAAACTATCTGTCACGTTTTTGCCTCTCTATTAGAATACAGTATATACCTCAAAACTATCTGTTATATTTTTGCCTCTCTGTTAGAACACAGTATATACCTCAAAACTATCTGTTATATTTTTGCCTCTCTGTTAGAATACAGTATATACCTCAAAACTATCTGTCACATTTTTGCCTCTCTATTAGAATACAGTATATACCTCAAAACTATCTGTTATATTTTTGCCTCTCTATTAGAATACAGTATATACCTCAAAACTATCTGTCACATTTTTGCCTCTCTATTAGAATACAGTATATACCTCAAAACTATCTGTCATATTTTTGCCTCTCTGTTAGAATACAGTATATACCTCAAAACTATCTGTCACATTTTTGCCTCTCTATTAGAATACAGTATATACCTCAAAACTATCTGTTTTATTTTTGCCTCTCTGTTAGAATACAGTATATACCTCATTACTATGTGTCATATGCTTACCTCTCTTACAAACTTGTAATCATAGATTTTGCCTTTTGGTGGGAATGGAACAACATAAGGCTTCAATGGAGGTTCCACTGAGTCGACCAGGTAAATTTCTTTCCTGGTTTCTTCTGTCATACCACCCTGATACAACAAAATATATCAGACAATAAATTGTGCAAATGTGTCTTTTTTTTCTTAAGATATTTTTAATATTTGTCTTGCAGTTGAATCCACCCTTTTCCATCCATCCTTACTTTCATTTATCTTTTTGTATACATGTATTCACATCCATCCAACTACATCTAATTCCCTGTTTTAGTTTTGTCGAGTTTTTTTTCTGGTCACAGTTAACCATGATTAACTTTTGCATCCGCCACCCCCCCCCCCCCCCACTCTTTTTTCCCCCCTTTTTCCACATGAGAACTTGAGGTGTATAGTTCTACTGCTTAGCTATTTAGCAGACTGTATGGTGTGCCACTGTGAGCTGCAGATTTCACAAGGAACCCTGTTCAGTTGTATCCAAGGTAGTTTGTATTGTTAACTGCAGAATCAAATATGATGAGTAGCCTATTGCCACAGAACTAGTGGTGCTTTATTAATATTGCATGTACAACTGCTGATAATTTCTAACTAATGCTTTCACTGATGAACTGCAATTCTGGTGGTGGATGATTTGCATTGGCACTTCTATAGGTTGCTGAATGCATTTAATGTGTGTGTATGCTACTGGTTTTGCTGAGAATGAAGTCTACTTCAATTTCTTTTACAAGGAACAGTGATGGGTATTCTGTGCGGTTTCTGCTGGCACATGAGCAGGGCAATGAAGGTGTGACCAGTTTGCCATGAAGTTAAAACCGTGATTAACTGATTACCTAATAAACACATTCATTAATACACCTACCCTTCCAACATGAATGATACCTTTGGGACCATATTTTTAACGTTAAAAGTGATGAAGTGTTCTATCCTGATCACAGATACTGCATTATGGGGATTGTGTTTATGATCACACTGTTTCATACACAGCCATTTTATTTGCTTTTTGTTTTTTATTGATACAGAGCTAAGTTACTATTTTTGAAAGTGAATCATGAGCAGATGGTAGGTGAGTGAAAAATTATTTGGAAGCTGCAGAGATGTGGTTTTACAGACGAATTATGAGAATACCCTGGACAGATAAAAATAGTAATGAGGATATTTTGAAAGAAACTGACTCACAAAGAGAAATGATAGCCCACATCAGAAAGAAACAATCTATATTCTTTGGTTATGTGATAAGAAGGAGAAAACAACTAGAGTTCACAATGACAGTAGGAAAGTTGGAAGGGAGAAGAGGCAGAGAGAGACCAATAGAAAAGATGCTGGACAGTCTGTCATCATGGCATGGAGGATCATCTGTGTCAGAGTTAATTGAAAGTACATGAGACAGAAGGTTGTGGACAGAGACATGACTACCAATGCCACATGGCACTGACTTTAAGAAGAAGAACACCTTGTGCTGCCTGTTATAATTTCTACCATCTTTATGTTTTCTAGTGATTTTTTTTTTTAAATAATCTGTATAAAGTTGTTTCTGTAGGTACATTTCTTTAACAAAAAATTTAGCTGTTTGAAAATACTTGTTTAAAAAATGGCTATAATGTTTAAGATGTCGCTCAAACTGAGCTTACTGTTTCTGATTATTTGCAACATTGTGCTTCTGGCTGTCAGGAGTGTCTCTGAGTATGCAAATGTGTCTTTAATTATGCAAGGGTGTCTTTAATGATGCAAGTGGGTGACTTTCATTATGCATGGGTGTCTTTGATTGTTTATGATGTTTTTGATTATGTGTGGTGACTTTGATCACAAAGTGCTTCTGTTTATGGAATGGTGTCACTGATTTGTGGTTTCTTGATTGTTCATGGCATCTCTGATTATTCACGACAAGGTGTCTCTGACCGTGTGTGGCTGATGTATTCCTGGAATGGTGCCCCTGTTTTTGAATGGTGTCTCTGATTGTTCATGACATAATGTCTTTGACTATTTGTGACATATCTGATTATTCATGGCATCTCTGATTGTTCATGACATGATGTCCCTGACTATTTGTGACATATCTGATTGTTCATGGCATCTCTGATTGTTCATGACATGGTGTCTCTGATTATTCATGACATGATGTCTCTGACTATTTGTGACATATCTGATTGTTCATGGCATCTCTGATTGTTCATGACATGATGTCTCTGACTATTTGTGACATATCTGATTGTTCATGACATGATGTCTCTGACTATTTGTGACATATCTGATTGTTCATGACATGATGTCTCTGACTATTTGTGGCATATCTGATTGTTCATGGCATCTCTGATTGTTCATGACATGATGTCTCTGACTATTTGTGGCATATCTGATTATTCATGGCATCTCTGATTGTTCATGCTGTCTCTAAATGTAGATGGAGCTTCTGATCTTGTCTGCTATCACTGACTGTGCCTAGTGGCTGTGATTATCTGCTTTATATGCATGCACAGTCAGAAAAGTACACACAGACACACACAAAACATATAGAAGTACTTACGGAGATTAATTCTCTGACCAGTTTATCAAATCTAAACCTGCCTTTGTCATCACAACTGGCTCCCACAGACCAGGTCAAAGCAAAGAAGAACATGCTCTGTGAAATGTTTAATTAGAATGTGTTAACTCTCTCCAACACACCCCTACACATCAGTACACATTGTTAGCCTGCTGACGTGTGTGTACATCTATGCCATGTTTTGTTAGTCATTATGTATGTCCATAACCTTTTGCCTAGAATGTTACTATTAATTTTGGTAATTTATGTTTAATTCACTCCAAACAAAGGAAATCCTGGAGTTCCAGGTAGAGTGAAATATTCTAGGGGTGTTATGGGTTGGTGTTAGGGATTAGGGATAGGAATAGGGATAGGGTTAAGCATAGAGTAAGATGTCAGGTTAGGAAAAGGGGTTAGTCTGTGTCTCTAAGGTGGTTCAAGGCTGACAAAGATCATAACCCTAATCCAGTCCATTTCACTCCTAGATTATTATATATCCATTTTACTGGCTTACTTACTTGCAGCTGGCTGTCCCTTGCTGCTTGGGCAGATGCACTTTGACTTTGAAGGAAGCTCCCAATCAGTCAACTCCTACAACATGCTTGTTGGGAGGCAGAAGGTCTATTCTTGTTTTACCCCATGATGGAGCCATACTTGGCAGGTGATAATTAAAACCTAGCTACTAGACCTATAACAACAACAAGAGAGTGAGAACCCAAGCCTAACTGTTAGATCTATAACAACAACAGGGGTGAGAATTTAACAGTCATTAGACATGAAAAAAAAACTAATCATGAGAAGTGAAGCTCAGCTGCTAGATTTATAAAAACAAGGGGTGAACAATCAAGCCAAATTGCTAGATCTATAACAACAACAAGGGGTGAGCACTCAAGCCTAGCTGCTAGATCTTTAACAACAACAAGGGGTGAGCACTCAAGCCTAGCTGCTAGATCTTTAACAACAACAAGGGGTGAGCACTCAAGCCTAGCTGCTAGATCTTTAACAACAACAAGGCGTGAGAATTTAACAGTCACTAGACCTAAACAACAACTAATTATGAGCAGTGAAGCTCAGCTGCTACATCTAAAAAAAAAAAAACAAACAAGGGGTGAGCACTCAAGTCTAGCTGCTAGATCTATAACAACAACAAGGGGAGAGAACTCAAGCAAAGTTGCCAGATCTACAACAACCACCCCAAGCTTACCTCCAACCATGAGAAGATCTCTCTTTCCTCAAGCTGTGCAATCTTAGCCTCGTCCTGGAAGTCATCCAGCTGGCAGTCAATTAGGTGCATCAGAGACATGACCAAGTTAGAGTCAGTGGTGGGGTTGAGTTCCTACAAAAGATCATTTAAATCTCTCAGTACCATATGTTTCTTAATGTTTCCAAACACAATATGGATTTTTTGTCTCCTACTGGAAGCTGCTGTGGTGAAGCAGCTAGATGCTCACCTGCAGATCCAATGGTCGTTCGTTTGAATCCAAACATAGCTGGAATTTCATTTTTTAATGGACCTTGGCTCCGAGGTTCACCCAGCCTTGAATTGGTTTAGTCCTGTGAAGTAAAGGCAGCCGGTGTCATGTTGACCACATCACCCACCAAGTGCTTGTTGGTCTATAAAAGAAAAGACTAGCCCTATATGTCCAGTATGACTGAAGACATGGAAAAGGGTCATTTGTACTTTTGTCCCTTATTACAGATAGGTGTTTTATTATTACACTTACATAAATGTTTAGTTTAGCTACATCTGTCACAACGTCTCAATACATCAGATTTAGGCAAACCAAATTAGCTGTCTTTTACAGCATGCTGGCTAACTCTTTCAGTCCAAAGCAATGCCTGGTGTGGTAATGAATCAACTCCTTGTCTTAATGATCAACTCCTTGTCTTACTTAATCAACTCTTTGTCTTAATTATTAAACTCCTTGTCTTAATGAAGCAAATCCTTGTCTTAATGAATCAACTCTTTGTCTTAATGAATCAACTCATCTTAATGATCAACTCCTTGTCTTAATGAATCAACTCTTTGTCTTAATTATTAAACTCCTTGTCTTAATGAATCAACTATTTGTCTTAATGAATCAACTTGTTTCAATGAATCAACTATTTGTCTTAATGAAGCAACTCCTTGTCTTAATGAATCAACTCTTTGTCTTAATTATTTAACTCCTTGCTTTAATGAATCAACTCTTTGTCTTAATTATTTAACTCCTTGTCTTAATGAATCAACTCTTTGTCTTAATGAATCAACTCATCTTAATAAATCAACTCTTTGTCTTTATGAAGCAAATTCTTGTCTTAATGAATCAACTATTTGTCTTAATTATTTAACTCTTTGTCTTAATGAATCATCTCTTTGTCTTAATGAATCAAATCCCTCCTTGCTCAACTACTTGTCTTAATGAAACTTAATGAATCAACTCTTTGTCTTAATGAAGCAAATTTTTGTCTTAACGAATCATCTCTTTGTCTTATTGAATCAAATCCCTGTCTTAATGAATCAACTACTTGGCTTAATGAATCAGCTCCTTGCCTTAATTATCAACTACTTGTCCTAATGAATCAGCTTTTTCTCTTAATGATCAACTCCTTGTCTTAATGAATCAACTCTGTTTTAATTATTAAACTCCTTGTCTTAATTAATCAACTCTGTCTTAATTATTTAACTCCTTGTCTTAATGATCAACTCCTTGTCTTAATGAATAAGCTCCTTGCCTTAATTATCAACTACTTGTTTTAATGAATTAGCTCCTTGTTTTAATGAATTAGCTCCTTGTCTTAATGAATCAACTCCTTGTCTTAATGAATCAACTCTGTGTCCTAATGAATCAACTCCTTGTCTTAATGAATCAACTCTTTATCTTAATTATTTAACTCCTTGTTTTAATGAATCAACTCCTTGTCTTAATGAATCAACTCTTTGTCTTAATGAATCAACTCCCTGTTCTTAATGAATCAACTCCTTGTCTTAATAAATCAACTCTTTGTCTTAATGATCAACTCTGTGTCTTAATGAATCAACTGCTTGTCTTAATGAATCAACACCCTGTCCTAATGAGGCAACTCCTTGATTCCCCTCCATAGCATAATGTGCTCTCTTATTATTTATTATTTTGGGTCATAACACATTAAAGAAATCTGTCTTTCTCAAATGGTCACTGTCACTGTGTAAATAGCCACTTTTAAAGTAATTCATTAATGATTCTTAAATTGTGGGATTTTTCTTCACTTTAGAATCTCCAGTGAAATCTTTTAGTCTTTTTCTCCTACTCTGGGGCCCTGAAACCAGACAGAGAGATGACAGACAAATACTAGCGGTGAGTCTCACCTTCAGACCATCTCTATGGACCAGCTGTAAAGCTGGAGTTACAAATCTTTCAAACCTATCGATAAAGACAGACAAGAACTGGTGGTTAGTCTCACCTTGAGACCACCTTTGTGGACCAGCTGTAAGGTCGGAGTTACAAATCTTTCAAACCTATCGATAATGACAGACAAGAACTGGTGGTTAGCCTCACCTTGAGACCACCTTTGTGGACCAGCTGTAAAGTTGGAGTTACAAATCTCTCAAACATATCAGTAATAACAGCTTTGTGGCCATCTGTCAGTGTTGCTGGGAGACGATTCATCCAGGACTTCATCAGGGGGCGCCATCCTAGTGTCAATGGTTCCATGTAAATCATTCCACAGCGAGAAACCTAGAATATATAAAACACACATATATATATATATATACAAACACACATACATACAAACAAATAACGTACACATATATAAATATTATTTATTTATGTTATTTCACATTATGCCACTTACCGAGCTCAGTAAATATGTAAATAAAACACAGTAAGTATTCTGACAAAAACATCTCGTTCGTTGTAATGTCAGCTGAAACATACTTAATGTTAGGCAACTATATATAATTGCATAATTATCCACGTAATATACTTCTCGTCCTTTTTAGGGTGAAATTTTTCGTTCTTTGAAGCCCTACTCTGGCTCTTGCCAGGAGCCGCAATATAGCCTGGCCATAAATATAGCCTGAAGGCTAAACGCGGTTTCTGGGACCTTTTCGCGGTGATCCTCACCCACATGGTGGCACATTGTGTCATCGGGTGTATGTATCGCTTGTGTGATGTCCTGGTGGGGTAGAAAGTCAGTCAGTCAGTATATAAATATTAATTTAAACTACTGCTTCTCTTACTTGTATAATATATCTAAACAAAAATTACCAGGTTTTTAAATTGTGAGATCTCTATGACTGCAGTGGTCTTCTGATGACCCAATAATTGTTTTTACATCTTGAGGACCTGCTGTGGTTTGCTACCTGCTGTGGTTTGCTACCTGCAGTGGTTTGCTACCTGCTGTGGTTTGCTACCTGCTGTGGTTTGCTACCTGCTGTGGTTTGCTACCTGCTGTGGTTTGCTACCTGCTGTGGTTTGCTACCTGCTGTAGTTTGCTACCTGCTGTGGTTTGCTAACTGCTGTGGTTTGCTACCTGCTGTGGTTTGCTACCTGCTGTGGTTTGCTACCTGCTGTGGTTTGCTACCTGCTGTGGTTTGCTACCTGCTGTGGTTTGCTACCTGCTGTGGTTTGCTACCTGCTGTGGTTTGCTACCTGCTGTGGTTTGCTACCTGCTGTGGTTTGCTACCTGCTGTGGTTTGCTAAACACAATCTTTTTCCATGGATTCTCATCAACATCATCAAGTGCCTTGCCATCTGGCATAGATTATTGTAATTTTCTACAACTTGCGATCTCCAGCAGCATGTTTCAGTTCATTTGTCGACACCATGAGGCAGATTCACTCCAACTTTGAGGGGTACCCCCAGTTAGCCACATCCTACAACATGCTTATTAGTGGAGCCGTGGGTCTTTTATTTTTTTCCCTTAAAATGGGACCTGCAACCCACATGGGGCAAACAACAATGGAGATGGCTACACTTACTGTAGCAGGGGAGGCTACTTCCAAGTCCATGGGTTCAAAGATCAAGTTGGTGGTTGGAGCCAGCTGGATGATCTCCCCACTCATCAGACAGAGTTTCTTGTTGTCATCGAGCACAGTGTTCATATTCTCAATCCAGATGGCATCAACAGGTCCATCAAAGATCAGCCACTTGCGATCATCAGTCTGAAACAAGTTGTGTGATGTTTTAACACTCTTAATTCTTTCAGTTTTCACATACAATACAAACACACAACATATGAACATGATTATCTAATGTCTTGTCTTGTATTTTACAGAAAAGTAGTAGTAATTTTTCAAAAATATCCTGTTCAACCCTCAGGGTTATAATTTCGACAAATAATGTTAATTGAGTTCTCAGAGTATATATCTGTTATTTAAAATTACATATCAAGTAATTAATCATATGACCAAATTGAAATTTGTATTTTTTCACATTTTGCTTTGATTTGTATTGTGATTATGAGAGAAATTGTACTATGAATTCTTAGACACTGTACTATGAATAATAAGACAATCTTAATAACATTGTGTCATTAGCATGGTGGATATATTTTTCCTAAGTGTGCAATCATTGATTGTTCTCCTTGATTTTATCTTTTACAGAAAATGAGACTTTACAGGAGATTCAAATGAATCTCAGGAGTAAAAAAAAAAGATCCTACAAAATTTTGCCATAAAATTACTATATGTCACAGCAGTTAGTAAATGCAGGAATATGGAATCCAATATGTTATCATCTCTGATCTTAGTGTAATGGATCATATTTCTGCCTGCTTCAAATCAGGGCCCTTAAAAAATGGTGTTTCTGTCTTCATGCTGATTTTGTTGAAAAAAATATGTCTTATCGGCTGAGATTGACAAAGACCAGTTTCATTTTTGTGCCAGGGCATTCAAGAACATGAAAAGGCTGATAGCCTTGCAGATGGGACTACCTGGTGGACTGGCTGTGGAAGAAAGATGAGAAAATAAGACGTTTGCAAGAGCCAAGTAATGATTGTGAATCTGCAACCATGACTAGGACTAAGCAGGAAGCTGGAAAAGAATAAGAAACCAGTACAGAACAGGTGTCATCAGCCACAACTTGCTGCAGAATTTACTGAAAAGATAATATGAGCACTTGTGAACTAAATGGTTTGATGTACAATGAGAATAATTTGTTGCTAACTAACTTAGAGGTAACTTCAGTAACAAAAATAATCACATAAGCATGGCCAATGTTACTGGCTACAAGTGTCACAAATCTCTAAGCAACACAACACTGAGGGACTTGAAACTTACTGTGGAAGTGGCAAAAGCTCTGTAAGAAACAGCAAGGACACCATCTGACCACTCATGGGACACTGGGTCAAACTGACCATACAGCTGACCCATGGTGATGGCTTTGGGATTGATGACAATTATCTGCACTTTGTTTTCATTCATCAGCTCCTGAAACAAACAACAGAAGTCAGTGGCTAGAAAGAGCCTTGAAGGGTAAGGTAAAAATGACCCTTTTCTACATCTTCAGGCCTATTGGGCATAGAGAGCTAGACCTATATTTTATAGACCACTCTGTGGGTGATATGGTCAACATTATGCCAGCCATTTTTACATCCCAAGACTTCACCTGCTACCTATTTGAGGCTGGGTCAACATGGGAGCCAAGGTCATTTTTGAAAAAAAAAAAAAAAGTCTGGCTCCATCTGAATTTAAACTCATGCTATGTCCACCTTTCTGAATGTGTCTTCTTTTACTTCAGCACTCTAAGCCCTTGAAGCTCATTACTGCAGGTATCATCCTTCTACATTCATCTCTATTACTGGCTTTCTTTCTTTTCTTTTTTCCATTTAGAATCCAGTTTTGCTGTTGTTGGAATATATGCTGTTACTCATATAGCTCATTGGGGTTTCTAAACAGCATTGTGTAGACGCCTTCTTCATTTGCATTCAAGCATTGTGTTTTACAGTTAGACTGCAATGTGTGTACCTTTCAACTCAACACATCCAATTTTAGCAAACTCTTAATTCAGAACTGGAACTCTTTGCTTGCTGCTGAAGATGGAGATGGAGCGCTTATGGGAATGTCCTGAGCGCTGTGATGTAGATTCTTAATTCCACCTAAAATGGAGCTCTAGGACCCACACATGTCTCTCTGTGGGCCAATGCTCAGTCGGCAATTATACAGCAACCTTAAATGAAATGTTCAGTACTACCTACTCATGTGTACACAGGAATGACAGGACCAATCTCAGTCTTGGTAAAGGACTTCTGTCTGGTTTATCATCTTTTCTTCTTCTTCTTCTTCTTCTTCTTTGGTGTTCACCTTGAAAAGGGTGGTTGTCACATTGTGCTATGGTTTACAGCTAGGGTAGCATTTCTGCTTCTTTCAACCCAAAAACATCTGATCTCATTAAAAACCTTATTACAACATACTTGTTTAGGGGCAATGAGCCTATTTTCTCCCCTCCCCCCTCCCTTTTCCTCCACTCCCAAGATGGGGCCATGAGACCTACACAGGGATGTTCCTTTGATACCAAGGAGGACAGCAGTAGAAATACATCTACTGCTTGTCCCTGATTCTTTTTTCTAAGATTACTTTATTTTATTTCCCCAAAACAAACTGAAACAAATGAACACATATTTCCGACACGTTTCATAAATCTAAATACTCAGAATATAACAGGAATTCAAATCTTCTTGCTGAATAGAAATTCTGTACAAAGCTATCCAGCTAAAAGTTAAAATCAAGAGGGCTGACTTTATTGCATCGGGTTTTACACCATATGGCGCGGTCTCTCTATGCAGAACAGCTAGTCACCAGCTAAAAGTGTCACACAAAGTATGAACACCAGTTACGGTGACGATCCACAGGAATCTTTGTAAAAACCGCACATGCGAACCAAATGACACAACCATAAAACAAACCCATCACCTTCAAAGCATGAGACAAATGGCTTGATCACTACGCCACAGAAAACCCCAAACTATCTAGTGCTCATCCATAAGAAAGTGGAATAGAAAGAAGATCAGCATTTTGCCAACATTTATCTTGTCTATCTTCACTACTGTACTGAAGGCCACTGTTTCTGTATTCTCCTAGTTTACGCCTGTCTATGGAAAGTTCTGAGTGGTCTTCCTTGTGTCAGGCATATTGCCTTATCGAGATCCCTTGCCATCATAGAATACCTTTGATGCTATCTATTCATTTGCATCAAGATGTGTTCACACTTTAAAAGCAGATATTTTATAGCTAAACAGTAATGTACAATAATTTACAATATTAAACATTCTCACTTTTTTCCTCGAGTCTGCACAGTGCCATGTGTTCACGCTTTAAAAGCAGATATTGTGTAACTTAACAGTACTGTGTAACAATCTACAATATAGAACATTCTCACTTTTTCCTTGAGCCTGCCCAGTGCCTGTGATAGGATCCTGTATGCGCTTGTCTTGCCTCCAAGAGGTTCTCCGACTATCATGAACCCATGTCGTACAATCATCATCTCATAGATCTACGACAGCCATAGACAGAAGAAAAGATCAATACAGTCATCCAAAGACAGGATAAAACATCAATAAAATCATCACATTGTAGTTCTATTGCAACAAAATATAGGGTGAAACATCATAATATATAAATATTATCATGTAGTCTATAGGAAGCTAATTCAAGAAACACAGTAAATAAAATGACTGTGTTGACTTTTTTTTTTCAATCAGACAGGATAAAACATCCTTATATATAAATAATAATGATCTCTTCAATCTAAGACAACAAAAAAACAGGTTAAAACTTTTTAAATAGTCATCATGTTAAATATCAAAGGCAAAACGATGCAGGATGGAACTTCATAAGCACAAATAATCATCATCTCATAGATCTAAAACATAGGACATGATAAACACAAATACATTGAAAATGCTACATCTAACACAATAATTTATGAATTAAGTAAAGGACCTTTTTCACACCTTTAGGCATATTGGCATAAGGGGCTAAACTTTTTTTTTGTAGACCAATTGTCACTTTGTCGGGTGATGTGGTCAGTATAATGCCAGCCCCCTTTACTACCCAGAACTGTACCTGGTACCTATTCAAGGCTAGGTCAGTTTGGGAGGCAAGGCTTTTTTTGAAAAGGTCTGGCTCTGTCTAGACCTAAACCCACCACCTTCTGACCTGCAGGCGAGCACTACACCACAGCGACTTCCTATGAATTAAGCTGGAAACCAAAATAATGTCTAATGATATTTAGTTGAGCAGCAAACAAAAAATACAACAAAACAGCTAATTTCAAATCTGTATAAATCCTTTTACACACCAAGGTGTGATGCTGACCACATCACCCACAAAGTGCCAATTAGTCTATAAAATACTGCTCTAGCCCTATATGCCCAATGACATGGAAAAGGCTCCTTTACTTGTACACATCAAGCAAAATGTGGTAAATAAGTTTGTTGCTGCCCAAACTGTTTCTGTGTCAAAAATGTGTACTGTCGGAATTATTTTCTACATTATTACACCTGACAGAACAGACCATCAACCCTCTCATGCCAAATCTATGTTTCTATTGCTATCTCAGGTCGCTCTCCCTAAGTCCTTCCCATCTTCTTCATCTTTATCTCTAATTTTCTTCTCCAAGTGTTGTTTGATTCCTCTTTATATGATGATGATACTGCACCATTCTGAAACAATAGTAAATTTCTACATTAACTCTATCACTCCCGGGTGGTTCTGAATTAAACAAAGTCTGTGCTAAAGTTTTTGTATTCTAGGGTAGCAATATCTTACTTTCATAGAGCTGATCAGTACAGATTTGGGAGAGAAGGTGTCATACTGACAACTGGAAACTAAAGAGTTGACAAAACAGGAGAATGGGATAGGAAAAGTAAAGAAATGTGTACCACATATAGTGTAACCAGTGAATGTATGGTGAGTTCCTGGTACCAAAAGAGTTACTATAACTAGCCAAACCTGCTGGATCTTCTCCAAGAAGAACTGTGTACACTGCAGATTGTCCTTCTCACAGTTCTCTTTGATTGCAATATTCAGCTCCACATAATCTGGTTCTGGCAGCTTTATGCCAGGGAACAGATCAGAAGTGATGCCATGGAACAAAGGCAGGTCATGGCTCAAGAATTTGGGCAAGTTCACATCGATGATGGACCTCAGCATCAGAATATTCTCATCTTCTTCAGGGTATTTTAACTAGAGAGAGAAAAAACTTTAGTAGACTTTGGTTATGGTAAGTACAATAAACAAACAAACAAACAAAAGAAGAGAGACCCTGGAGATATAGGTGTTCAGAAAAATTGATCTCATTTTGTAGAAACAAAAAACAATAAATTATAGAGAAATTAGAGAGACAACAAATGAAATGACCACTGTTCTTTTCTATAGCCCAGGTCAGCCTTTCAACATGAGGCTCTGAAGAAGCATCTGCTGTGAGATTTGGTGTGCGCTATGTAGATGCTGGTATCATGGCCTATCCATCACTTGCATGGGTGACCTCTAGCTCGGCTTCCTTTGCGTCTAAATAACATAGTTATACAATCACAAACAAAGAACAAACAAGTGAATTATTTCTGAAACATTAAATGATGTAACATTTTAGTAAAAACCAAACTGCAAGAAAAGTTGAAGGCAGGCAAGCAAGAGATACATAACAAAACAAGTTAGTTGGACATCAAGAGATTGACGAACAGTAAACCTAGTGTATAACCAGGTTGACAGACAGTAGTGTTAAGGATTTATATTGCAGCAAACCTCCATTGTAAAGATAGCAGCTGACTGACTGATGAAGTCAATCAGAAGTTCCCAATTGTTATATAAAAACAAAAACAAAAAAGTCACAATTATGTTCTTGGTTATTATGTACTCTTTTCTCAAACAGTTTAACTGCAAAAACGTGCACGTATTTGTGTGTTTATTTACAAGTGCTGTTACATGTGTTGGTTCTGAAATGCATAAATCAGATAACTATATAGATATATAGATCAGAGAAAGCCACCGTGTTGAAGCAGCTAGATGCTTACCTGTGGGCCCCAGTCAGATTTTTTGGAGAGCAGTGAATCTTTTTATTTTCACCGCCCCCCCCCCCTCCCCCCAAACAAAATTAGTCTCAGAACCCACATGGAGAAAACTGGTGATTTAATATTTTAAACTGCTCAGTCTTGCTAGTCACACTCGCCATCACTGCAATTTCCATGCCTCCACATAGCCCAATATAACACCATCGTCTGGAAAAAAGCCAACATTACAGGAGAGTCTGAAGAAGGTCTTTTTAAACAAACACAAACCTTGAGATTTGCAGCAGCAGTAAGTACAGACTTCACAGCCCGCATTCCATAGTCATAATGGTGCTGGGATGACAACTGCTCAGAGCATAGGCGGTAGACTGCTACGATCTTCACCGACAATGGACGGGCACTCACAAACCCACAAGAGTAGAGGGAGATCTCTGCAATGAGGGCATAGTCGGGAACCATCATGGCAACAGTTCGGAACAAGGCCTGAAAACATTGAGATCAGGTCAGAAATTAGCACACACACTCATCAATTCTCCCTACCAAAATACATTTAACTCTTTCAATCCCAAACATGTGTTCCTTTTAACTCCTTACTTCATAAGTAGTGGCTTGAAGTAATAACTGTTTGAGTCTGAAAGGGTTCAAATGTTAACATTTCTGGAATAAAAGGAAATCTTCTTCTCAGAGTTCACCAGCTGTAAACTCTGCCAAAAGTTCTCGCTGTTCGTCCACTTCTGGACTTTAGTCTTGTTCTAGATCGGTTCCTCGCCGCTCAGGCAGATGCGCTTGGATTTTGGAGGATAAATCCATAATTAGTTGCCTTTTACGACATGTTTTTATGGAGGCAGTGGGTCTATTCTCCACTCCCCTTCCACCCACACCCACTCCCACTCCAAACAGGGCCCCAGAACCCAGATGAGGAATGTAAGGAAATTAAGTAATAATTAATATAGAAAGAGGTGAAGCTATTATGGGATAGGGTACTTCTTCTTCGCGTTCACCAGCTATACACTCTGGTTGCTCGTCCACTACTGAACTGCAGTCCTGCTCCAGAACCTGAGTGTTGCGTGTGCATCAGTTTTACAGATCTCATTCTCTTGAATACAGACTGTTGGTTCCTTGCCTCTCCGGCAAATGCACTCCGACTTCAAAGGAAGCTCCCCAATTAGTCGACTCTTACGACATGCTTTTGGGGAGGCAGTGGGTCTATTCTTGTTCTCACCACAATGGGGCCCCAGAACGCACACGGGGGATGGGATAGGGTACAAAGATTGTCATAATATGCCAGACAAGTCTAACAAATGTATGGTGAATGGCTTAGTTCTGACAAAATTAAGGAAAACTTCTGCTCCATAAAATATATTACAGTTCATATCTGTAATTCCTTGCGTGGGTTCCAGGGCTCTAGGTTGGGAGGGAAAAGAAGTAGGCCAAAAGAAGCATTTCATAAAAGACAACTAATTAAAAAGTTTGCGGGGGGGGGGGGGGGGGGGGGGGGGTGGGGGGTGGGGGGGGGGGGGTGTGGGGGGGGGGGGGAGGAAGAACGTTGGGCCAAAAGGCACAGATATTGCAACCTAGCTAAAATCTTCAACATAATGTACAGTTACCTTTAAATGGACTAATGCAGAAAAAGAAGAATTCTGCAATAAAATGGTTTAAGTGGTACTCAAATACACCACACATAAAAAACATGCCTTAAGATTATCTGGCAACTCAGATCGACCAGCATAGCCAGGGTTCATTGTTATGAAGACTGAACATGCAGGATTTAGTCTGATTTCTGTTCCTTCAAACAGCAGAGTTTCAGCCCCCGCCATGATACCTACAAAACAGGAAAACAGGACATTTTAGTGTTCACTTCGAAACAAAATCTGAATATGAATTCTATAAGAATATCCTCAGCTCATGATATAACTCAGATAGTAAAGATTTTTGAAGAAAGAATCTTTGAAAAAGTTCCCCTGTGTAGAAACATTTATTTCAAAACAATGTATGCCATTGTAAGTTTAAGTAATGAGGACATGTATTCCACATATTATTGCCTGCAGTATTTCACTGTATCTCGTCAGGTGCATTATTACAGAGTTTACATCAAAGTACATTGAAACACAGTCTCTCTCTCTCTCTCTCTCTCTCTCTCTCTCTCTCTCTCTCTATCTCTCTCTCTCTCTCTCTCTCACACCATCTATGCTTACTGCAACAGAGCCTGGCATATGATATGACAAAATCTAGTTTGGGAATGCAGGCTGAGGCAATCACTACAGCCTTCTGCTGGGCTGTACATACATCATAACTGTAACTGACTCACAGAGAATGTTGAAAAATATGGAGACAGGTATGCTCTGTGCAATGCGACAAGCATCACTTTAGAGGTCCTGGGTAGAGTCAATTGGATATTTTCTCAAGGTCATATTAGTGTGTTGGTAAATGAACAGGTAGACAGACTAGGTGGTTCTGCACCACTTGTTGGTTAACTGATGCTTGGCAGAGTAAGTGAACAGTGCAAAGACACAAACAGATTGTCACAATCTGAGGAGAATGGTGCTGTGGGGAGTTACCAGGGGATCTTGCAAACACTCAACACTCAAGGAAAAAGCAAGACGGATAAACAATCAGACTGTTACTGGTGCCATCAGAACTGGAATTCTGCACTGGCTGTTGAAGCTGAGGCACAGCACTTATATAAATGCCCTGAGTGCTCTGATGCTGATTCTTAATTCAATGACCTCCCCCCCCCCCCCCCCCCCTTCCTTTCTAAACCTTTCCCTCTCTTAGTTATATGAAACTATGTAACAAGAGTCTTTGTTCTTCTCACCTCTCTGGATGGTCAAGATCTGTTGAGCAACCACAGACAAAACTTCTAAATCAATTCTGTTGAACTCATCAAAGCATGACCACGCTCCACATGAAGCCAGACCCTGAAATGGAATCAAGATGTGTACCTGTATTGTCAAGTTTAGGAGAATACAGACATTGAAAATATTCTGTGTGTTTAGGGGAGAGAGATAACATGTGCAATGAAGTTAATCATCTAAAAAATGCAATGGGTGACTCTTGCCTTGACCATGTGACCTTTATCATTGAGGCTACAGGAACATTCGATGTCAGCATGGCTTAAAAAATGCATTTTTGTTCATAACCCCCCCCCCCCCCCCCCCCTTTTTTTTCAACAATGCTACTTTTAGTAAATATATTCATATCCTAAATGCAGCACAGGTGCAAACAGAACAAATGACATCAAACTATGCTTCTAGAAAACAGGTCACTGTAGACATGCCAGTTTTGCAGCCTTTATAGGAATGTGGCATTGATGGAAATGCCAGATTTGCTGCTTTTGGGGTGATGGGGTTAAGGACTTTTTTTTAATGATGTGATGTGGTCAGCTGAAATTAAAGCAAACAGATTGTTTTATCATGCTTGTTAAACATTTTTGGCACTTACATGATCTCTTACATAAAATAAGCTAAATGCAACAAAGAGAAGTGGTCACCTTAAAGAATTTTCCGAGGGCAATGTAGTCGAGGCCATCGGAGCAGTTGAACACCACACACTGTTTTGCTACAGCTTTAGCCAAATCCTTAGTGGTTTCTGTCTTCCCAGTACCGGCTGGTCCTTCGGGTGCACCCCCAAGATGAAGATGGAGAGCGCCAAAGAGGGTTCTGCCAAATGAGGATTATATCAGTTTTAGCAGTTCTCAGGTTTATACTTAAATAAAGTATAGGCTATAGGTTTAGAGGTTGTAAACATGGTTCATAACTCTGAAACACCTGGTGGTTCTTCTTCTTCTTCTTCTTCTTCTTCATCTTCTTCTTCTTCTTCTTCTTCTTCACATTTGGTTTCATATGCTTGTCAGTTTATCATGTAGGCTGCCTCTATGAACTTACATGTCAGTTGCAGATTTCTCATGGTTTCTAACAACTTGCTCTGCAAACTTCGCTCTTAAGGCCAGGCAGCTCTTTGTAGTTGTAAGTATACTGGGCAGGTCTGCAGAATGTGGTCAGGTGTTTATGGTCCCACCTGACGTGCACACTGTGACTAATGTACAGTCTTTATTCTATCTAACTGGGAACCACTGGTCTGGGGAAAGTGAAGGAGTAACGCCTTAACATTTATTTTGCAAGGAAGAAACTTTCAAGAGAACACACCGAATGAAGTGGGTTTTTTTTTTTAAAGTGGAGAAGTTTAAAACATTTTGGCCATTATTTAAAAAAAAAAAACATGTTTTAACACACAAGATGTCAAAGAAAAGTTTCCATTATACCAATCAATCAATCATGTGTTGTCTCCGCAATGAAGGTCGGCTGTATTGGATCCCCAACATGCTAAGTCATTCGACCTGAACGTACACTCTCTTAGACTGCTATTCATCCATTCTTGATGTTATCCTCCTTCCATTTGCAACAGTGTGTGCTGATTTCTCTCTTTCCTTCAACTTTCCCCTCCAGTATGGTTTTTACTAGGGAGTTATGTCTTTTAATATGGCTACACCAGCAAACAACTAAATAGTTTACAAACAAGAAGTAAATATTAGTCAGTTAATCTCAGTTCTAGCCTCATGGAAAAACCACAAAAAATCCAGCAAATACCACACAGAATGCCTGTCACTGTGCCTTATTTTTTTTTAAATGCAAATGTCTGAAAATTTTTAGACGTGAATGTGCTCACCTGTAACATCTGTCAGTTAGTGGAGTAATGACCAAACGCCCACTGTTGCCGAGGTATTCATATCCATATGCCAGTTTGGAGTTGATCATTCTAGTCATCATATGATTGTCCTGATAATACCCAAACAAATATTAACGTGTGGAATTGTATCAGGTTATTCCGTCCAGCCTTTTCTTCTTCTTATGCTTCTAGTTAGTGTTCACTGACTGTAAACTCTGGAGGAAACTTCTTGTTTTCATCCACTTCTAGATTTTGGTCTTGTTCCAGAACTTGGGTTTTGCATCCATATCCATCTTACAGATCAGATTTGGCTTATTCGTATGCAGACTGTTGGTATAAAGCTCAGTGTGTGAACTCCGTTGCTCCGGTGATAATTCCTTCTTTATGGCTTTACTGGATTCCATAGTGTTGCATAGTTTTGTGAGGGTGAAAATATGGTGCCCTCACTCCTTGCTAGGGAAAGGGCCTTGGATGTTACATCCATCAGTCAAACATCATCCCTATAACGACCTGACTGCCTTTATTATCTACTGTATTCCCTACAATCATGCAGTTCTTTGGCATGAAGGAAACACCTTGACCTAAGGGTGTGGATTACCTACACTATGTATGATGACTCATTTATGATTTAATTAACAGTGACAATCATCTTTAAATATACGTACTTCAACATACATTTCTTAAAAATTTCAAAGATACACAATTTTAAGTTGCTCTTCGCCTTATGTTGCGATCAGATCTCCATGGTGCACCCAAGCCTATTCATGAGTACAGTATGTACACATAAACATGCATCAACAAACATACGCACAAGCACACAGTCATAAATAGATGCACATGCATGAATACATACATGCACTACTAATAGACACCTATTCAACTGGCAGCCCACGGACCAAATCTGGCCTGCAAAGGCCTGGCAAGTGGCTCTCAGATTATTGCCAGTTATATTATATTATTGGTCTTTCTATGTCTAGGTTTGGGCTCTGGCCCATGTCAATCTCCATTTTCAAAACTTTGGCCCCTGAGTAAACTTTGTTAAATAGCCCTGCACTAATATATAACATGAGCACACCACTCCCCCCCCCCCCCCCCATATACTTCCACAATAGTCTGTTCATGATAAACATTTTAGAAACGTCATGCGCCTCCGGAAGACTCTCAACAAACTTCAGAGCAGCAAGCAATTATTGATTCAGCCAAAGTGCTCGGGAAAATAAAAATAAAAAACAGCCAAATTGTTTTCCTTTGTGACTGCATGTCAGTCCTCCAGGCGACTCATAGGGATCCACGAGACAACATGGAAAGAGAACTGACCCGTCAGCTAAACAGACTCACAGAAAACAATCAAATTGTTCTCCAGTGGATTCCGGCTCACTGCGGCATACCAGGAAATGAGTTAGCAGACAGACTTGCAAAAAATGGAACAAAGGAGAAACAACACGCCCATTCATTGTCATTACCAGAAATCAGAACACTTATCAAAGGAAAATACAAGGGATTGTGGAGAGAACAAACTAACAGCAAACATCCACAAGACCCCATCAGCAGACTCAACAGAAAGCAACATACAACAATTTTCTGTCTACGAACAGGACACTGCAGGCTCAACTACCACATGCATAAAATAAAGATTGTAGTCCCCGCAGTGTGCCTGTCAAACAGGACCCCAAACACCTGAGCACATTTTGCAGACCTGCCCACTCTACCTGCAACTTCGAAAAGACACCTGGCCTCAAGAGCAAAGTGTGCAGAGCAAGCTATGGGGAACCATGCAGGACCTGCAGCTGACATGCGAGTTCATAGAGGCAACCCACCCGATGGTCTGATCTGAGCATATGAAACCGAATGCAAAGAAGAAAGAAGAAAAGAAGAAGAAGAAGAGGATAAACATTTGACTGGGTTGGTAAAAATGATGCAGTGTCTAGTCAGTGACATGTAAATTCTGGATGCACGACCTATAATTCAAATGTTTATAACTCAACATCTGAATAGACACAGTTTAAAAGAATGTCTTCAAGCGGGCAAAGATTCGTTTAAAGATGAACATCTGCAATTATCATGCCTGTCAATTTCAAGATGATACATGTTGGAGTAGCAATGCCGATTGTTTTTGAGAAACCTCTGCAAATATTCTTCACTTTCCTATGTTGTGTTCTGTGACACCAGGTGTCCCATAATAGATACAGGTTTACGTTGTTTAGATGGTCTTCTTCTTCTTCTTGCCGGATTTAGCAATAAATAAATATGTGTACAACTTTAAATAGGACAGAATAGCTTTGGATTGCTGACTGTCAAGCAACAAGCTCATTCATTCACCATCCAACATAATAATGTAAGTGTCAGTTTGGATCATCCCTCCACTCACTGACAGAGGGCATGTTTTTTTTAAAAAGGCTGAAATATTTCACTTTTTATTTTTTTTTAATTTAATTTTTTTGTAAAATTTTATTTAACAAAACTTTTTTTAATTTATGGTCTCCCAAATATCCCTGTAATTGACTGGTTTCTTTTTCCACATTAAATGTTTCTGTTTTTTTAAATTATCTACACTCACATGTCCAGAAACTTGTTTATGTTTTATGTGTCAACAACAATATGAGGAGAATATATTCATTCATTCAGTAGCATGTCCCTCGCGGAACCTCGCTGCCATAACAACCCTCCGGAAAACCTTCCTATCATGAGCAAGATGTCCTGCGTCTGATACACCCATCTGGAGATCATCTGCCACATCCTGCATCCATCTTCTCCTTGGCCTTCCTCTTCCTCTCTTCCCAGGCATATACCCCTCCATTATTGTTCTCTCTAGACTTCCATGACGTTTCAAGTGACCAAAATATTTCAATTTTCTTTGTTTTATTGTCTTTACTAGCCAACCCTCTTCAATATTCAGCTCTTGAAGTATGGATGCATTTGTTCTTTTCTTTACCCAAGATATTCTTAGAACCTGTCTGTAACATTTATATTCAAATGCATTTATGCGCTGTTCCGCTTGTTTAGTAAGTGTCCAGGTCTCACAGGCGTATGTTGCAATGGGAAAGATGCATGCTCTTAAAAATCTGACCTTTGTAATTCTATCTGTACAATTCCATAATTTATTCATTTGTTTTAGTCTTTGAAGAGCAATTGATAGTCGCCGTTTAATTTCTTTCATTGTGTCACCATTGTTGGTAACCAGTGACCCAAGATATTCGAAATTTTCCACCACTTCCAATCTTTCCTTATTAACATATATTAGAGAATATATAGAGAATAAAACAGACAACAGTACAATGCTCCCATAGTCACAGCAGCCAGAAGTGTAAGAAGCAGAACCTTGTAACCCCCTTGACACCCGAAGAGGTCAAAGAGCAAGTAAAGAAAAAGAAGAATGAATATTCAATTAGTTTTTAGAGCCAGAATGAGCTAACAACTTACTTCCCAGTAGTAGCGTAACTGACTCAACCAGTTAAAGTCCAGCTCATTGGTGACATTGTCAGCCACCAGTGTTGCCAGCACATCCCGGGCATGCACGTCCAGCACAATCAGGGCTTGCAGTGTCACTCGGTTCTGCTTGGACAGATCTCCTCTTACAAGGGCCACAACCTCATCAATCTGATTATTGTTCATCTTTAGCAGGAAACAATCAACAGTGCATTATTGTTCATCTTTAGTAGGAAATAATCAACAGTGCTTTATTGTTCATCTTTAGTAGGAAATAATCAACAGTGCTTTATTGTTCATCTTTAGCAGGAAATAATCAACAGTGCTTTATTGTTTATCTTTAGCAGGAAATAAACAACAGTGATTTATTGTTCGTCTTTAGGAAGAAATAATCTACAGTGATTTATTGTTCATCTTTAGGAAGAAATATTCAACAGTGATTTATTGTTCATCTTTAGGTAGAAATAATCAACAGTGATTTATTGTTCATCTTTAGGAAGAAATAATCAACAGTGATTTATTGTTCATCTTTAGGAAGAAATAATCAACAGTGATTTATTGTTCATCTTTAGGAAGAAATAATCAACAGTGACTTATTGCTAATTTTTATCATGAAAAATAATCAACAGTGATTTATTGTTCATCTTTAGCAGAAAAATAATCAACAGTGATTTATTGTTAATTTTTAATCAAGAAATAATCAGCAGTGATTTATTGTTTACCTTTAGCCGGAAATAATCAATGGTGACATACATGACAATGAATACAGCCAGGTATTAAAACTGATAATGAAAAGACTGAAAATGTCACAGATTTTTAATATTTAGGCTCACTAAACAACAACAATGGTGACTGCAGAAAAGAAATTAAAAAAAATAATGCAAAGACTAAACAGCATGAAGAACCAATGGCACAGCAGCAGAGAGAGTGCAGCCTCTCATGAGAGAGTGCAGCCTACATCCCAGGACTGCATGCAGCCTATAATATACGCTGCATACAGTTATGCGGCGTAGGCTGAATATAGTCGTGGGACATAGGCTGAGACTGTTGGGTAGGGGGGTTGAGGTTAGGGCCAGTACTAGTTGTTTTGGGACTGTTAAAAGTGCTCACATTGTGGAATATGGAACACACGATAATGCCGGTTGCTGACAACAATGAGTAAAATACTATGTGTTGTTGGCGGGTCACTAAGCGTGCACCCTACCCCCCCCCCTCCCCCCCCCACAACATAGGGCAGGCCCTGTGACATGACAAGGCATGAATGGCAAGGGAAGTCACTTTCTTTTTGGGCTGGAAAATGTCACTTGAACCTCATAAAGAATCTACATTAATTTTTCATATGGAACAAATCAATCACAGGATGTGTCCTTTGGCTGGTAGGGTGTCAGAGACATGCATACATGAATCTGACAATTTTTGTTGTTTGTTCCCTGTCTAGTCAATCAGCCTAGGATGAATTGTCTATTGTGGGAGAACAGACTTTTGGTAACAATGTCATCCTTATCCCACAAACAAAAATGAGTCAAATGCTCCAAAGATGACTACATCAACAGAAAGCAGAAGACATTTCAGAAGGAATTTAAACTGAATTGATGAGGACTTTTCAGACAGGCAGGTGTTGTCACTACAAGGAAGGTTGGCTGCAAGGGATCTCCAACATCCTCTTGTACATTGCCTGCTGTACATTGCTATTCATCCAGTGTGCACTTTGGTCATGAAGAATCATCATCACTATTACATGACTTATAGGCAAGACGGTAAGCACTGATTTAGTATACTCAGTCTTTATTCACGAAGGATTTTGTCATCCTGACAGTGCCCATGAAATTTGTGCCAAAGCTATTAACAATACAGGAGAAGCAGTTCAATCAAGAAGTTACGTAAGACTGCACAAACAGTGACAACAACTTCCTCAACACTTTCATCACTGTAAAGATTTATTGGTATGACCTAGAAATCAAAATACAGTCCTCACAGTGAAACCATTTGGCATCCCTGAAGTCCAAGAAAACAAAACCACGCTCAATATACAATGCTGATAAAATTATCCACAGCACTAAGTAAAATATTCCGTCTGAGAGATGGTAGGAAAAGATGGTGAATGGAGTATAAGAGTGACTCAACAAATGTCAGGCAGTAAAATTTAGGAGGTCTGAGGTTTGAACAACAGATCAACAACATGGCACACGGGTAGTAATTTAGGAAAAACAGCATAGCATAGCATAGCAGACAGTCAGCAGCAGCGAGACATGACTGTCCATGTCAGAAAGCACAAAATATGATATACGAGACATGACTGTCCATGTCAGAAAGCACAAAATATGATATACGAGACATGACTGTCCATGTCAGAAAGCACAAAATATGATATAACAGAACTTGCCACATAATAACATACCGTCAAGTAATCATTCAGAGCATGAGGGCCTTTGCGAATGGATTCATGGATGAAAGTAGTCCAGTACTTTTGTGACACACACAGGACAGCTTGTCCGGGCCATGATTTGACCCAATCTGCACGAGCACTTTTATTATAGGCTTCCAGCGACTCACCAACCACCTGTTTCAGAAACAAGAATTGTATTAGGCACCAGGTATCTTAAGAAACACTTTGATCAATAATGAAATATGATGGCATGCCATTTTCTATGTTCACTATTCATAGAATATAATGTCTATTTTCTAAACATTTCTTGTTATCCCTTATTAGCCTGGCAGACCTGGGAGAGAAAGTCAAATTTTAAAATGTGCATAAATCCACAAGTGAAATGCTACTGAAAGTTTCTTGGAATACCACAAACAACACAAAAAAAGGAAAAGAAATACTTAAATTCCAAAAGATATGAACATCAAGGAAGACTGGCAAATAAACAGCACCTTGCCTTAGGAGCTGAAATGTTTTGGCCATATTAAGTACTACAGCAGATCAAAAGAAAAAATAGCAGAAGGCATGGAGCCAGGAATGAGGGGCAGGGGCCAACCAACACAAAGATGGGCCTAGAATATAAGTGACTCCTAGGATTTGAAAGTGCACAAGGCTGGAGAGCATGGCGAGAGACCAAGTTTGCTTCAGGCAGACTGTGACAGGAGTGACGTTCTGCAAAGGACCTGCTACATGATGATGATGATGTTTCAATCCAGGTTTTGATGAGCCCTAACAGTAAGCAAGTTCCAGCTACAGCACAACAATGACTCTCTGTAGCATAGTATTTTTAAAAAACTACCTTAATTTATTAGGGCAGTATAGGCAGGGGAGCTTACTGCCTGAGTATTCAGGGCTGCATGGCTAGTGGGGTCATTATGAACTGTACAGGTTAGGATTTCTATGTTTGCTCTCAACAGAAAAACCTACTGCCTGCCTTATCAAAGATTCAAATCCGAGTCTCACTAATAAGAGCCTTCCTTGTATTCTAACTTCTCGGCCAGCCCTCCTCACAACACAGTAAGTAAAGTCAAGAGCCTGTTTCCATGCCTTCAGCAGTATTGAGACCTACAATTTACAGACCAATCAGCGCTTGGTTGGTGATTGGTGAACATCACGCTAGCCATCTTTACTTCCCATGATTCAAACCTGGTACCCACTCCAGGCTGGGTCAACCTGGCAGCCAAGGTCATTCATTTCTGGAGAGAAAAAAAATGGCTGGTTCTATCTGGACTTGAAGCCATGACTTTTGGATCCACATGCGAGTCTTGCTGCTACAACCCGCAGTTCCCACAACATTATTTTCTAAATCAAATTTCATGTTAACTTCACTGGTTACAATGAAAATGCTCACCTTGCGGATAGAACCAAGCATGTTTACTTCCAGTTCTAGCAACCACTTCTCTACTTGACCTCTGGCCTTTGAAGTGGAGATGACATCCTTGAGCTGAACCACTTCCCCTTCGCTGGACTTCATGTGGGTAATGTCCAGAACATCCGTGAACTCCAACTTGGCAATGCCTTCAAAGCACTTTTTCAGGTGTGGCTGGACACTGCCAATAAATGAAAACCAAAACAACATTATCACATTGTGTCAATGGGGTCAACAATGGAGCAAAAAACAGCAAATCTGCAACATACCTTGGTGCGGCTCTGTGGGTTTGAGATTAGTGAATGAGTTTAACAATTTCATGATTCTCAAGTACTAGGTTTAAGATTTCTGCAGCAGACAGTGTATTGTTTTTTTTAAATCTGTTCTTGTGATTTTCAGGCGAGAGCCAAACATTAGAAGAGATTGGACCTCACCAGATAATGCTCCCAAAGACAGCAGTGGACACACTGTGGCTTACCTCTTTTGTGCACACAGCACAGTTTATTTTAAATATATCATGCAGGTTTTATCAAAGAATCTCCCTTTTATTTGGCTTTTGTCAATGAATGTTTGACTGTTTCTCTCTCTCTCTTTCTCTCTCTCTCTCTCTTTTGTGTGTGTGTGTGTGCGTGTGTGCCTGTGTCTCTGCGTGCATGCGTGCATGTGTGAGTGAGTGAGAGTGTGTGTGTGTGTAAACAAGAGTGCGCGCACGCACATGCATGTCTGTTTATTTGTTGTCCCATTCATTTAGCTTCTTAGTTGCAGTTCAGTGTATTAAAGTCAAAAGCCACAACTAGGGAGGGTTTACGTCAGACTTGAGTCCAACCTGTTTCCCCCCTCAGTGGTGAATATCTTCCAGGACCTCTACTTAACCCAACAAGCATACTATCAAAAACCATAACGAAGTTGCCATGGAGACTTTGACATTCCATGGGTAAGTTCCTCTCCAGAACAATCTTACCAGGGCTGAAATTCATGGCCTTCTCTTTGAAATGTACAACAGCAGTGAGATCTTTATCATAAACACATTGCAGATGGTACCTCCTATTTTTTTTTTTTTAAACTTATCCAAGGAGACTATGATTTGAGTATCCAATATCCTGGGGAAACATATGATATAGTTGAAAATTAATGGGAGCTTTTTTTGTGTAGGTTTTTTTCCTGAATTCCTATCAAAGCCAATATATGGATGTAAATCTAGCAGAGACAATCCTTTAAACCTAATTTAATTGTGCAAAACAACAAAAACAAAAACAAAGGTATATTATGGTGAGGATCGGGTAGCTTCAAAGTTTTTAACAAAAATGCAGCCAATGCCATTTTCAAAGAAAAACTGTATACTGAAAATTTAACAAATAAAATCTTAAATTTAGTGCTTAAATGTTCTGAAAAGCAACAAATATATAGGAAAATTACTGTCAAAAACATTTTTATAATTACCGTGTTGGATCTTTTGTCTCAGACAAGATCTCAAGAAGCTCATCATTAGACAGAAAGAAGAAGCGAGGAAAGTACAAACGCTTCTTCTCCAAATACTCATTCAATCCCTGGAGAAGATCAAGAATTCATTTCATCAGACTATATTACAAACATGACCAAAAAATAACATCAGCACACAAATGACACTTATAATCAATTCAAAGCAACATCTTCCCATTGTGAACTTAAATAAAGAGAAAAAAAAATATATATATTGCACAGTTTATTACATGGTATATTTCACTGGATAATTCTACAAAATATCAACATATAATGAAGCACAAAAATTAATCCTTTTCACATGAAGTCCTCAAATCCCATAGTCCACTGTTGCCACGGAATAGATCAACCACGGGATAGATCAACCACGGGATAGATCAACCACGGGATAGATCAACCACGGGATAGATCAACCACGGGATAGATCAACCACGGGATAGATCAACCACGGGATAGATCAACCACGGGATAGATCAACCACGGGATAGATCAACCACGGGATAGATCAACCACGGGATAGATCAACCACGGGATAGATCAACCACGGGATAGATCAACCACGGGATAGATCAACCACGGGATAGATCAACCACGGGATAGATCAACCACGGGATAGATCAACCACGGGATAGATCAACCACGGGATAGATCAACCACGGGATCCTTTTGTTTAACCCTGCTGTCCTGTAAGTGCTGTGATCTTGGCTTGCTAGGTAGTTGGGTTTTTTCCTCATTACAACTTTAAAGCAGTCACTGCTACACCTCAGTAACATCACTGGTGCTGTTTTTGGCTGCACAGTGTGTAGATGGGTAAAGTATGATTGTATTTATGTTTAAAAAGACAAACACATTTCATGGGGCTTTTCTGGGTGATAGTTTTTGATGCTGTAACTGGGAAACTGGAACAGCATTAGGAGTAATTTTTTATGTGACTGCTTGTTTCAAAATTTGTCATTCTTGTTCAAAGGAAGAAAAACAGTTAATCCCTGCTTAATTTGTCTTTGGCTACATCTCTTCGGGAAAGCTAAACTAACAGAACCACACACACATACACACACACACACACATACATACACACATGCAAATTATTTATTTTAGTGAGGGGAGGTGGTGGGTGGGGAGAGGGTAGCACAATATCACAGTGACTAGCAAGCCTACCTGTCTTCTAGGTGCTGGCCCCTTTATGTTATTTCAGTCGCAAGTGTTAGCAATCATATTAATTTCGTTAAATAATTTAACCTGTATTTTGCAACTAAAAGTTGTAGTTTTGAAAGTTTGACCACATAACAGCATACAGACTTGTCACAAAACTGAGCGAAGAACCTTGCTACAAAACCGAAGAAAACATTCTGCTACAAATCTGAGCAACCAGCCTGCTAAACAACAGAGCAAACATCCCTACTAAAAAATTGAGCAAATAACTTGCTACAAAACTGAGTAAACATCCCCACTACAAAAATGAGCAAAACATCCTACTACAAAAATTAGCAATCAGTATACTACAAAACTGAGCAACATCCCTACAACAAAAGTTAGCAAATATCCTGTTACAAAGAAATAAGCAGATGGGGAACCCTTAAGGCTATAGAAGTTTTAGTACACATGTTCTGCAGAGAGAGATTTGGAGGTGAGAATTTGATTCCCAGCATGCTGAAATTAGCTTTTGATTTTTATGTTGTTTTATGTCTCCTTCTATCTTTCTACTTCTTTCTATGAGTGTAAATCAATCCATGTCTATTGGTTTTTTTTTTAATCTGCATATCATGCTGCAAAACTGAGCATGAAGAGAGACAAAAACTCTGGGACAAACCTTCTGAATCAGCTCCAGCAACTCATTAGACTTCTTTAGCTTGTCTAGGATTTTGTCAATGTTCAGCACAGACAGCACGTGTTTGTCCAAGTTGACAGCTTTCATGATGTCACGCCAGTTTTTATCCACTGAAAAAGACATGCATAACAGACTTGAAGATGTGTCCCTGCAACAAGGTGCTTGAAAATGCCTAGCATGTACTTAAACATTGCAAACTGTATGCTGCTGACAGAGAAGCAATCTGGCCTATCTCCACCTACAATAAGATAAGGCTGTATGGTACATAAGAAGATATGGACTGCATGATAGCCTCGTGATATAAATTTTCTGACAGAAGGTTTAGTGAAGAAGAAAAAGTAAGCAGCAGAAGCAGCAGCAGTAGCAGAAGCAGGAGGGTAGGCTGTGTCCATTACAGCTTCATGGCTTAGAGTTTAACTAAAGCTATTTTTAAATGCAAATGTCAACATTTACCAGGAT